GTCCCTAGGACGATCCTAGAGAATAAGGGTATATTATAGACTTCGGCTTTACCTTATCTCTAGTATTATATAACGGAGCCGGGACGGATAGAGACTAGTATAGGGGTATTATGTGACCTCGCTTAAGACTATACTTAAAGCTATAACCATACGGCTTATCCCTACTCTCTCTAAGTTAAATTATAATATATCTTAATTACCATTGTAGTAACACCTTAGTTATATCTATTACAGGGTAGATTAATAGCTTTCGATATATTAGTAACGTATATGAGATAGGGATTATTTAAAGGCGCCTATTTCCGCGCTAATTGCTTTAGAGCGTTAAGATTTCGGGAAACTATATTAAGATTATTACTAATTTATATAGATTATTATAGATTACTATTATTACTAGCTAAATACGGTACGAAAATTAGTAAATTATATAAATTATACTAAATTATAGTAAATCTATATAAATCTATATCTATAAGGATCGGGTAATATACCTAATAATCTAAAAAACTCTATAAAGAGTTAAGAAGTTTTTTAAAGAAAGGAATATTTCTAAGAAAAGATTTTAATATAGGTAGTACCCGGGCTTACCTAATTATATTACATAATACGCTAGGCCTAATTAGGTAATCTTATCTATATAAGAAGTTAGGATAGATAAAATCTAGTTTATTAGGAAAACACTTATATAAATCTTAGATTAGTAAATATTAATAAATATCTAGGATAAAGTGTAAAGAATAACTAAGGTCTTACGAGACTTAGAATAGGGATATAGAGATAGATAATAATCTAGGTCGCTAAGGGTAGCTTCCTAGAGAGAAGGGATAATTATTAGAACTTAGCCTTAGGTAGAACCCGATCTATATATACCTTAGCTAATAGAGTTAGAAGGTAACGTAAAGGGCGGTAAATAGTCACGTACTAGATAGATTAGCGTCCCTTTATATATATACTCTTAGATTTCTACTAAAAGGGTTTGGTAGTAATTCGTTCTATAATAGAATACACCCTATTATTCTATCTAACTATACTACTATCTAATAACTCTATTCTTATAATAACGACGAGCGAACGTTTAGCGAGGCTAGAGATATAATTATACTAAGAAGAAGTAAGATAAGCCCGATCCTAATTAGATAACTATAGGATCTTAAGAGTTAGTAGAGATATAATCTTATTATAAACTAGGAGAATATATAAGACTAACGTAAAAGTATACTCGTAAGTTTCTCTATAGATTTAAATAATTTAGCTAATATAGAGATAGGCTATATAGATATACAGACGTGGATAGGGTAAAATTTAATATATTAACTTAAATAGGCAAAAATCGAGTATATATATAACCTTATCATAGACGGCGTGCTTACGTAAGGCTAACGTAAAAGTATACTCGTGAGTTTCTCTACGGATTTAAACGATTTAGCTAATATAGAGATAGACTATATAGATATACGGACGTGGACGTGGTAAAATTTAATATGTTAACTTAAATGGGCGAACTTCGAGTAAATTATACCTATTTTTAAGACTTTTAGCCACTTCTACGGATATACTTTAGTCTAGTCTAGTTTAACTTTAATTCTACTACTAGGATTAATAGTTTAATCTAATTCTACGACGGCTAGGATTAAAGTACTTTAGTCTAGTTTAACTAGAGGCCTAAAGTTAAACTAAACTAATTGATAGAAAGTCTACGTACGCCTTTATAGATTTTCATTGAGTAGAATACTATGCCTAGTTACTTCTAAGACAACGTGACATACATAGGATCTAATTAGCTATTCTAGACTTCGTAGTCTTTTTTACTATCATGCATTTCTACAAATGTCGTTAAATTATGCATGTTATATTAAATTATTCATGGTATAGTCCGTCTATGCCCCCGTATAGATAGTAATTGGTAACATCTATTATAAACTTAAATAGAGTATAGAGCTATCGTCCCGTTCGTGTATAATTTCGCTTCTCCTATATACTAAACTCGCTACGCTAAGGAACTATCCTTGGGGAATTCATCTACCAGGCAATTAAAAACAGAGCTACTTTAGATGCGCGAGGTATATTCTAGGCTACGTTCTTAAGAACGGCAAAGCGAGGGCTCGAGCCGCCGTATAGAAGCGAGAACATTTCCTTCTAGTTTCTACTTGGAACCCCTGTCTTAGATCGCTTCAATAGTATTCGGCACATGCTATGGTTTAGAGCATTACTTAGAAGTCTTTATTTATATAAGAGTCGGATTAGAATCGAGTAGTACTAGAGGGAGACAGGGATCGAGGGCGAGTGTCTTATGATTCTAGAAAGTCGCTGAAATCTTATAGTAGATGACTAAAGGAATATTTGTTAACGGGGTAAGTAATTTATAGTCTATCTACGGCCCTCGCCTCTATAGCTCTCGTTAACATGTTAGATATACTTTGACCTACCTTGGTCTACATAGACCTAAGATACCGCTATAGCACTACCGGTTATAGAAACATTTTATACTACTACGCGTCCTATATCATCTATTCATCTCCCTCCCTAATAAGTAGTATACTTTCTCTAGATAGTACCTCTATCTATTATATTCGGGTATCGATAGTAATCGTCCCCCTCTACCTAGTACATATAATGTATCTATCTATAACCACCTAATAAAAAGTAGAGCTATTATTTAGCTACTCGTGGTAGACCCCCGATTTATCGGGGGAAAATAGCTACTTTGAACTAGATTTCCTATTCTAGCTTACCCCGGGTTATCATTAAGTGTTATATCGTAATCTTCTAAGAGTGTAAGCATACTAAGGTACGCTATAATAATACATTAGCAATGTGTATATATATATAAATAATAAAATAAGTATATTATCTAGAGCTTACCATAGTTGTCCGCGTTCTTAAGCATGTCCTTCTAAGACTTCTCTAAGATATAACTCTAGTAATATAGATTAGGCTTTATATTAAGCTCTAATATAGATTAATTAACACTAGATTTACTGTTTTATATTTCTCGAACTTACTTTTGAACTCTCTTAGATGCGTAAACTCACGTAGTATCGTTATACTAGGAAGTGAATACACTAGCTACTCGTCTTCCGTCACGAATTTCTCATCTAGTGCTAGTAGTATGGGTAGCTAATATTCTTTACTTCTTTGGGCCATCGTTATGTATTTTCTATTACTAATTCCATCGTAGATAGTTATAGATTCTAAATCGATACCGGGAATCTCGGACCGGTATATGGCGCTATATATCTCTAGAACGTTAGGGTTATCCCTTAGGTCGATTCTACATGCTAGGGGGATGCTTTTATAATAGAATATAGGCACACGGACTTTCCGGTGCACGAACGAGTACCCGGGCGACGTATTATACTATAGTCGTTCTTATGTCTTACCGTTAAGAACCGAGTACTAGCGGCGATCGTTGTCGTAGAAAATACGCGTGTTAGCCCGTGCTAGGTCCGTGACTTCTAGGGCGGACCCGATGCTAAACATAACTACTAAAAATTTTCCGTAATTCTCTAGCTCTTTGTACACACGGAAAAGATACTATACGATACGCTTAATATCGGTATCCTAGAAGAGTATACGTAAGTAAGCTCGCCGTACTATATATATTGCCTCGTGGATAGCCTCTACCATATATGGCTTTTCGTAACATAAGGACTTAATATAATATTCTACCTTAGCCTATAAAGGTAAAAATAATAGAGAAGTAAATAGAATTAACGAATATAACGAAACCATTTTAAGCGCTATAGAGTATCTAAAGTCAATATTAATAGAGATATAGAGTACGTAGTAGTCGTACCTTTTATATTATAAATCTATCTATATTTAAGATATATCTCTTAATTATTTCTTTTACAAAGCTTAGACTTCGAAGCATCCATGGACACCTATGCTTTTATCTATCCGTTTCCTAGAACTTAACACTACTAGCACCTGTACGTATCTATCTCCATTTAATTTCTTTATAAAGTCTCTTTAGAAGAATAGCGAGGAACTTCTAAGAATTTTTAGAAGATAGCCCGTGTAAATACGGCTTTCGCATTTAGAAGCACGCTTCTACCTCTCTACCCTTCCTCTTCTTAAGGATTTAACTATCTTATTATCGACTAAACCAAAGAGTTTAGAGCTTAATAGTATATAGTGTTAACGGTGTTATGATACTCTATAAGTATATATAGATATAATGATATATAGACACCTATGTAGAGGTAGAGAGGTAATCTAGCGGTAGGTAAGAACATGTGAATAAAAATAGAAACGTTTATATTGTCCGGTTCTACGAGAGGATATAAGGTAACTAAGCGAAAGTACTAGCGAAACGGTTAATTGCCTCTCATTCACTTAACATGGCTATTGCTGTTGTTGAATATCCCTCATCTAGCCTATTTTGACATTCATTGTAGGGTGGTGACTAAAAATAGATCCACCCTTTACCTGCAACCTGAGCGACATTTTTTCTATATTAGGACTACGTGAGTCCCTATCACTGATCATGAAGGGCCTTCCTCTAGGTCCAACTGATACCTATTCTATAGCTATTTCACGACTCGATATAATGATATATACGGGTAATAGGGTACGATCTATTGATAGACGCGTTCAAAATATGCTAATTGACTTGATAAATTCAATGGATAAGTTGAGAAAAGTGCGGGGAGGGTATTCCGTTGCTTATCTTCGAACCTGCCGCCTGAGGATCATAGTCTAGAGCCAGCCGAAAGATGAGCCACGCTGGATTCAGATTGCAACCCAATCAATATCAGCCTTTCGAGGCTCGGACGCCACATCGATCTACAAAGAAGCCCTTAAAGTAAGTATTCCGATTAAGGCCCATATGGTTATGATCGAGCTATTGATGACCAAGAAACTGTAGCAGATTGGAGGGACAGGCACAAAACATCGAGGAGTAACATAGTCCGTTGACAACTGGGGGACCGGTCTCTAGGGATAGGGGGAGCATTCACGCTATTCTGGCAGTGTATATGGTTGTAAATAGACGGCAGTGAGAAGGCAGTAGGGCTTATCAGTGTTATGTGAGGGGACTAGAGAGGAGGTAACAAGGGAGATCTCATTTGAATGGCTGTCAGACATAACGACCATCGCTCCCAAAGCCAAATGGCTTGTTAAATGTGTCAGGTGCTTTCTCGTCCCGATGGCCATCACATTGGCCGTTGCACGTCTCGTAGCCATTGTGTGAACTGTCTTGTTCGACAGGTTTCCTGTGGCTGGTCAAGTCGTTGGGCTGTCCCGTCGTGCCCTTGAAGAAGGCTGCAATGAATCGTGCTAGTGCCGATTTTTTTGGCAAGGTTGGTTTGATACAGGAGGTTGGGTCAATGTGCCTAATATATGTTTGCTGCGTTTCATCGTAGCTTTTCAAAGCCATGTAGTGGGCTCGACGTCGCACATTATGTTCCGTGTTACTGATCCTTGGTCTCCAAAATTCATACGCCAGCTTTTGTTCGTCCTCCGTTCGCCAGCGTACTATATCGTAACTACTAGCTACAGTCATCGCTGCATCTCGCGCCCACGAAGGCTCCCTCTTCACCATCTCGCCAACGCGCTCGGTGGCGACAGTCACCCTTTTGCCAAGTATGTCCTCAACCTCATGCCGACGACCTAGTTCAAACTCGCCCATGAAGACGTCAACCCTGCTTCTATCCACCGGAGTATCCTCCTCTCTTGGGGTATTGTTAAGCTTGTCCACGATATACACGAGTGCCAGCTTGTCGATGCCATCTACAGGTCCAACGACGAAGGAGTGACCCTGGTTAAAAGCATTGTCGATTCGATCTTTGTAGTAAGTGTTAAAGTATTCCCAGGTGACTTCGAGAGGGCCAGAGATAAAGGCGACAGGGGTATGCGAGAGCTTCGGTGTGGCTGTAGGCAGCTCCTCTGCCATTGCTGAGGTAGATGTGGACGAGGCTTATGGAAGATTCGCGTTGGTGGCCTGTTCTATAGACTTCACTTCAGGTAATCGCTAACGCGATGAAGCCGAGAAGCAGTCTTCTCGAGGCCGCATGTCAAGGCTGGCTTTTTTGGGCGAAGGATCAAGAGTGCTACCTGTTACACTGTGCTCAGGTGCTGTGAGAATGTGCGAACGGCCTGAGGCAGATAATTCGGCCTTGTCAGGCTTCTAAACCTGCTCCTTCACCAATAGGAATGCGAGCAAGTTAGGTATCCAACAGAACACTATATTTTAGCGAGATTACCAATTAGGGGATGTCCATTCTGATCCTAAAGCGACGGAAGTGAGTAGGAGAAACTGGAAGACGCAAGTGTGAAACTACAAGCATGCAGTTAAGCTTGGCGTTGAGAGATCGTCAAGGTTGAACTAAGCCGATCAACGTGTAACGGGCAATGGTAAATAGAAGGAGGCGACAACGGATGAGGCTACGCGAGAACGTTCTACTTTACAGACCATAGCTCGATCTACGAGCACAAGTACAAGTACAGGTGTAGACGAAATGTTAGTAAATATCGGCCGTGGATGGGCATTGTACTCACCCGACCACTGGGAAATTCGTCAAGGATGCAGGAGTGAGTGTAGACGAAGAACGTGTAAGGACGAAATATCCCATTTATGTTCGGTACAGATGATGGTGATGTCACATCATAGTGTGGACACGGGAAAAGACGTACTATGTACAATGAGAATATCCATATAGCCATCAGCGGAACCAATCATAATCTGTGTCGCTATCTATATAAGGTGGAGATGTGGACGGAGAAAGTACACACATATTTTTGCACTGCGAGAAGTTGACCTTTCGCTCTTCGGCTTTGAAAAAGCCGCTAGCGAATGTTCAAATTTGTGAACGGGAAGAATTGAGATCAGTATGAGTGAGCATGATCACCGTGTATACAGTGCCAGCAATGAAAATTACGTGCTCGGGAGTAAAGAATGAATGCAGATAGCATATGCCCCAACCTTGAAAAGGCCACTACGAAAAGAATCAGATCTAGAAAAGGGTAGTGGGGTGAGGGAATATCAAAGAAACAAGCTTAAATATACACAAAGCAATGCTTCTCAGTCCAGTCTGCTGGGAGCAAGAAGCACCGCACGCATGCTTCCCTTCAACATATTTGCTGTGACTATAATATCCCGAGGTAAGTGGCATCGTGTCTAATCGGCATTCAAGCAATTTTCTCTTCACCGTAACAAGCACTCTACTGTTGTGGCTGCGTCTTCATCGATCCAAACATGCCTGGCCTATACTTCCCACCTGCAGAGGCTGGATCCGCTGGCGGCGGCCGCTCCTCTCGGAGGGGCACGTCCCGAGAATCGTCCCGAGGCGCTCTGGACTCGCGTGGACCTTCCCTCGAGGGACCGTCACCACGGCCGCGGGTTTGCCATCTGCCGCTGCCAGCTGCAGGACTTTCAGTCCGGCCATGTGAGCTATCTCTTGCGGGTCCTCTGCCACTACCTTCACGAGGCCTCCATCCACCACCCGGCGCAGCACCTCCGGCAGCTCTGAGGGCAGGAGGAACGTAGCCGGTACGTTTGGGAGGTTCTTCCGTACCTGCAACAGCTGGGGATTCAGAGCGAGCAGGTGGTGTAGCGGTAGCTCCACCAGCAGCAGCAGCGGCTTCTTTGGCAGCTTGGCGGTCACGCCACGAAGGCTTGTCTCCAAAGATACGTGGTGGGCCGCTGGCAGTAGCAGTGGTTGGCTCAGTAGGTCGTTCAAATGAGCGTGTAGGAGGTTGTGGAGCACGAGCACCACCAGCTTTTCGGCGGGCCTCTGCCTCTTCTTCTCGCTGACGTTGCTTGGCGGCGATCTCGTCGAGTCTCCTGTAAGATCGTTAGCACGTTGTAGAGATTGCTGCCGGGGAAAAGGAGGGGTGGAGTAAAGACTTACTTGTTCTCAATATCTCGTAGACGTTTCCTTTCGGCCATCTCTTCACGCTTTGCCTCTTCTTCGCGAACCTTCCGTTCAGCCTCCTTCTCTAACCTTTCTTGCTCTTCGCGCTCGTGTTGAGCGGCCTCTTCAGCCTCACGCTTCTCACGCGCCTGTCGCTCGCGAACCTCTTTGACACGCTGCTGAATCTTCTGCTGGAGTTCCTTCTCGGCTGCCTTCTTTTGTTTGTCAAATTGAGCTCTGCGTTGTTCGCGAACAGTGGTGATGAAGTCCTTGTACTGCGGCACCAGACGCTCGAGACGATGTTTGAGTTCAACAGATTCTGTGTGCTTCTCCTTGGACTCCTTCAGCTCAAGCTCTGTCGCTTCATCGTAGGCTTGCCTGTCGGCAGCCATTTGCGCTTCGTAGTCCTTGGTCAAGTGTTTGATTTCCTCTCGTCGATAGGCTCGTTCGAGATGATCGATCCTCTTGCCAGAAATGCGGAGTTGATCACCCAATTGGTTCTTCTCCTTCTCTAAAGCTTGAAGCTTCAGTGCACGAATTCGTGCGCTGTCGAGAGTCGAGATATCCTCTGGAAGATCGATAGCGATCTTGCTATCCTTTTTGAGCTCACTGATCTGCTTCTCGATCTCTTCACGCTGTATCCTCTGTTGCTCGGCCTGAAGACGCTTAGTCTCTCGGTCCTTTTGCTCTTCCCTCAGACGTCGTTGCTCCTCTTCCATAGCTTGTTGTTGGCGAATTGCTTTCTTCTTCTGCTCCTCTTGTTCTTTCTTAGCTTGTGCGCTTGAAGCAGCCTGCTTTTTCTTCTCAATTATTGCTCTCCTCGCTAATGTGGCCTCCCGCTCAGGGTCAGCACCGGCCTTGGCTCGAGTCAGTGCTCGTTCTTTGGCAGCGTGTCTAGCGGCATTGAACGAAGGATCGACGTATTGACAGGTTGTATAAAGTGCTTTAGCAAGTCGTGTGAGCTGGGAGCGCACAATTTCGGCGGGTGTGCTTTGTAGGCGTTGAACAGAGCCTACATCTGCATCAGCAGATCCAGAGCCTGAACCGGGGTGAAGGGCTTTAGCAGAGGAGAAGACGTCGGAGTCGAAGGTTAGGACACCAGCGGCGTGGTCGACACGAATGGCAAGGTCACCCTTCTTGCAACCATTCATGATGAACTTCTCAATGGTACTCTTCGTAACCTGAAATGGCTCGGGAAACTGAGCGAGACCGAGGACAAAGTCAATCTCTACCGAGTCGTATACTTGGGACAATTGTTGGAATAACCGAGTGAGTATAACCTGTTGAAGAGGCAGGACGTATTTCTCCATCTCGCAATCCTCACCAATCTGGGTAAGAATGGGAGATATCCTCTTGCAGATCGATAGCGGGTGGAAGTCAACCTCGAGAATATTGTACAGCTCACGGATCTCAGGCCTAGCACGCTTCAGTAAGCCCTTGGATAGAGCGTCTTTGAACAGGATTGAACGGGTTGGAGCGGTGCTCATTCCCAGAAGATTTGTCAGTCGAACGTTCTTGTTCTTTTTAGCCTCATCTACATCAACAAGCGCGCCACGGGACCTCGAAGTGCTGATGACGGGGATTGAAAGGGCGGAAAGTAAGACAAAGGAAGCAGCCTTGGTCATATCAGCCTCAGTGACAGCTGGATTGTCCTTCTTGGGGCTTTGTCCTAGAGCAACAGCGTTTGCTGATTGGCGCATAAGGTTATAGTAACGGCTCCAAGCTGCAGCATGAAACAAATAGTTCTCGCTCTTGAGGAAGATTCTGGTCAGGTTTTGGTAGTAGTTCGCCATCATGATATTCTTTGGCGGCCGCTTGCTAAGACTGACGAGAGTGTAGATATCCTCAATACTGCGGAAAGCCTCTTGCCACAACTCTAGCTCCACAGCTACATTGAGCTGTTGGAATCTTGTGTCTAGGTGGCGTTGGAGAGTGTCTGGGTCGCTGAGATTGATGGCGTGCGTCTGAGACGAGAATTTGGCAGCATTTTGGAGATGATTCCGTAAAAGTTCACACAAACGTCTGAATTCCGTCTTGCGTGCATATTTCGAGCAGAACTGGAAGGCTTGGTGGGCTGTTGTCTGATACATGATCTCCAGGCGAGCATTATTCTTGAAGATGTCTAATACCGTTCTGTAGGTTTCCCACAGAAACTTAAGCCATGGCGTGACTATAGCGCGATCTGTACGATCTTTTGATTGTTCGCCAGACACGGTGGACAGAAGGATGGATTCAGGCGTCTCGGAAGCTTCGAGGTCATCGACGTTTGACGTAGTCGCGGTAGACTGTACTTCATCGGACTTTGTTTGAGCCTCTGTGACTTTGTCTTCGGCGAGAGAGATGAAGTGTTTGAACACCGTCTATATGGACAATTAGATGTGCGGTGTGTATTGCGGGGTCGCAGACTCACCTCGATTGTTCCAACATTCGTATTTTGAGCAGTGTTCTTGTACTGATATAGGCCATCTTTGGCAAGTTTGCCTTTCCGGAGGTCGACGCAAAGTTCGACGAAAAGCTTCATAACGGGCTCAAGCGAGGCGATTGGACTGTTGCGCGTCCTCTTGGAGACGACATGCTCGTGAAGAAGCGACAGTGCTGCCTGGGCCTGGCCGACCCCGACCAGCTCCTGTGCACGCTTAAGCACATTTTCAGGCTTGCTGTGAGGTGGTGGTGGCATCTTGCCTGTATGTGGTGTTGGAGGTAAGGTGTCGCAGTCGTGGCGGTGATGATCTATGGTGTAGAGTAATTTCGTCAAGGTGGGTGTGTGGGAGCCTGTATCAGGACTAGCGCGATACTCCTGCTTCACGTGTCTGCTACTTCTATTCTCCCATTTTATATTTATAATTAAGGCAACGAGAGTCGAGTCACATTTTATTATTTGCCCGTGTGCGCATACTATAACGACGTGTGCGTTTCTCAAACGAGTTGTGTAGCAAGCAAAGAGGTTTTGCGGTCTTCGATCCGTGCACACAGAGCTTTGTCTCGAAGCATCACATGATGAGCTATACCCTTCAACTTGAATGCTTTAACCGGTGAATGCCTTTCTTCCACAGTCGGATAGATTAGTAGATTAGGGAACACATGGATATAATCTGGTTCCAGATTTGCATAGCATCTGCAATACACTAACCCATGGCACAGGGTGCAGGAAGTGGGACAGCATTACAAATGCTAAGTATTGGGTGTGATAAATCAATTTTTTGACCAAAGTCGCCGGATTGACAGGTCTGTCTGGCTGTAGTCACTCCCTGCTCAAACATCCTCTCCCAAATGTGGGTACATATGACGCTAGTCCCCTTTATCGAATAGAAAACATGCGCTCCAACACTCTACCGTCTACGAGGCTACAACAGTTGCTATGCTTCTACCTGAACAACATGAATGGTTCAAACATACCATATTACCATAAAAAATCTTATGCGACGAAAGCAGCGTTCGTGTGACAACCTCATCGCTCGTGTGTACTGTGTTTAACAAACAGATGTTAGGACGCGTAAACTCCTTTATGCTCGTGCCAGCCGATTAAGTCTTTCTGGAATCAATACTTCCCGCAGGAACCAGAAAGTCCGCCGACCCGGCAGCCCACTAGAAGAATCGCCGGATCAACCGCCTTGGCTACCATCGCTCACTGTCCTTGACTCACTTTCCAGCAATTTCACTTTCTGTCTTAATACTTCCAGTTCCTTGTCTACATCTGCCCTTTCCTTTTGTAGCGTTCGGATATAATCAATAGCTTGCTCGACAGTTGCAGCTTTCGAGCTGCTCTGAGCAGCCGCACTCCCACTGTTGGATTTGCTGTTGGCCTCAGGAGTCTCAAGTTCCTCTTCGGTGGACTTGGCGTCGTTTCCAGGCGATTTACTGTTGTTCTTCGATACGACAGGTGAGGGCAAGAGTGATTGCATTTCTAGCAGGGCCGTGTTGATACGGTTACGGCGACCCTGTTCGGCAATCTTGTGAGACGTTCGTTTCGACGTCAGGTTGGTTGAAAGAGCTTCAGGGTAGTTGACTCCCGGTACGTGTGTGCCTTCCAAGATATTCTGGTAATTTGATTTTGAGGCCAACAGGAGGGCATGCTGGTCATCTGTCATGCCCTGGGCTAGAAATGTTATTAGCACAGTGACACAGATAGCGGCAGATGTGCAGTACGTACAGCCTTCAGGAAGCAAAGGCTTGATACTTGGACTTATCTTGGGTCGTAATGCTGGGCTTACGAGTGTACTTGACGTACTGTTCCGTTTCTTGCTGGTTCTGCCCTTTGCGTCGAGTTTTCGGCCCATCCCAGGGCTGTGTGTAATGGGTGTGGTTGGAGAGGCCATGGCAGAGAGCGAGGGGCTGGGTCTACCTGAAAGTGCTGCGCCAGCAGAAGGGGTCATACGAGGGCCAAGCTTCGGGGTTTTCCTAGCCATTGCTCGAGGAGTCAAGGCACCATTATGAGAAGGATCGCGCAATACGACTGGCCTTTGAGCTGCTTCAGGTAGATTCAGATCTTCGAGAATAGGGGGGCATCCCGGAGCGGAGCGGCCGTTTGGTTGTATGTTTGGGGAGTTTTCTTCGGGAGCGTTCTGGAGGCGCATGAGCGAAGCAGGTGTAGCAGGTGCTACCCCATGATTGTGCCCGCTCATGTTGTTACCCAAAATGTTTGGCGATTGTGTTAATGATGCAGGTCTGGGGGGCGGACCCATCAATGATTCCGTCAGGGGTTCTGGAGAGATGGAAGCGTCTGAGGCTTCTTGGCTGGGATGTGGTACATCTAGCCCGTATCCAGAGGCTCGCTGTCGTCGTAAATCCCCAGCTTGTGCTGCCTCAGCTTCTTTCAACATTACTATCTCTTTCGGTGTTATATTTGACGACGGCTTCGATTTCCGTCTCGCTCGTTGAATCGGCGATTGCCTTACTTTTGACGCCGAAGTCGCCGAGCGGGGCCCATTTCTTCTATTGTTACCTGTGCTATATCTTACTTGTCTCGCAGTGTCCTGGGTTACATGATCCAACATGTCCACGTCTGTATCTATAGGTGAAGTCGCAGCTGAGCTTGCAGAAGTTCCAGGTGTGTGTTGGTTAACGTGGTGTCGTTTCCTCTGCGCCTCAAGCGCCGGCGAAGTCAGAGGGCTGAAGTATGCGCCTGGTACGGTAAAATCTTGTTGCACTCGAAAAGCGGCCTCTTGAGGTGTAACAGCTGGTGATACAAGCGGGGTAAGTGAGGCCTATATTCCCAATCAACATTACACGGTGCCATGTCGTGCCAAATACTTACAGCATCATCATTTCTGAGTTGGTAGGGAGTCTGCTTTTGGGGATCCGTATGCTGTTGATGTGCATGCTGCTGCGGCTGGTACTGCTGGACGTATCGCGCGCCTGCGTGGATCTCTAGACTGTTGGGAGTAGGCGGGATAGCTGAGTGTGAGACAAAGCGCTGTTGATCTGCTTGATATCCAAATTGTGACTGTGAATTGGTATATAAATTCATTCCTAAGCCGTACTTCATATCGTAAATACCGTCAGAGGGGTCTGGCTGTGAAATCGAGTGCTGCGCCGGGCGAAATTGCTGTACATGTTGCTGGTGCACGTTTGCTATCTGTGTCTGAGTGGAGTGCACGTCTGAACCCATATGAAGCATATGCATACCATCAGGAAGCTCATTGAGCTGCTGACTAGGCTCGCGAATAGGAGCGCCATTGCTATCGAAACTAAACTCGAGGTCGCCCAGATCGCCTAAGTCGAGAAAATTGGCAAAGTCGTGATCCGGGACTTGTTGCGCCATGGAATCGAACTCTTGATGAGAAGCAGACCATTGTGCACCCTCCTGATCATTCATAGTAGGAAAGCGTTTGGAGGGAGCAGGAGTCTGTGAACGCCCAGTGGTGATGTCGACACCAGTGTTGGGGTGAGGACGAGATTCGAACAGAAGCAGGTGGGATATTGGCCAATAGAGGGGGGAGGGAGGCGCAAGGTACTTTTTTTGCGCCCAAGCCCTTCTAAGAGCGCGGGGTTCCAAGATGTGCAGGACGTCTGCGTGGTCGTCGCATACAAGCGAGAGGCAGGGCTGAGGAGATTTCGGAGGCTTGCGAGGGTGGAGAATCTCCTGCGTCCAATGTCAAATGTTATGAAGAATCCCAAATCGATCGTGAGAGGGAAGCAAAATCGCTTGACGTAGCAGAGCGGGCAGAGTGAAAGCTGAGCAGCAGTAGATTTTAGAGAGCGCGCAAAGGATTCCAGGGCTCCAGGTGGAGCAGTAGACGGGAATAGCTCTAATTTAGGCATCAAAACACCCCCAATACTATCCGCGGTGGAACTGTGTGAAGACCGCCTACGACTGACTGTTAATTACCCACTGGCTCTTGTCTGACCCGGCGGCGCACGCTGGACTATCGCTAAGATGAGCCTCGCCTCCTTCAAATCTCTATCGTTACAGATGTTTTCAAGCTACACAAGTGATAGAGAATGCATAGCTGTTGCGAGGTTTTGTCTGCGCCAATTTATGGGATACCTTCGTGCGGTAGAAGGTTGCTTGATTGTGAGAAGCGGAGGTAGTAGGCAATGCAGTCAAATGTCTCAAACAACATAATAATTCAGATGATGTGTTCACGAGTGTGATTTACTCATAGAGTGATGCTGCTAGCCCCACGCCGTTGCTCAAGGGCGTGGGATGAGAAAGAGACGATGTTGAAAGGTTCCCTGCTCAGCTGCACACAATGGCTGACTTGCTGCCCAGCGAACCTTTTCATTCGTGGGCTCCAGTGGTTGCGTAAGTATGAATTGTGGCGCCTCTGTGCGTTCTAGGGTTAGACCTGACGAGCGACCCATGATGACCCCATCCATCTCTGTCCGATGCGGTTCAGTACTTCTGCTTGTCGTGAGGGCGACTTTGCAGCAGAAAGATGTACATTCAACAGTAATTATACAAACAGAGAAGCTCAACTCGAGTGATTGAGACGTGCGGAATGATACAAAGATAGACGCCTCACTCCCAAATATCGATCCACTGTGGTCTTTCCCAAAGTTAGACATTCAATGGGGTAGCCATGACCTTCTGGGTGGGATTGGTGACGAGATCTCGGGATCCCACTCATATGAAGCCTGGGGTGCATGCAGGCTGGACCGTTGCGATCTGGAAGCTGGCCGGCAGCCTACCGGTACAGTAAACAGAGCGAAAATCGATACAGAGATATTATCTGGCTCTCACACATATATTAATATGGAACGAAGATCTCCCAGATCCGATTATTAGTTGAGGTACCTGCATACCGCACACCTGTATATGCATAATTGCTATGCACAGAGTGATATATGTGCTATTCGTCCCTTTATCCAGTCAGCCTTCCCATCCGATGAAATGCGTTTCTGATCCTCATCCTGACATGTCCAACAGCAACGCACGCCAAATACCAAACCGCCATGATGGCACTACCTGACAGACGCCAGGTTCGAATTCGTCTGTTCTCGGCCAGCTAGATATGCCGAGGCTCTTCGTGTGTCACAACTTCACAACCTCTTCGCCGTGCTCGGAACCAAGAAACCCTCTAGAACAGAACATGGAACCGTGACCGAATACGAATACACATCTACATGATGCAACTCCTTTCTAGCCGCATCCCATCATCCCACTGATTATCCCGCTCTGCATATCGCCTGCGCAAGCTATCCGACAGATCGCTGTCCCAGTCCCCACGCAGTAGTGACTAGTGACCTAGAACTTGGAGTCCATATGCTACAGATCCCTAAGGCCCCAGCAGCATTAGCAAGGGCAGCTAACGCCCCTCGCTAAATCCATCAGGGCGTGCGCCAACTTCAGCTGCCTTTTCCATGCTCACTTCCCAGCTATTCCCACATGTCAGGATAATTACTGCTAATAACTATCAGTAGAGAGACACATCAGTGACTCTATCAGTTCTTCTAGTAAAGGCGCACCGATATCACATCTAGATAATATAACCTCGTATTGTGTGCCTCATCACACATCTCTTCGTGTGCGCGGGTGGCTGTGTCGGCGTAAGCCATGTGCAGCTGTTGCGTTTCCTCTCGTCGATTCCGTTGCTGGAATACGTAGACCGATAGGTTGTACACCAAGACGACAATGTATAAATATTTTAGTCGCTGCACCTTGTCAACAAATGGCCACCTTCGAAAACACGGGACGCAAGTATCAATTGGCACATGATCAACATAACAACATGTAATTACTCAAGCTCATTGTCTCTTCAAAAGCGCAAGACATCACAGCAGTCCATTTGAGTCGTTAAAAGACTGCAAGTGTAGAGTGCTTCATCCGGCCTTCCAGGGTGCATCCGTCGTCGTTTTCAATGTAAACAGTCCACATGCGCCGCTGTGCTAGATAGATACAGGACCAGTCACCGACAGCCATACGTTTTAGTCGTTGCCCTTGTGTTCCCAAATTACCTCGCTAACTCTCTCGTGCAAGGAAATTGCTATGATGATGGACCAGAGTTGTGGTCGATGTCGTATCGCCTACTGATAATGGCCACGCTGTCAGATCGGCAGGAAATAGTTTCGTCGTTGGGAAAATATGGATGCGTATGTTAGATACCAGAGTTGTCATGGGTGGTGGAGGTTCGGTATTAAATTTAGATGACGTTGAGGGCGTCCGAGAAGTGAAGGAAGTGGTTGGTGAAGGACGGCCGTGGTGTGAGCTTATGTGACAAAACGCGCAGATACGGTAGAGGTATATCGTGTGGATGAGGAAGAGGTATCGTGTGTAGAATTACATGACAATACAGCAACCGCTAGACTGTTGCGGAGCATACGGGTCTTCTTTCTTATCGACCTGGGATTGAATTAGACTTCACCCACGAAGCTGATCATCGCGACGTGCTCACCGTTCCCCATCGTGAAGGTACCATGAAGTCTTTGGGTTCTTTGTCGGTAAATGCAATCAAACTGTACGTAAACAGTGTCAGCAACGAAAACGGATACGCGATAGCTCTCGTCAAGGTGATGTCTTACTCGATCGCAGCTTCTGAGACAGGTATTCTCCTTCTCTCCAGGTCCTCCTTGAGTCTTGTGTTGAGCTCCGTCAACCGACGTAGCTTTAACTCTGCCATGCTTTGCTTCTTACTCTTGCCGGTGTCGCCTGTTCGAATCTCGTACGGGGTTGACATCATCTTGCTAGAACAACTTCGAGGTTCGGTCGAGGACAGCTCAGACTAGGATTAAGCCGTTATACACAGCAGTGCAATACCCAGAGGGTCTGTTGGCGCGCGATAGACGTGGGCTAGAGGAGTCGGTGTGATGGAGAGAGACGGTTGGAAGGTGGAATGCCAATGCCGGGGAGCTGGCCAAATTCTTGTCCGCCAGCGAGCCAATATGTGTGCACACAGCTGCCTGTAGATGGATTGGAGATTGCGGAAATGGTCGCTGACTGCGTAGTTGAGGTCGAGTGAGCTTGTAGATGGAGTTGAAGCTCTGCGGGTGTGTGGGTGTGTCTGGCTTGGAGGTTGGCTCGCAATAAGGGGAGGCAGCCGCCAACGCCTCGCTCCAAGGTAAGGTTGGGAGGAAATTAGCCCAAATCACGCTAAACCTTAATCGCTTGGACTGGGCAGGAATGATACAACAGGACGGTTATCGGCCCATTAGGTTCTGTTCTGAGTTCGTATCCAACAATCGACTCAGTTATTATCCTTGATAGACACATCAGGCTGTGTTTTATCTCTCTAATTAGTGTATATCACGATGTATCTCTCCTGAATGCCCCTCATTTGACGATCCATAAGGCACACACGCATAGTTCCCATATGCCAGGGGACAGTACGCGTTTGTAGTTTGGGTATGTACAGGTGCGTACGTAGTGTAGGACTAACACTACAGTACTGAGTTATTTGCTTCTCGGATGTTATCTGCTCTAAGTGTAAGCTTTACTCACAGTCTCGAGACCGAACTATGGTTGTCATGATGTTGGACAATGCACAAAGACGAAAGACGGCCTCCCCACTGAGTTTAGCTTCCTCGAGATACTGTATAGGACTCATTTGCCAAGTATGCGTATGTTGATCGTGTGGTCTGGACCTTGCCTGGAATCCCGTACACCAATGCGATTAAAAGTGACTTTCCCCACAGTGAGGCCCCAAACGTCTGTACACATGCTCCTACCGCGCGATCCAACGCACAAGTAAATCACCTACCAGACACGCCCCCCGCGTGAGACACTGACATATCTGCATTGTTTGAACCAGACTTCGGAAGTTCGACTGAACCAACCCCCGCGATGGCATGGGCTTGCATCGGAGCCACCACCGCGATGGGCTGTTCTCCGCCACTAGCCCGGCATTCAAAGTCAAGGCTTAGAAAATCTACGGGACGTTGTAGTGAGCTTTTCGCCCGGTTGAAAGCTTCCATCGCGTCTCAATATGAAGTGCGAGTCTTGGTTTCCATTATGACTGAGACTTAGCTCTTTGATGCCTCGCTGGTATTTCTCTAGATACAGTTATCTATACCTTTTGTATATCATCATAATGGAATCATAGTCGAAGGTTTTTGTTGCTTCAAAGGCAACATCTTCACCCATGCGCAGTTTGTGTTGGAATGTCACTACACTATGGACACGCTGCACTGTCAATTCCAGTTTCCCTTCTAGGATGGTCAAACTATTGCCCTGTACCTATATACGTACACTTTTGCTAGGTCGAAAGTAGGCAGACTTTCAACATGACGTGGAAAACCCTATCCACACAAATACCATTGTGCTAGCATCTTCATCACCGATGCCTACAATCAATCTATGAGATAAAGGAGACCAGTGCGATATCGTATGCAAACATTCCCTAGATAATAGCAGCGCGAAAAGATGGGTCAGCTTGCAAACCCGCAATGTCATGATTGCGCTGTCACTCTTTCTTCGCTCTGATAGCCTAGAACGCTCAACAAGGGCACAATGAAAAGAGAATATAAATGTTTTGAATTAGATACTAATATCAAATGGGGGTATGGCTCAATGGCAGAGTGCTTGACTACGATCATTTCGACATCAAGAGGTTCTGGGTTCGACCCCCAGTACCCCCTTGCTTTAACTTTTTCTTTTTTCCTAAACTTTGTGAACTCCCTTCTCGTACTTTTTGTTAAGAACTTTCCGAACCCCCTTGGCTTTTGCCTTTTTTTTTTCCTTTTTAGAACCCCCTACGTTCCGCCTTTTAGCTTGACACGCCATTCTACGCTCTACGAATTATGTATTACCATAGCGCTTTTGCTTAACTAATATTAATTATGCTACGCTACTAATTGTACGAATAAGTATTAAATAAATCAAATGGTAGGTGCGGCGCTTCAGCGTGAGTTTCGATGTTGAGGCAATTTTGACCCTAGTTGAAGTGCGCGTATTTATGTTGGGAGCATAGATCCTCGGACATAATCCTAAACGATATAAAGTAAACGCGGCTTACATATTTGACAGATGCGTTGTTTTGAGTACACCATCAAGAGTAGACATGCCATATATGATTATTCCTTTGCAGGTCCCAACGAGCTGTTGTGATGGTTCCCTATCGAAGATGCCCTTAGAGCGCCGCTGCTCTTCGACTCGCCCGCCCCTCTTCTCCGCTTCTTACAGGTATATAAGATATGGCAGGCCCCTGAGCGAGACACGTGTCTATGACTTCGACCTAAGCACGATATGGGAGGTGTTCGGTAAGATGCTAGGTTTCGAGTCTAAACTGCTTACACCAGCGCGACAATAAATTTCATCTTTGCAAAGCCTTTGCGACTCTAATTAACATAAGCGGGTGCCGCTTGGAGACCAGCGCATTGAAACCGAACGAGGCATGGTTGCAATTCTACAACTCTCTCGTACGACAACCCGGTCTCGAGCACTTCTACAGGCATCGACATACTTGCGGGATTTGGGATTTATCAATGCTCAAAGATAAGGGTGGGACACGCGTGGGAGATGTGCTTACAGTTGAGCTAAAAATGTTACAGACGGATAAATCGCCACTTAATCCACATCCCATTCTCACATGGGCCTCCAGAGGTGACATTTCGTGTTCCGCTACAGGGAAGAGACCCAAGACTACATAGCCCCACAGCGTTAAAATAAAATGGATCAAAGAATACGGATACCCGTTCAAAGGATTACTGGAACATCCTTTCCCCTGTGCTTCCTTGCGATCATCGTCTTATATCGAGTACTATATATAAATTAAAAGGATTCATAGTCTAAGATTTATTGATCCACGGGCCCATAGTGGAATATATAAACAGGTGTTATAGTATAGAGTCGATACCTTTGCCCAGATTCCAAGTTAGGTTCGAGTATACATAATATGGTTTCTTTAACATTACTAACAATGCTTACTTCTCTTTTTCCTCTCCCCTCATTTGCTATAGTATACTACCATGTCCACCCCACATGTACCGAAAAGCCAGCTATGACTGAAGCTATCAAGGAAGCAATACACATGGCAAGGCGAGTTTACGATCGCATGTGGGCCAACGATGCCGACATTCAAAAACTCCTATCCCGTATCTTTAAAATTGAACACAAGTCAGGAGCTGCGTGGAACGAAGTTTTAAGTGTTATGGGCGGCATTGGTTCCGCACAGCCCAAAGACGTAAGAGAGGCCAACACGCATATTTATTGTGACGGAGATCAACGCTGGCAATTTCTTGAGAATGAATGGTTTGATATGTCACCCGAGACCAGTATCATGCTCTACGGATCTCGTGTACCCCAATTCTGGATGAAGAATACGCCGAGATGCAGACCAGAATACAGAGGAGACAACTATGCTGTCACGTACATCTCTCAAGGACAAATAGGGCCACTGACTCACCCTAAGGATAATTCCATAACTATATGCGCGCCTTATTGTGATGCAGAATATACGACGATCGAGAAGTCGGTAAACGATCTTTGGTTAGATACGCCGCTTTCAGACACGACGAAGAATTCGACTAGGACGAAGAAACTCCTTGGGCCGAATGGACTTGCCAGCATAACACTACTACATGAGTTTACACATCTTGTAGATTTTGATAGTAGGTCTCATGAATCCGAGGTAAATTTTCGTCTAATAGATAAGTTAGAAATCGATCATGTTCCTGCATACCATTGGAATAATGTTATAGAGAAGTCAGCGGAGAACGCGTTGATAAATGCAGATAACTATGGTATGTGCTACATGCATGTTTTTACAAGTGAAGATCATTGACGCATCGCGCAGCCTATCTTGGCCTGCTGGTACTCTTAGGAGACTATAGGATCAAGCTTGATGATGATGAAACGAGATCCTATGCAGGCTACCTAGTCAAAACCGAGGAAACATACGTGAAACATAATTCTAAGGAGTGGCCATTAGGCAACAGTACCTCCAAGTAGTCCTTAAGATTGTAGATAAAAAGTAGGTACTTTATTTAATTAGCTATGGGAGTGGTTAGAGTCATCATATTCGGTGTGGTTTACGCGAGCGATCGGGGTCTACTTGGAGGCACTGTTGCGGGTTCCAACTGGAAACACCCGATTGGGCAGTTACGGGCGAATCCATCAAGCCTGACAGGGAATCCATCAGCTTGGCCAGCCAATCCATATCATTCAGTCGCTGCTCTGATTGGCTTGTCACTGGAATGCATTGCTCAATCTACGATCTCTTTCTTAACCATCATAGTATACAAGAGCCTATTCCCTGTCCCCTGATTCTCTGCCCTCAAAATCCCAATTTCATTGGCATCGAAACAGTTGACCTGTCCGTCCTTCTCATACAGTTTCACCATGTCATTGCTCCAACTAGACACCGCCAGTGCTACTACTGCCACTTGCTCCCCCATTTCTTCGCCCCTCACACCCTCCACATCTTCAGATAACATTACGCCCCGGAGCTATTTTCACACGCATCGACGCTCCGCTTCATACTTCTACGGTCTGGAACCTCCAATACCTGCGGATACACCAGTGGACTTTCAAATAAAACACTCTTCGCCGTTTCCACATACTCCTGTCACCACATCCCGTCCCTTTCTACGAAAAGACCATAGCATGGATGTCTCCAAAGTCCTGCAGCTGCAAACCGCAGCTGCATACCAACCGAACACATCAAACTCCGGTGCTTCGACCTCCTCTAAGACCTCTTTGAACCCTGTTCACACTCAACCCACTATACCTATTAGATGCTCAAGATGCCATCAGCAATCAATCTTCAGCTCCACACGCGGCATGATCAATTACGGCTCGAATCTATACTACTGTATACGATGTGCCGACATCGTCGGATACGGCGGATGAGGAGATATATCTACAAACTGGACAAGAGCGCAACACAATCAACATACAACACAGGATTCCCATCCTGATACAAGCACATGTACCGCTTGCTAGTCTGCCTAGCAGTGACCATACACGTCATGCAGCGGTATCAGCCGTGTGCATGGACTGATTTGTCTTATTGAGGTGGTATCAACGACCGAGGACAAGAGAGTTGCCCTGTAGAGGTTATTGCAAAGGCGAAGCACAAGTCTTACAATGTGACATCTGGTCTTCACACTCGTAATTGCCCCTCGGGCAAGAGCTGGGCGAAAACTTAAACTTTTGGAACGGTCAAGTTTCCCGTATGCGCATTGGGCGCGCTTATACTGCTGGAGCAGCTGAATTGATACCCTATATAATGACTATATGACAATGGTTTCTGAACTGCTCAGAAGAAAAAAAGTTACGCCACATCGCTTTGCACTCTTGATGCTTACTGCATTTTACCGGGCTGCCATCTGAAAGACTACCAGTAAGTATAACTTGAGGTTCTATTCACACGGCTGTGCTTTAACGTCATACTATCATCATCTCGACGCTTTGGAAGCGACATCAACACGTTGTAGTATACCATGCCGATACCAATGCTACAGCTACAGCGCACGTTCTATCACCAACTTGCCCAGCGAACCATCGACGATCTACTGACCTCACTCTTGGAAGGCTTGCCGACCTTCATCTGCAGATCTCTCGATCTGCGGCTGAGCTAGTCTTTATAGGTCGTACTAGTCTTGTACTTTAGTAGCAAGCTCAAGCTGTTAGCCCCGCTTACATCGGGTCGTGGAACAGCGATTCGACATCAGTGTCAACTGTCAAGTGGGCACCGTCGGCCATAGAGCTGCAGCAGAAGCGGCGGACAAGACTGTCATCAGTGAGACCCGGGGCTTGATGTCGAGACCGATTCTTACGGCACATTACGATGATGGTGATTCAAGCTTCACAACGTAGTCAATCAATATAGTATAGAACAGAACGTGCCCTATTCGGATAGATCGTCAACCAGATCCAGCATGCACGCATGCCCCGTCATCACCCATCGCTAGATGATCGCTTCCTGCATATAAACACACATATATCAGCTTACAAAGTCCGACTCCTACAATCCCAGCCCATTGACATCGAAAACACAGAATCTCGATGATCTACTAGTCGGGTAGTGACAAGTGATATGCAGAGATCGTCGCTGCGGGCTTGTCAACCCATGGATATCTCCACTATTTATACCAACAGGGCCAACCACCGGCTTGGTAATGTATCCCAGCAGCGTGGACGTGGCGATGTGACGATACATACGAAGTAACGAGCATCCTCGGGTCTGCTGTCGCGTCGGATCTGGGGCTGTCTTAGTGTGTTTGCTTCGCATGCTGACAACACTCTTGTTGCTTTTCCATCGACGATTGCACAAACTTCTGAGGATACGCGGCAACGCGGGTGTCGCACTATGGATGCTCGCGTCATCAACCGAATCCAACATAGGTCTCCTGCTGTGGTCATACGCAGAGATCTGACGATGTGATGATTACCACTAGGATCCGTGTCGTGCGTGCCGCGTGGCATTCGCCTTGTCTTGCTTTGTCAGTCGATATGGATGATCAGCACGCACGTATCCACAGTGAGGCTTGCCAAGCTGGAAGCTAGACTCATCCATGGGAACCCGATAGACTGATAGTTGAAGATACGATAATTATGGGAAAGTAGCCACAGCATCTGCTTGAAAACCCAGAGTTTCCAACTGTCATAGGTGCAGCAACATGGGATTCGGATGGATGTTTCGAGGCGCTTGAGCTCCTTAAGTCGAGCTTAGCTGCCCGCTATGTCGTCTGCCTTATCTATCAACGCTCTGGCCCTTCTATCTTCTAAGTACCTTACCTTCTACACACTCGCGCGTGCCTTGAAAACGCTTCTGGGACACCTCCGGTCCACACTGTCCACACGCAACTTGAGTCAGGCCAAGGTACGAAGCCGTGAATTGTATGGCGGATCGCCATGCGTGTCGAACTCACCAGGTCTCAGTCTCACTTGAGTATGCATTAAAGCAGTAGTGGGTTGAAGCTCTCCATGAAATTTTTGTCCCACAGCTATCATACTAGCACTAGAGTGATCTCACATCAGAATATGCTCGTCCCAGTCTCCGTTCCTGGTAGCTTGCTACTCTTGCATGCATCTACAGATGCCATCAGGCGGGAACCCAAAATGGTCATGCTCTGCTCACGATGATGCTCTGTGAGAGCCTTTTCGGCTCACAAAGCAACGCATTTGTTTCATATTGGATATCATCTCGCGGGGCTTTTGCGATTCTTCCACGTGGCAGTAGGCTCGCATTTGAGATCATGAGCTGAAACATAAGCATTTGCAGCCATGATGACGGGACACAGACTTGCAAGACGATGATGTGGCCCTGGAAACAGAGACCGCCGGTATAATGGATGCCCTAGACAAGGAGGAGGGGCTGAGAACACGTGTGAATGATGCGAGGGCTGGTGTCAAGCTGTGTGTAGAGTGTATGGATATTGGAGGTCGTGCTTATTGGGAGAAAGATCGAACTGTGGAATATTGCAAGGACTTGGTAGGGAAGAGAAGAGATACAGAGGTGCAAGAATTTATTAACGGTATGGTGTGTCCGCATCGGATGGCGCAAGTGCGTCAAACCTCAAAAGGCACTGGATGTCTCTACGAGTTTACGTTACAAATGGAGCTGAGAAGGTACTTAAAGTGACTGTTCAAGATATGTTTGTAGATGCTTACACAAAATAGCACATACCAGGTGAGCCTGTACACGGACGACAAGTGTTGTTATCGGCCATCCGTCCAGTCGAACTCCATCTTGGGCATTTTTTGTGTTGGCCGACTCTTAGTCTGCCGTATCTGATGACGTTGTTGGTTCAGATTCTGTCCGTAGTTCAAGCTGTCTCTCTATCGGAACACACACGAAACCCAGAAGTGCCATCGACATTATGACCAACCAGACAACGCGAAGAGCTTTAACGTAAACCTCCTGCACTTGACCCTGAATCGCGCCGTCCAGCGCTCTGATTCCAGCGTTCGGATCACTAGTTGCTCCGAAAGAGTACGCCGCACCTCCCTTGAGCAGAGTTCTGATGTTGTCAGCACTGATCAGCCCGATATTTGCGTCGAATTGTCCATTAAATACGACCCCTGAGAGGGTGACCCCCCATACGAGACCGAATGCTCTGATGAACGAGTACATTGCTGTTGCAACAGCGACATCCTTTTCTGGAAGGGCAGCTAAGGTACTCGGCAGTGTTGCTGTGAAGATAAAGGCTATACCAGCAGATGGAAGTAACTGAAGCCCTACCCAGTATCCAGTTGACGAACTCTGGGTCAGCGTAGAGAAGAGGCCCATCCCGATAGCCAGCAGTCCGAATCCAGCATAGTGGAGAGGAACATAGTATCCCCATTTCGAGAGACACCAGCCAGCGAACCCTGCAAAAACAATGAAGGACAGTGCGAAAGGCAGGAAGTATACGCCCGAGTCGAGTGGTGAGGCAAGTCTGACTGCCTGGAAATACAACGGCAAAAAGTACGCGATTGCTTGAAAGACAACGGAGCTGAAAAATACCATCAAGAATCCAGCGACAGAGGTACGGGTAAGAAAGAGTCGGGGCGGCGCGCTCGGGATACCACAGAACCGGCTTGCTTCAAAGACGTGGAATGCTATCCAGCCACATGTACCTAGCACGAGTGGCAAAATGACTCGCCACGATGACCACGGGTGTTGGATACCACCAGTAATGAGGCCGTAGAACAAAGCAATCATCGAGACGACGAATAGCGACATCCCGAAAAAGTCCACTTGTCGAAGTGTGATGTGTCGTGGCCTGTGTTCTTCGATGTTCATCAATAACAGAGTCCCGAGGAATCCAACACCGCAAATGGGGAGATTCATATAAAAGATCCAGCGCCAGCTTGACTCTGCCAGGGCACCGCCGATAGATGGACCGATGGTAGATCCTATCCCTGCAGTAGACAGAACAGCGCTTAGGTATGGTCCTCGATACCTTGGCGGTACGATGTCACAGATGATGATATCCGAGAGGACAAATAGGCCTGCTGTGCCCAAGCCCTGAACCGTACGACCAGCAATGAGCATCGCTGCACTACCGGCGCCTCCTGAAATGCCACTTCCGAGGGCAAAGCAAGTAATACACACCAAGAACGGATATCGACGCCCGAAAATGTCGGCGATCTGACCAAAGATAGGTTGTGGTGCTGTTGAGGCGAAGAGAAAGCTATGTGCAACCCATACATAGAGCTGTTCCTCTCCGCCGATTTGCCGAATAATGGTTAGGAGGGAGGTGGTTATAATGGTACTGTCCAGCGCTCCAAGGAAGGAGAATATACAGAGCACTGCAAATATGCATCGAATGCGCCAAGTGTGTTGAAACGTGGGTTGAGACTCGCTAGTATCCAGCCCCATGAGCTTGGAACTTGTCTCGATATCCAGAGGTAGAGGCTTCTCTGATGAGTTCTCATGGGGAGAAGATAGTGGACTGGTAGATTGATTCTCAGATCCAGGAGGCTTTATGACCTCGCTGGATTCTGAAGCCATGGTGCGCTATTGCCGTGTCGAAAATGAGTATCTCTAAGTTTTGGGGTTCTGGAGGCAACTATGGGGAGTGAGAATAGAAGCTGGGAAGCATTGCATGTACAGGAGTGGTGGGTAGTCGAAGTGATTCTAGCAAGAGTTTTGTTGCTATGCCGTATTTACAGGGCAAGTTCACGGTATAAATTTTAGTGGTGTGTCTGTTTGGACTAATATGGCAACCAACACCATACTAACGGCGTAGTCCCAGTCTGGTCACAAGGCTATGCAACTGGACAGCAACTTAATGTCAGCCTTAGACGGATGATGCCAGTGCCGCATTGTAGAACAGGACGAATAAGCAATATTGCTACGCCTGGTTCATTCTTGGCGTCACGGCACGCCTGTGAACTTCCGGAATAGGTTTCAGATCTTTTTCCTAAAACGTGCGGGTATCGCCCTTCGTAGAGCATTTTCATCAGAGCTCGGACAAAGGTATGGTGTTTACCCCACATCACAAAGACTGGCAATACCTGCATAGCCAGATGTCTTGGCCGTCTCAATACTGTCTTGCAGCAGCTCCAACTTCTTTTCACTGGAGTGGCCAATAACAACAACTAGAGAAGCTGGATGCAACAGATGCAACAAAGCAAACTGTAAGATTATGAGGCGAGCTTGGCCAAATCCGAGAATTCTCTAAAAATACAATCCACACAGGGAGTTTCATTATTCACCGATCGCTGACGTGTCTCCGGGCGCAGGCCGGATCAACAAAATGAGGTCAAAACGATTGGTGAGTCTTGAGAACCCCTGTTGACCGTTGGGCCCAAAAGGAGAAAAGGCACGGCGGTTCACAAGATGTCAGATCCCTGTCCAAATGATAAGGAGCGAGCAGCCGGATGCTCGAGGCTACTGAGAGTTACACTATCCATGCCTAATGCGCCCTCTGCTTCAATGTGATACATGGAGTCGTTGGGATATAAACAGTCCGCCAAGAGAAGTTGCGGTTCTGATTCACATTTTCCATCGTGCAGTCGTAGTCAGTTATGATCAGTCCGAGAATCTGCTTCATCATTGCACTCGCATAGAAACGTCCTGGACTTCAGAAATTGTTAGTAAAGTGAAATCGGTGAGGAGAATTAGCTCATACCATGCCATTTTGCCCGTGCCCCATGTCTGCCATTCACGAATGTCGGTGATTGGAAGTGGTCTCTCTGCTTGTATACTTCCATATACATGACGATCTTTCAAAGAATCGAGTATTTCGGAACTCACATGACGGAAGCCGTTGAATTCGTTGGGTTGGGCCCACTTGGCCGAGTCCTTGAGCATTGGTGTCAACGGTGTGCATACCCATTCACCAGCATTCACCTGATGACCGCCGGAGAAAGTGAATGGCTTCAAGGCTAGTCGTCGAGTTCCAACTACTGTCGTTAGCCAACTGAGCATATTGTGATCTACGGCAGACGTCTGACCACAATCCAAAGGATTCATCCTCTGAGACTCTTTAATAAAGCTCTCCAGCAGAGGTAGTCCCTCTCCTGTTGCTTCAAAAGCCTTGAAGGCAGCACTTTCGAGCTCCATCCGGAGAGGTGTTACATACTCTGAATGCAAACAGAGGTCTTGTATGACGTAATTAAGAGTCTGTTTGGTTGAATCAGTGACTTCCATAATACGAGAATAACTGAAGAACTCAAGAGATGCTGAGTCATGCGTGGGAACTTACTGAAGTGACACTGTGCATTGCTCCAAACCATAATGCAATCATCTCATGGGTTACTCGCTCTGCTGACCATGGGTCGACTTTATCTGCTGACCATGGCCGTAGCTTATGGGTTTGCTCGATCACCCACTGCAGACAGTCCCTCTGTGTGGCTGTATGTTAGAGACTGAATTGTGTAAATACCTGAATACTCACATGTTCAGGCCCCTTGATACCTCTGGATGCCTGCTCTCGCTCGTCGAGGCGTATCTGAGCCAGAGCTCGGACTTTGTCGAACATTACTTTCTGCGATGGACACATCCATCCCACCAAAGTACCGATCATACTGAGGAGATGTATCAGTTCTATGAAGGTAGGGGGGAAAGTCGCACTAACGGTTGTAAAAATTCTGGCAGTAGATTAAGCGGTTCGGCAATGTAAATGACCCTGAAGATGAAATCGAGGGCAGCGTCCATGAACTCTGTATCGTTGACTACTTGGGTGAGCTTGCATTAGTCCATAATACCCCTTGAATCTAGATCATGAAGAATATCTTGGGTCAACTACGCACCAAGATCGTCAGAAAAAAAGGCCAGCGAATGAGTGCTTGCCACAAGGGTATGAAAAACATGGCTAATAGATGGTCGTCCTTGGCTCTCCTCTACCATGTTCCTGAGAAGGATTTCGTTCCGAACGCGTGTTTTCGGTAAGATCCTACCAAGATCATGTCTCAGGAAAGCTCGCAATGTTCTAGTCAAAGGAGCTCCATCAAGGCCTTTCTTATCAGGCCAGTTGAAACTATGCATGGTATATTTGGGTTGTAACATCTACACTAAGTCAGCCGCTTGCCATCAGCATAAGAAATGACCTACGATTTTGGCTGCTGCCTGTAACGAAAGAACATCCTTTGGTGCATTATCAAGATCCTTGATATGCTGCTTCGTAGACACGAGGGTATGGCGTCGGCCTGGAGCATCGAGTATAAACGGTTTCCCGTGGGCCTTTCAGATATTAGCTACTTCATTTCTTCTATATCATGGAGGTCTTCTAACCGCATCATATGATGCCTGAATAAGGGAAGGGCCTTTCCAGTAGAAACTCCATTTCTCAACTGAACGTCTCAAACTTAGATAAGGATAGTGTATGACGTATCGCTGGTAGACACTGTCAGTAAATGACCACTACATGCTGCTCCTGGAACAGACCAGACCATGCTTCCGGACTGATGTAGATAGTATAGGAAGTAAGATGACAAGACTGATGTACACTAGTAAGGGCCATGCTTCATCTCCAGCCCTAAATAACACAACATCGGCAAGAACCATGGTAGTCAATAGACTCAAGACCTCACCGATTGAATTGAGAAGAGGTACTATTGTAGAAAGATTGTAGTTATGAATATCTTGTGGATTGTGAATGGTGGAACTGGCTCACTGTTGTTATTCAGTGGTCTTCGATTCTGATATATAACATCACTCGGATGTATTATCTGAAAGTAAGGACAATCATTTCTAAAACGAGCAGTTATGCTGGTCGCCTCCTACTTGCTCTACAGTTTTCTCCAGAAACCCCTGTAAGCTGTAACCTGTCCTAAGACACGGCGTATATCAAGGCGCAATCAACTCATGTCTCACACAAGGAGAGGTTGACCAAGTTTGAGAACTGCTGCTAGTCATGTCTTTGATGCCTTTAAATCTGCAATCATCCTGGTATTCCAACCGCAGACTCAAAATATTCAGCCATGCCCCCAGTTATGCACAGGTCTGCATGCAAGAGACGGCAGCTAGGATACCCAGACTCCACTGGAGAACTGCCTAAGGAGCAACACAAACTAGACTCAGATCGAACGAAGCCAGTGAAACGAGCAAAAATGCTCCAGGGAGCAGTGCCCTCGCCCCCATTCCTACTCTGGGGGACCATTTGTGACATACATGCATGCATGTTCATAACAAGGGAGCACTGATGAGCCAGGCGCTTCTATTTTCAGCTTTCGCAGCCTGATTAAGATCAACTACATCGCCACAGGTTCTTCCAGACCCACAGTAACTTTCACCACTAGAACTCAGCTTCAGAGTGAGGTTCTTCACGACATCGAAAATGAACGCAGCTCCACAAGGCGTTGATCCATCTCTCATTCCCATGTCGACAAACCCTAGCGGTGCCCCGTCGAACTTTATCAATCCGCCTTCTCTGAAGGACTCCCAATTCGCTGGAGGGCTCACTCTGATAATCTTGAGCACTGTTTTCCTCATCTTTCGAGCCTATACGAACCTACGTCTGACTAGGCGATTGTTCATTGATGACTGTAAGAATATGACGAGAAGCTATTACAGCTATACTGACTGTTATTTCATAGACCTCTGCTTCTTAGCTCATGCCGGGGGCATTGTTTACTTTGCTTCCCAGAGAAAGAGTGAGTGAGCCTCGAATTTATATACACTATTGTTAACATGTCAAAGTGTGCGAAGCTGGCATTGGCAGGCACTCCTGGGATACGTCCGTTGCCATGTTGACAGACCAAGTTATGCAGGTAAAACCATAGGAAACTCACTGAATCTACAAGAATCGTAGTTAATGGCAGCTAGAATCAAATTCTCAGTCAAATGATCATCGCGCCAACTCTTTGGGCTGCGAAATCTGCGATCCTCGCTCTTTATCTCCGCATCTTTGGGAAGGTAAAGTGGCTCAGAATCTCCTCCTACATCTGGATTTTCCTCATGGCTATCATTTTTGGGCTCAATATTGTCATCAGTGGCGTCTTTTGTGTCCCACGATCTGGAGAGGCGTGGGCAGACGTCACGTTCAAGCGATGTTCTGACTCCGCTTGGATAAGTCTTATCGTGGGAGTCTTTGCCGTGATTGCGGATCTGGTGATACTTCTGCTACCTTTCCCGATCATCATGCATCTTCGACTGAGCACCTCGAAGAAGATTCATCTAGGGATTGTATTTTCTACTGGTGTCATGTAGGTTCAGTACGGCATCTTCCAATGCTTCAAACTCAGCTGATCGCCCTTTCACAGCCTCGTAGCATTGAGTGTCGTATCGCTCGCCCTGAGGGTCATCATTTACGAGGGGAAGGACCCTTTCTGGTACGGGATCCTTCTTGGAATTATATCGTGAGTTCCATTACCTCTAGTCATCTTCGCCATCTGACATACAGTGCCAGAACCGCCGAAGTTTCGGGGACTGTCATCGTCAGCTGCGCGCCAGCTGTGTCCGCATACTGGTTCAAGATCTTCACCAAATCCACAGTCTTTTCTCTTCTACAGAAGAGTATGATTTGGACATCTCCGAGCTCGACGTCAGTTGCCACTGAATCTACACGCGGAAGACCCAGTACTTCTGGATCAGCTGCCAAGCCAGCAAAGTCACATGTTGTTGAGTTTTGAGCTCAATACTTCGTTATCCGCACATGATCGGGAGCGGAAATGGGCGGTTGGAATATCGTTGGCCTAACCAGAGTCAAGTGACCAAAATGTTGGAACCCTGGGTAGCCTTTGTGTACTCTTACCTTGTGGAGGATTTCTTGACACGTTATCATTATCGTTGCGATTGGAATTTCCGGAATAGCTTCAGACTTTTGACGGATGATCTTGATGAGCTTGCCTTAGTTCGAATAAAAGTACGCATTCCGTAAACCAACCAGAGACTACAATTGGTGTTGCGCGCGAGCGAGTATAATCGGCCTTCTCAGGCTAGGTCCTGATAGTGCCGATTTTTGGACTATGTCTTGCTCTTCGTCAGACCGTGTCTTGCCGACCACAAGATTGACTGTCCTAGCGATGAAGTATGACATGATAGATCGTTCAGGAAAAGGGAGGATAAACAAGGCAACTTGGTCATATCATGTGGGATGGGCGGCTAAGCTGCAGCTGATGGCACAGCTCTGGAGAAAATTGGCCACTTATGGGAAGATGGGGATGTTGGGCGGTCATGCGTCTTTGATTGATAAAGTATGATATTGTGAGACTTTCGGCCAAATAAGCCCGAAAGCCCCATTCGGCAGCTAGCGACGATGCGGGCCGCAAGGGAATGCCTAGTAGCAAGGCGGAAGGTTCCGACACACCCATATGCCCGCTCCGTATGACAGCGGTAACATGGAATCAAGATATCGCTGCAAGCAACCTTGACTGTGCCGCTATTACGGCATGGTCAATGATGTCAATATCTATATGTAGATCAGAACAAGCAGGCAAGGTAGATGGGGGAAACAGGGCTGTCCTCATCCCACCGCCTGTGCTTCAAACTTAGCACTCGCAAAATTCGCCCGGCAACTCGAAATACACAGAGCATCCTGCTTACTCTGCAGTCCAATATCCCACCCACATCGTCCATACTAAAATATCTTCGTCGAGACTCATGGCTACCGGAGAAATCGCCCACCTCCTGAGCGGAGCTATCATCACTCTCGCATTCTCCCATTTCGAACACTTCGAGAACCGCCACATCCCCTCCATACTCGTCGCCGCACTCACGGCAACTGGTGGGACTTGGCCTGTCTTCAGCGCCTCGAGCGCGCTCACGAAGTTTGGCTTTCAACCATCCATTGCCGCCGCGAAGCCCGCGTTCCCAGTCATTACAGTCTTCTCCGCACGTGATACGACGATCGGTCTATCAGTACTGGCTCTGTACGCTGCGAAACACTTGGAAGCCATTGACATTATATGGTCGGTGGTGGGATACATTGCATTTATGGATGCCTGGGTTCTCAGTCAGCATGGTCGTCCTGGGCAGGCCATGTTCCGATTCGTGGCTGTGGGCTTGTCGGCGATGATTGGGATCGTGGGACTGACATCTGGAGTGTCGCCTGTTGGTTTAAAGGTGCTGTAATGACCATGATCTGTATGCAGCAGGGCTTGGACCAGATACATAATCTCGAGCTTGAGCAGATGTTGTTACCCTTTCCATGAAAACACAGGCGTGTTTTGAGTTATGAAGTCAGATGAAGCAATACACTCGATACATACGATTGAGCCGGTCCGAAGACTCACGGCGGCTGCTAGTATTCTATCAGTTGGAGTACACGTTTCAACTATGGGAGGTAGTTTTGGAATTTAGCGGTATGGCGATATGCGCTCGGAATATGTACGACTTGACGAATAGAGAGCTCTATTCACTACTCATCCCAATCTGTCCTAGCGCGGCACCCATGAACGTAACCCGGCCTGCAAGCACAGCGCAACCTCACACTATTTAAAACATTAACCGTGCCTCTTATATCCCATCCCCCTTCTCCCCTCTCACTTTGAACCCAACGACCCATCACAATCGGCCCAAAACCCCATCCGAGCAAAGTCCAAACAAACACAAACATCACGCCCCCAAACTCCCACTCCTCACAATCAACACCATGTTTGAGCACTTCACCCTCTTCCAGACGCCCTCCCTCTTCGTCGCCTCCGCCGTGACATTTGGCGGCCTATGGCCCTTCTTCAACGCACACGGTGCCATCCTCGAATTCGGGCTCCCGCCGCGCGTCGCCCTGTCCAAGGAGGCGCAAGCTATCATGGTTCTCAGCTCTGCTCGCGGCACTGTCGTGGGCCTGTCTATGTTCATGCTGTACTTTCGCGAGAGGTTCGTGGAGTTTGATATGGTGATGGCGACGCTTGGGCTTTACGTTGGGGCGGTCGACGCGTGGATCTGTTGGAGGGAAGGCATGCCTAGCAAGGCGGTGTTTAGGGGTGTTTCGGGAGCGCTGATTGCTGCTTGGGGTCTTGCGGGAATGACTGCGCCAGCGTGAGATGAATTGTGATGGGTGCTTCACAGTCTGATCGTGGAGAGGGACGTATGCTTTGGTGAAACGCCGACGCCTCTCCCAAGATGGGGAGTGTTTTGTATCAGCCCTGTGATTTCTACAAGAATGTATGTCTTGAATTTGGTGAAGCTGCCCATTTGTCGTCGTCAAAACAATGCGCTAAACGTGATATGCCTACATTACGACCCAGTCATGCTATTCCCCGGGCCGGTCCAAGTGCGCAGTCCATGAACGCCATAGTATCCAACTCCAGTAGTCCCTTTCGAGTCTTTCAGCTCTCATCCATCATTTCTTCTTTTACTCCCGCCTCTCCCAGGTGCTTCAGCATCCAGCTGCGTTTGAAGTATGTATTCGGATGCACAATGGTATCCAGCTGCGCCGCCCCCAACGTACCTTGATCCTTAACAGTCTTGATCTCAACTCTGTGTGCATGTTCAAACACCCTATTACAAGCAATATGATACCTTTGCTTGCCGACGTCTTCCTTGACACCCCTCAGCAGTTCGCGGTCGCTTACACCCACCTTCTGAAGCAGAGAGATTAGGTTGTCAGGTGCGAATGTTCGATACGGACAGCCATGCGATTGACCTGGACCTGGAAGAGGCTCCGTGAGGATCCTTTGACATGAGTATGGCGTGTACCCTCGTCCACGGCGGTTTGCATCACCTCCAACGTCACCATACGCATGGCGCACATTGTATCGGTACTCCTTGTTGAACTTCTCGTCGGTGATGAGCTTGAAGCTGCGGCGCCAGAAGATTATGCATTCTTCGAGGCTCAGTCCGATTCCCTTTAGGAAGAGCGTATACTGTAGACGGCCCAAATGCTTCAGATGTGAATTCGCACGCAGAGTTTGATGTAGATTCTGCATGCAAAGGGGAAAATGCTGCGAGAGCGTGTCGATGTTTGCAGCGGTTGGTACGGACATTCCTGCTATATCACCGTCTGCTGAACTATATGCGACGTCAGGGGCAGTGAAATTAGTGGACAAATGCTCGAGTATAGGCTTCAGGCGATCGTCTTCGTCTAATCGAGGTAGTGCTCGAGAGGTAAGCTGTTAATACTGGTTAGGTTCAACGATCGCAATGTTGATAGTGACTGAAATGCTTGCCTCGAGTGCAGAGTCCAACCGTTTGGTGAATTCTGCAAGGACCAAGCTCATTTGTTCCCTTTGCGGCACATACGCCCTTCCTCTCCTGAGAAGTACCCTTCTTTGCTCAACCAGTTCTGGGACTTGCTCCCAATCCACTTTAAACCATCCTTCTTCATCTACGTTTCTAATGCCCGGAGTTGTCGCAAGCAGGTCTTTGGCAAGTTCCTCCTTCTCTTCCTTGGACATCTCTTCCCAGTCGAAGTTGAGGCTCTTTACAAACGCTTGCTTTTCCCTCGTGTCGTCCTCTTTGAAACGCAGCCGGAAGAGCATGGTTTCGAGACGTGCAAACCTCTGGCGCAGGTCTGGCGTCGACGAAAAGGCAAGTCGGAGTATAAAATGCGAGTAATGGTCTTTTCTGCGTTCATCCTGTAACGTAGATGATCGCGATGAATTTGAGTGCAGAGGCAAGTGTTTTTCTAGAATAGAAGACATATATGAAGTTGTTTCTTCCGGAGATCGGTTGCGAAATGAGCATGCTTCGAGCTCAGAGAGCACTGTCCGTTTGTCAGTCGACTAGGTTATAAGAACACCGAGCGTTGTGGGTGTGACCTTTTAGCCTGGAGATAGCCCATTCCTCAAACTCTTCCAAGCTGATCTCCGTCGTCGGCGGTAATTCATAAAAGTTCAATCGGTGCTCATAGTGTTGTTGTTTGAACTCTGAATCGGCGAATTGTCGCTTCTTATGGCTTAGGTGCGCTCTGCGCTTGGGATCGATGCGATTATCTGACCGAAGCATGGTGTATGTATGTTGGCTAGTTATAGCAATTCGTTTGTCGCAATGCTGTATTTCTGGTGGGGATCAAATGAGTAGTAGCCCTGTCGCCGGAATGTCGGAAGACGCGCCGCCAAGAAATGGACGCGTCCACGCGTTATTTCGCGTTTAAGTACACACTGATGAACCAATTACAATCACTGTGCAAAACAATCGAAAGGTCAAGTATAGGCTGGGCTGAATAAGCAGTCATATGCTCTAGGTCTCCTAGTATGTTCCACGAGAATTAACTCCAGCTTGCCACATCATAAATATGCGATCCTATCAGCCCAACAAGTCGCTAAGCTTCTCCACATAGGCTGCCGGTACTGTTTCTGCGCCATCAGCTAGAAACTCTTCCTTCTTGCTCACGCCAGTCAAGACTGCGAGGGTGCCGCCTAGTTTCCCATCAATGCCGAACCTGATGTCGGTATTTAGTCGATCACCAATCATACAGGTCCGACTCCGATCCATCTTGACCTTGGCCTCAACAGCATCCAGCATTGCCTGACTTGGCTTGCCTAAAGAGAGTGGCTCTTTCCCAAAGCTTGTAACGAGTGGTGCTCCGACCCCTCCTGCACCAAGGAAGAAAGATTTGGACATGGGTAGGGTGCTGTCTGTATTGGTAGCGAGATAGACAGCTCCACGTTGAAGGTAGGCGAGACCGTACGCAAGCTTTAGGTAATTCACGTGGAAGTCAAGACCAGCAAGAACTACGCCAACTTCCGGATCCAATGCAGAGCCATCTGCGAGCGCATCGAAATCTTCTTGTTCGATGTCGCGGCGCATGTTTGGATCCGTCCCACCGCAGTATTTGATGCCCTCGGACGCAAGCTCTTGCTCGATACCTGATTCGCCAAGTATGTATACCTTCTTCTTGTCGGCGGGGAGGTCAAGGATCCGCGCGATGTAGATGGCGGCGCTGTAGGACGAACCAAAGATTTCTTCCTAGAGCATAGTGAGCTCGATCGCAGCCCTCGAGAATCGGCTATCGTACCACATTGGCTTGGATGCCAGCTTTGTCAAACTTTGCTTTGTAGTCTTGCCTGCTCTTCGTGCTATTGTTGGTCACAAAAACGAGCCTCTTGCCCCTGTTCCGCAGCATGTCGAGGGTTTCGGGTACATCAGGGAAGATGTGATTGCCGGACCATAGCACGCCTATCCTTCACGCATAATTGTCAGTATTATATTCCACCTGAAGCATGACTATGTGCAGTGCGTATGTTTATGTTGGTAGTGAGAGGGCGCGTACCATCGCAGTCGAAGAGGAAGACCTGATTCCCATGATTAGAAGTATTGCGCGCACGAATGACCCAGATCCACGTACATCGAATTGGTCTAGGAATGCATCGATTGCGACTTTGTCGCCTGTCAAGCAATGTGAGACACTCATGTTGTTGAACGTATTTAATTTTTGCTTTGGCAAGAAAGGAGATCTGTATTAGATGGCTGAACTTCTTCTAAAAGAACTGTTGAACAATGAGCCTGAGCCCCACCTTAGGTACTCGGACGTCACCCCGCCACGAGGTAGTCCACGATTCATTGGCCATAATGTTATCATTCCGACACGAGTCAGATTGTCACATACCCCCACCATATACCCAGAGACAACATGAGCACCACCTCCAGAATGCTAAATCTCGTGTCGTCGTCGGTCTCGTCTACTGCTACATATCTACAACGTCTGAAGTGAGGCTTTACCTACAGCCTCTCCTTCGGAGGAGAGGCGATTGGGAGTCAATCGACCAATATCTTCGTCTCCAATTCAGAAAAATGGGCGAAAAAGCTTTCGAATAAATTGATAGCATGCTCGACGTCATGGGCACCCCCAGTCTCGCGGATGCTATGCATGCTCAGTTGCGGGTTGCCCAAGTCCAAGGTCCGGACGCCCATAGCCGCCGACAGCATTGGACCAATAGTGCTACCACATGACGAATCGTTTCTTACAACGAAAAGCTGTAGAGGAACACCGTTTGCGGTACTTGATGTGCTCGTGGATGATTTCTTTGCCCGCCTGGCAGACTCTTGAAGTAATGCGATGCCAGGAGAGTTTGTTGCATAGCGAGCATTGGCGTTAATCTTGATGACAGTGCCTTTGTTCATTTCGGGACGATGCGAAGACTCATACTTGGCGGGATAGTTTGGATGTACGGAATGGGCCATGTCTGCTGATATTAAAAACGAGGTAGACAGAGTCTGCTCGTATGCAGTAGCAGTATCTACCTCAGTGTCGGAGGCATGGACGTAGGATTTTTCGGATCCGTGGTTTCCGTTTGGAAGGACTGACAATCTGCGTATTATGGATGGTAAAAGATTAGAGTCGGCACCCTGTGCGGTCTGACTGCCAATTTCTTCATGATCGAACAATGCAATCAGTCTGATTGTATGATCGCCATCAAGGGCGGTTGCGTCTTCAAGAGACTTGATGATAGCCTGGGTGCTGCAGTAGGACATCATCAGATTGTCGAGTCGTGGCGAGAATATCAGCTCGTTATTCAAGCCACCAACGGCAGACTTCTGAGTATCGTAGAGCACTATCTCGAAGTCAACAACATCCGTTACAGGTACACCTGCTTCATCGGCAATGATCTGAACGATGAAAGGATGATGTCGCTCGGTCGGAAGCTGAAGCGGCTCAAAGGGACCGTCATTCTTTGCTTTCTCGCCGTCGGGTTTGTTAGGAGTCTCAGACAACTCCTGCCTGTTCAGCTCTGCCGCGACCAAGCCGGCGATAGGAAAGAGTTGAGTTTCTTTGTTGAACTGAAAGTTTTCTTGGCGGTCGAGGTGGATGGCCAAAGTAGGAATTCGCAGAAGAGGCCGATCGACCTTGACCAAGCGCTGTTCGACACGTCCGTCGTGCTTGACCATGACTCTCCCGGCGATACTCAGATCTCTATCGAACCAGGTATGCCATAAACCTCCACCATATGTCTCGACACCAACTTGTAGGAAACCATCACTCTGTTTCTTTGAGACTGGCTTAATGCGAAGGCAAGGAGAATCGGTGTGCGCGCCTATCATGGATATAGGGTTGCCAGCCTTCCATTTCTTGCCGATGGCGAAGGCTACGATGGACGAGGCGTTTCGAGTGAGGTAATATCTTCCGCCGGGTTGAAGAGTCGACGACCAGGGTTCCCGTTCCTGCGAATTGCGTTAGTGGTTGCGCAACACTTTAAAGTTGCGACACTGCGGCGAATAAATGTCAAGGGGAGCACTTTGAGGGCGTCGCGCATTTGCTGTGCACCCTTCTAAAAGTCTAGAAGAAGAAAAGAAAATCGAGAAAAATGGAGAAAAATCGAGGAGTTTTGGAAGTGAGCACGAGAGCACATGGTCATACTTTGATGGGCTTGAAGCCGGCCTTCTCGAGTCGATCTCTAGCTCCCTTGACGGCGTGAAAAGCTTTGGAGGGTCAGCAATTGGGTTAGAAGGCGCCGAGGAAGGCGGAAGGGAAGGCTGACGAGTGGGAGAGCTGTTCACGTAGGACAAGAAGTCGTTGGCGGCAGCAAGGGAGGGAGGCATGTTGCGTAGAGAGCGATGTTGGACCCGCACACCAGATAGCGATGAAGACGAATGAAGCTGGTGCAGGGCGCGGATTGAGCAGAATGGAAGCTGTGGCATAGGAGTGGCCAGAGGTTGATGTAATAGGCCCTGGCAGAGAGAGAGGAAAAGAGAAGAGCTAATAACCAATCTGGTGGCTGCACACGAGACTCGTGGAGAAGACCCGCCAGACGCCTCCAATTCACACTCACACTGACCTGCACTCGGACGACTCCGGAGTCACTCACAGCAGCTGACTGAGCATTTTAGACGCTGCTGGCGAGCAGGAGGAGGAAGAGGAGGAGGAGGAGGAGGAGGAGCAGCAGGAAGAGCAGGAGGAGCAGCTCCGCAGTAGTAGCAGCAGCACAGTACCCAGTAGTGGTTAGCAGTAACAGTAACATCACATCGGGCGCGCGGTTGGGGGGGAATGACAGGTCCGAATGTGAAACTGGCGCTGAGAGAGAGGTGGGGTTGGTGGTGGGGGTACAGTAGCAGTAGGTATAGAGTATGTAGAGTACAGTTCATAGTAATCAGTCGTAGGTAGCCTGAGGTAATACATCCTGGCCGCCGTCATGAGGATGAGATCCAAGTTAGCGGGTGTAATAGTCACTGGGCAGCTGGCTGTATTCCGACTCCCGAGTGACTGCTGCTGATTACAGTAGGTAATTATCCAGGTGATGATTAATAGGTAGGATAAGTAAGGCCCGTCTACCTAAGAGGTAAGTTACTAGTAGTCTATTCCCACGCGCACGTAAGACCGGGGCAGTCATAGGATGCAGCGAGGTATGCCTGAGGCTCCAATCCATGGTCAAAGTCAGTAGGAGTGGTGAGTGGTCCCGTGGTCCTAGGCAGCCTGACAAGGCCGTCACAGTCAAAGTCGCAAGTCCACCTCAACGCGCGTGCTCTTATTACCACTGTAGGTACTGGTAACTGGTACTGTAGACCGTCAATTAGGTCAAGACCGTCAAGTCCGCAAGTCATGACTGGATTTGGCTGGCGCTGCATCAGAATACTCATACAGTAGTGCACATTCTCCGTAGTGGGCCCAGCGCGTCCGGCCAGCCTCAGCCTATCGATTTGCGACCTACACACTACCGTTGCTACACCTGCGTCCTGCCACGCACCGGGACCGGGGCACCACAACAAAGTCAACAAAAAGTCAATAACACGCTCCCCATCTCCTGTCTTACTAGCTACATCTGGTGCATCGCGTCGCTGTAAATCAAAACATTCCACTTCCGCCCAAAGTCACGTACACAACAACCTTGCCGCGCCTACTAATTACTTACTGCTTCTGCTTCTGCTACTGCTACCACTGCGAGCCGCATTCATCCATATTGCTACCTTCACTCCTTCAACAGCTCTTCATTGTCGCCCAAAAATCCCCCTTCATTCACTCACACTTGCCAGTGTTCCAAGGTTCCCGCGCCCGCTTTGCGACCTTTCCGTATTTGGACTGACTAGCGGCTCCCCCGTTACCATTTGTCTGCCCACCGTGATAGACAATCATCACACCCTATCCACTTGCCTTCAACTCCATCACCACTCTCTCTATCCAAATACCACCGCCTTTCCATCCTTCAAACCGACGCGCCCATAACCGAACAATGAGCTGGACAAGCGCTTGATTGTCCTGCCCTGCTCTCTTTGCAGCTGTGCGCACTGCGTACCGCCGCGTTTACCATCGTTTGCTCAAAGGGGTGAATACCTATGGACTGGAACTCACACACAATCAATATCGCTATCGATCTATCCTCATCTCAACCAACCATCTGCAATCTTCGAAATCGCTCTACTTCCACTTTCACTTCGTTCGGCGCATCGCGACTCTAACCCAAAGCCTCACCTGGCGGCAAACTTCACCCGCCCGGGATCTTGCCGTCACCATTGTCGCATCCTTACCTTGCGCATCATGGCTGTCAACGGGGACGAGCCCGCGATCGCCATGACCTCTCAATCGTATGCGAAAGAGATTCGGACTCCCCCTCTATTGAGTCCACCCGAGTCAAAGACGCCTCCCACAGCCCACCACAAACGTCACAGCGACGGACCAGATCTTCGAGCGAATGATCGGAGCTCAATTCCTGTTGACCCCAGTGCCCTGAGCAGAGCTTTGGAGGTTATGAAAAAGACGGGAAGGGAGCGGGAACGGACTCCTGAAGCTAGTCCCAGCAGAAAGAGACAGCGCACATATGCAGGCGATAGGTGAGAAAAAAGACGTGAACAGCTTTGCGCTGCATGTTAGATTGATCTAACTTCTGCAGATTCATTCCCAACCGCTCAGGCCAAGACCTCCACGCCAGCTACAGCCTCTTGCATGAAGATGGGAGCCCCGCAACTCCATCGCGCTCCGCGAAACGCATGCCTCACAACGAGCTACATTTCCAAAGAAGTATGTCAGATTTGCATAGTCTAAAGTAACAACCAGGGCTGACAGAATGACGCTAGCTGAGGAAGCCAATCGTACCTACTCCACTCTATTACGGTCAGAGATGTTTGAATCGACAGTACCGCAGACAATCCCTCAAAGCCTGTCCCCTTCAAACCACGGAACCACGTTTCACGACCCGACAAGATCTCACACACCGCCCACGCAGTCCTCATCACTTCCAGCCGCCACCTTAACTCCCTCTACTCCGCACAAGAATCTGTTCTCCTACGTCTCACCCAGACACCACTCGAACTATTCAGGCCATCCCACGCCCAATCGGACACCATCAAGCAGAAGTAACCCGAACCTGAATGCTCGATCTGAAATTTACAGCTTGTCTCCTGTCAAACATAGCAGTCAAATGATGCTGTTGAGTCCTAGGAAAGCCCCTCGTCATGTTGCCAAAGTACCTTACAAGGTTCTCGATGCACCTGACCTTGCAGATGATTTCTATCTCAATCTCGTGGATTGGGGGAGTCAAAATATTCTTGGCGTGGGTTTAAATCAATGTGTCTACATGTGGAACTCCTCTTCAGGTAGAGTGACAAAGCTATGCGAATTACAAGATGATACAGTGACTAGCGTTAATTGGATCCAGCGGGTGAGTCTGCATTCTCTGATGTCCCGCATGAGTTCGCCGATCACTGACACTTTTTACAGGGTTCCCACCTGGCTATTGGCACGGGAAAAGGTTTTGTGCAAATTTGGGATGCAGGCAGCCAACGACGCCTGCGCACAATGACGGGTCACACCGCTCGTGTCGGTGCACTAGCATGGAACGAACACATCCTGACATCTGGTTCACGTGATCGACTCATCTATCATCGGGATGTCAGAGAGCCTCACCAATGGGTGCGAAAGCTTGTGGGCCACAAGCAAGAAGTCTGTGGACTCAAATGGAATTCCGATGATGGACAACTCGCAAGTGGAGGCAACGACAACAAGCTGATGGTCTGGGAGAAACTCAACGCCGAACCAACGTACAAATGGAGTGAACACAGTGCAGCTGTCAAGGCAATAGCTTGGAGTCCACATCAACGCGGACTGCTCGCCAGTGGCGGTGGTACTGCGGACCGGACCATCAAATTCTGGGATACCCTGACATCATCATACGGGGCTTCTTCGAGCAACGTCAGGTCTTCGGTCACTATCCCTCATTCGAACTCGGCGATTCCGCCATCATCATCATCATCAGCACCGGCAAACCTTATATCATCCCTCGATACCGGCTCTCAAGTTTGCAACCTGGCGTGGTCACGTAACTCAAACGAAATAGTGAGCACACACGGCTACTCACAGAATCAGATCATCGTATGGAAGTATCCTTCAATGACCCAGGTTGCCAGTCTCACGGGGCACACTTATCGAGTTCTGTATCTTGCCATGAGCCCAAATGGCGAAGTCATTGTCACCGGTGCTGGTGACGAGACTCTTCGGTTCTGGAATGCTTTCCGGAAGAAGGAGAAGCCTGGTACTGGAATGGGCACCGTAGATGACTGGGGTACAATTCGGTAACGAGTCATTAGCGATCTTGACTTCATCGACGGTATTGAGCGTCTACAACCGCTCTGGTGTCGTTATCGAGAACAACGCATTTCCCTTAGGGTTGCATTTGTACGGCGCGGCATGATCTGAGCACATACTGGTGGTGCTTCGGACCTTTATATTTTGTGTTCTAGCGGGCTATGCATATTGGCGTATCTGATACCTTTCATGTTTTCGATGAGCGTTATGAGCGGTATGGATTTGGCGGCATAAGCATAGTAGGCATATTAGCGGCGGTTTGGCATTTATGAACGTGCCCACGAGGACAACGAGGGACGAGAGGTGTGTACATAGCTTGATGCTAGATATAACACATTTAAACATGCGCATATGCGCTGGAAGACCACCATCAACTAGGTTTTTTCCGGTGCGTGTTCGCGACCGAGGCTCTCATTGCGGGAGGAGACGCGTACCGTATTCTCAAGCTTGGAGTAACATGATCTTGCATCGGCGGCGATAATGATGACGACAATCCGTGGAAGCCCCTAGATCCACAACTCGTAAGAGCAGTCACTCGACTTTGCTAGATCAGGTGTAATGATAGTACGTGATGCGCGTCTTGAGAGCTTTGAAGAGGAGCACGTTGGTGATACGATGTCATGTTGGGCCTCAGCCCATGATATAGAAAGAAGAAGTGCGCGTGAAGCCCGGGATAGAAAGAAAAGGTGCGTGTGAAGCCCGGGGCCCTCTCCGGACTTGACGCCACTTCTTTCTTCAGGTATAGAGAGGTCCCCCAGAACTACCGAAGATAAACCGGCTCCGCGTTCTTCGCGTCTTCTCCAGTTGCGACGCGATTGGGAAATCAGATATTACCCACCTCCAAAACTTTCATACGTACTTACTCAATATTCGATTCAATCGCCGACCTGTACCTTTCACTCGTACCTACACCTGTATCGTCTGTACCTCATTCCTCTCCTGTAGTGGAGGTGTTCGCACCTTCCTGAACTCTCAAACTTCGCGGATCTCCCGCCATGGCTCTGTATGCTTCATCTTCTTAATGCTACCCTTCCTACTCCTTACGAACATCATTAAACGATGTCAAGATCGTTAGGGAAACTAGCGCTAACGGGACGCAGTGAGAACTTTGAAGGAATATATCTCGACTTATCGAAGCAGTCCGGCAAATGTCGATTTGCGGAGACCGGTCTTGGATGGAAGCCTCAAGGCGGCGGCGACACCTTCACTCTTGATAAGTCACAACTCAATCAAGCGATCTGGAGCAGAGCGTCACGAGGATATGAAGTCAAGGTCTTGACTAGAGAGGGTCAAGTCTACCAACTAGACGGCTTCCAGGCAGATGTGAGTAAGCCGGGTAAGAAGTTCGGTATGTTTTCATACTAATTCCTGAACAGGATTTTGATCGCTTAAGCAAAACTTTCAAATCCTGGTATACACTTAATCTAGAGAACAAAGAGCATGCTATACGTGGATGGAATTGGGGCAAAGCCGACTTTGCAAAAGCAGAGCTCGTCTTTAACGTCCAAAGCAGGCCCGCCTTTGAATTGCCCTATGCCGAAATATCGAATGCGAACCTTGCTGGCAAGAATGAGCTTGCAGTGGAATTCTCGCTCCCAGGCGATGGTGATGAGACGGGAACCAACGGGCATCTAGGAGGAGCAAGAGGTCATGGAAAGAAGGCTGGTGGTGCACGCGATCAGCTAGTAGAGATGCGCTTCTATATCCCCGGAACCACGACTACCAAGGTTAAAAAAGGCAGCGATGACGAGGGAAGTGAGGATGAAGGAGACGCTGAAGAGGATCGAAATGCCGCTGAGCGATTCTACGATGAGCTAATGGCCAAGGCCGACATTGGCGAAGTTGCTGGTGACAGTATCATTAAATTTGATGACATCCTGCACCTCACCCCCAGGTTCGTCGAGCTTATGAAGATTCGCTTATCATTTACTAATCTTATCGTCACTAGAGGTCGTTTCGAAGTGGATCTTTACGAAAGTTTCTTCCGTCTCCGTGGTAAGACGTATGATTATAAAGTGCAATACGAACAGATCAAGAAATTCATGATTCTACCAAAACCCGACGACGTTCACCATCTTATCACTATTGGCATCGACCCTCCTCTCCGCCAAGGTCAAACGCGATACCCCTTCCTTGTCATGCAATTCAAGCGTGATGAGGCAGACGACTATACACTTAATATGACCGAGGATACCATAAAGGAGAAGTACAACGGTAAATTACAATTGGAATACAACGGGCAACCTATCTATAATGTTATGGGAAACATCTTCCGAGGACTTACCGGCAAAAAGATTGTACAGCCCAGCCGCGAGTTCACATCTTATCACAGCCAATCTGGTGTCAAATGCTCCATTAAAGCCAACGAGGGATTCATCTTCTGCCTCGACCGATCATTCATGTTCGTTCCTAAACCCGCTACCTATATCGCCTTCGATAACATTCAGACGATCACAATGTCCCGTGTCGGTGGCGCCGTATCCGCCTCTCGCACCTTCGACTTGCTCATAACGATGAAGAACGGTGCACAGGAACACCAATTCAGCAACATCAACCGCGAAGAACAAAACGCCCTCGAGAGTTTCTTCCGCGCCAAGAATCTAAAGACTAAGAATGAGATGACAGATGATTCAGGCGCGTTGCTGGCAGCAGCAATTCAAGCAGGTGACCTTGATAGTTCTGACGATGAAGCAGGTGCGGCCAGAGGAAGCGCGGACGAGGATTCGGAGGAAGCCGATGAGGACTTTCAAGGTGACTCAGAGAGCGACGTCGCAGAAGAGTACGACTCCGCGCACGAAAGTAGCGATGGCGATAGCGACGCGGATATGGAAGATGGCGATGGCGATGCGGATGACGATGATGGTGGTGACGACGACACAGAGTTGGCGGAGAGGCCGAAGAAGAAGTCGAAAACTTCAAAATAAGGTATTCTACGTGGGGTTCATGATTCTTGGCTATTATGAAGATTTTCCCTGAAGCTAGACTCCGTGGAAGGAAGAGGCGTTTGTGGCGGAATTGAATGGTCCATGCATTCATTATATTGGAACAGTCTCGTCGGACATGCTACGCAGTTGTCTTCCACACGTTTCGATGTGGAGACATAGCCATAGCCTGTCGTCTACTTTCCTGCGTCTCTAGACGACGTCAAGATTCAGGCGTGCATACTCTTAGCTACATAGCTATGATTAAGCGTACTGGAACCGTCACTGTGTTAATCTCGAGCCGTGAGAGTGAACCGGCATATCAACAACAATCAAACATGACCTTGTGTCACGTTCGTCTCCATGTTACACACGGCAGCACACCGCACAAACATTGTCAAGACATCGATTTGAAATAAAATCTTATAAGTCTAATGTTCTTCACCAAAAAAAAAAAGCCGTACACCTACACCACCTTGCATCTCTATCACAACTGAATCCTGTCCCTGGTCGTCGTTGATAAATAAACAGCTCGACCTATGCCATGCTCCGTGCCAAAGCTCTATGCTCGGCTGTGCCCGGATCTCCTTATCCCCCACACATCATCGCAATCCACAACACCCAGCCGCGACTCTCTACCGCCAGTCTCCTAGCTCCTCGCTCCGGCCCGTTCACCGTCAAAGCACCACCATCAAACGGCTGTAGGGGTCCAGGCGTGGTCAAATATACCACACAGGTGCGTTCTGCCCGGAAACAAGAGGACGTCGGGACAATGTTGACTGATGATTTTACACACAGGCTGTGCTACGCGGGTCGTTGAGGATTGGTAAACGCATGCGTGGGGCGCAGACGGGTACACGTGAGGGCAGTCTTGAGGAGATTGGCAAGTGGTTTGAGGAGTGAGGGTAGGTAAAGTTTTTCTTCTTTCTTTCTTAGTTGGAGAGTGGTGGAGCTCAGAGTGAGCAGTGTGCGGCTGACATGCTGTGTAGAAGATGGACGAGAAAAGGAGGTGTGAATGAGCGTCTTGGGAACGGTTTTTTTGGGGCAGAATTTATTGCGCTATGGTGGACGGGTGGCTCAATGTGCGGAAAGGGAATGTCCTAGGACGGATAATTAGAGCGTCTCTGGACGTCCAGATGGGTTCTGGGCCCTGGCAAGATGGATGGCTCAAGCTCTTGGATGTATATATGAGTGATTAGCCAAGCGAACTAGGAAATGCATTCTCATCACGTGGGGAACAGATGTATACGAATAGCCAAAGAAACATCCACCACTCTGAACGGCTAGTCAATGACGATGATACTGTCCGCTCGTCTCTTGCCTTTTCCAATGTACGAGACAGAGGGCTGAGCCTCATCTTGCGCCGTAGGCCAATCACCGTCGAAACAGTCGGAACGGGGATTCACTGCGAGACGACGAGGGCAATCTGAGGGACGAGCGGCGCATGCATCAGAGGAATGAGATTGAGAGCTGCTTGTTAGGGACATTGGTTGGGAAGCCGTACCCTCCACATGGCCAATATGAGACTTGGACGAAGACGGAGGAGTTGGAAGGAACTGCCTATTCCGGACGTCTTGATCTCGGGCTGATGTGCTCAACTCGTACGCCGAGTGTTGCATCTGGAGTCCGCGAACGATATACTTGTGCTCGAGCTCAGCCCTAATACTCGCCACCTCGGCTTGGAGAAGTTTGATACTTTCGTCCGCTCTCGCGCGGTCCGCACGCATCATGTCCTGTTGCATGGGAGGAAGCGATCGGAGACATTCTAGACGCTCTTGGACAGTCATCTTTTTAGCTGCCTCGTCAAAGTCTACGTCCGGGATGTCCACAACAGGCGCTGATGATTGATTGAAATTCAGCCCGGGCGAGACCGCCGCAGTGCTTTGACACTGAACCATGAATCTCTCCAGACGAGAGACGAGCTTATCGTTTTGCTTATCTTTTGCTCTGGACTTGGTCTCGGCCTCTCGATGCATTCGTGCGATGCTGAGGTGGCGATCTTTCAGTTGTTCCTTGGCTTGTATATATGTGGGAATAACTGGGCTCAGAATTTCTGAGAATGTGGTATAGTCGCTGTGCTCCCTTGCAACCCTCAGGCGATGGAGGACGGACTCTTTGCCTCCCAGACGAAGACCTGGGGTATCTACGACGAGGGCACCGTACAGCTTCTTGAACTGCGAGAATGCGTGACGTATTGGTGACTCGTCCGGGGGACTTTCCAGGTTGTTACGTGTTGTGTCTTCCCATTTCCGCTTATATTCTGCCAAAGAAGGGTTTTCGTGGGCGTAGATCAGGACGCCTCCCATGTCAAAGGTCCCTTTCGTCGCATCTCGGCAAAGACTGTGCTGACGAGCGGTGATACTGCAGTGCTCACCTGACATTATGTCACCTAGAAAAGGTGCCTTCACTCTGTGTAGACGCATCAGGGGCTCAGTGAGAGTTTTTGTCGTCTCAATCATAGCATGCCCATGATTCAGAATTCCCTCTCGATCCTTGAATGCAACCCTGGTATTGACCGAGTTCAAGTGCTCGCTTTTCTTCAAGATGTTTTTTGTGGCGAAGCCAACAAGATCGCGAATATCATAAATTTCCACCTCGCGATCCCAACCCACAAGAGGTGATTCTTCGAATAGTATATCAACATGATAGTTCCGAACGTGTAAGAAAGGGAAGTATTTGATGAAGATCTGATCATAAGTCTTACTTCGGGCGTCGAGATCACCAGTTGTATAGGGGAGATACGTGTCCATTCTAGAAGGGTATTGCCGATTCCCGTAAAGATTTACCTCATTACCAGCGTCATCTCTGGCTTTGCAAAACCATCTACCGCACATGAGAATACCCTCACGTCGAATATCAATGGTGAATGGTAGAGAACAAAAGACCGCTCGGGCATCATGGGAGGTCTGTCGACTGACCCCACATAATAAGATGTACTGCCGAATGTCATTTTGGCTCATACTGCTCTGCTCATTCTGCGACTCTGACATGTCTGAGCCTATCGGCGTTCCAGAGAAAAGATATCGAAATATGTGAAAGCGTAACTCTGCTGGGAGCTTCAAAAGATAAGCTGGCGCGGAAACATCGTCCCAATGCAGTCGACACGCTTTCTTATGGGGAGGAAACCATCGAAAAAGGCGGTCACATCGCCGACGCTCGCTGGAAATCGCGAACTCGACTTCACATCGTGCAGCTATATATGTATCCTTTCCTAGAGCTTGATGAAGCTTGCATAAGGGCAGTCGGTCTGGGCGTGTTAAAGATGCCTTGTTGCGACACTTTTTCGGCTCGGAATATCGCCTGCGGAATGTGGGATGTAGTTTCTTGAAATTGCATTCGTTATCATAAGCTTCTGGCTCATAGTCTTCTGGCAAGAAGTGGCAGCTTGGTTCCGTCGACTGAGGCGCAGGTCCGAGTAGTGGCTGAGCTGCCTTCAACATGGTGATTGCAAGGACAGTGCTAGGCCGCTCTTTCTTGAGGGCCTTGACAGAGTTGACATGAATGCGACAGGCTTAGAATGTTCATGAAGATGTTCAGGACCACGATATTGCAGGCAGAGCAGTGGGCATGCGGCCTGTGGAGCGGAGATAGGTACGAGGTGTCGCAGAATATCATTCGCCAGGCGTCGCTGACCGGCTGGCACCAGGATTCCACGTGACCCAGAAACAATTCTGCTATACCTCTAGCAAATAAACGTTCTTAAAAGGTAGATTGAGCGGTAAGGAAAGACGCAACTATCAATCGTCAGAGCACGTGTCAGTCTCGAGTATCATGCACCTAGCGTAGCCGAAGCCGAAACGAAGAGGCTATATATAGAGAATTTGTACCTAGCAGCAGATGTCGATGTACAGTGTCATGACATGAGCTCGCTAAGTATATGTTTAAGCCTAATACAACGAAAGGTCTCATACAAGGGCTACATACTCCCATCAATCCAATACTGCCACGCCACGAGCAGCTGAGGAGGTTCGAGGGCTCGTTGAAACGAATCAATCGAATCACTGGAAATTCGTTGATAGGGGGATCGCATAGAACTTCAGAAGCCTCGTGTCAAGAGATTATACGGCCAATCGAATGACAGAACAATGTCGCCGCTTTTCTCCATAATCTTGCATACATTCATTTGTACGATCTGTCACTCGCGAATGCTTCCCCCAATAAGCTACATGCCATCCATGTTGCGAGGAACTTCAATGAATCTTGTCACTTGACTTTAAGATAACGATTAACGGGAACCATATGGAACCTCGTGCGCTGTCTGTGAGAATTGACAAAGTCAAATGTGTGGGAGGAGAGAGAAGTAGAGGAATGGCCTTACGCACTCCATTATTCGTGTTCATGAGAGAAAAGGAAGTAGCGTCAAATTCCTTTTCGCTTTTGACGTTAAACTTGATCGAAAGTTGAAACTTGGTTGCAATTAGTGGAAGAACCTTGAGAAATACCATTGCCTCGACTTCGTTCGTCCATCATAGGCATCGCCACCTTATTGCTTCGCTCTGATGGAGGCTCGAGCATCCAGTATGGCGCCAGCAGTCCGAGATACTCATCGCACCAGGTTTTGAAATGGCCCAATTCACCTGTCAGCTCCGAGGTCCATCTTTTCGGCGGTGTTAGGAATCAAACCTCAACTCAAGGCATCTAGGGCTCTGGGTACAGATGATATTCTATCTATTCTTACTCGAGGGAATAACCTTCTTATCGCGTGTACCCACGATGAGGGAGGAGGTATCACATGGTTCAATATTATGCACACCCACGCTATGCAAAGAATCACCTTTTCCCCGCTGTCTCCCCATGTCATTGTAGCCGATGCCGTGTCGCAATGCTGATATGCTAATATACCGTTCCGTGTCTTCCTCTTTATTTCGTGTTCGAATGCATGAGTCTCATTTAGCCCCCGGTATTCGAGAGTAAGAACTTCACGAAGAAATGTTTGAAATTCTTCTCTCCACCTTGCGTGAGATGGGTGAGGTATTCTTGAACACCTTGTTCACTGACCCCGAAACCGCGAAGTTCTTCCTTTAGTCTTTCTAGATACGTTGCGCCGCACTTCCTCAGTAGCTCGCTCTGTAAGCTAGCGATTTCGTAGAGAACCTGCCGAGCCTGTGCATCCTTTATGCTAAATCCAGGCGCAGATGGAACAGACCAACATAATGGAGAAAATCGTGTCAATGCGAACGTGTCAAATCCGGCGAGAGTTGGTGCTGACTGCGTGGCTTGGTTGGGGACGTCAGGACCTCCCCAAACAGAAAGCATTTTAACTAGAACGTGGATCGAGTGTCGAGCGTTAGAGTAATCATTGCTGTCTCGGGCGAAGACCTCAGACGTTGATATGATTGACTCGAATGTCGGTTGGTTTGCTATCCTACAGTCAGCCAGATGCATAAATTTTGATATTTGACGGGAGGATTTGACTTACCAGCACTGACCAAGACGGCTTCTAGTCCGTGATTCAAAATGACTAAGATGAAGCTCAGATACTCGTGACGAAGTTCACCTAATTGGATCTGATCATCTGTGCCAGTTGCTGGTTCGGAGAGAGCCGCAAATACGCGTTGTAGTAAGGGAGTCAGGAGATTATCGAGTATAACCGATATCTCGCCTTTAAATGCGAAGACGATCTGATCTAGCACACGTAGGAACAGAGCCATCTCGTCCCGCGTCGAATTCTGCGATAGAAGGCCGTTGATCCATCTGGGTAATTGCTCTAGGAGACGTCGACCGAGTACACCAATCAGACGAGAGAAGCAGAATCGAGAGGCGGCTCGGATATTCTCTGATGCATTGAGAGACTCCAGTGCTACAAGAATAGCCTCAGAAGCCCGTGCGAACTGAGTCGTCACGCCGCTGTCTGGTGGTGGTCCATTCGTACCTGTCCAGTCCGCGAAGCCGCGAGCTAGAGTCCCCAGTGCCATGGTATTGTGATGCACCTGCAGGACCGCCCGTTCTTCAGCATTTTTGGCTGCTGTGAGGCTCTGCGCCATGTCGGACAGAAGCGGATTAATAACTGATTCCGCAAACAAGACTTTGTCATCCAACGAGACATTGTTACTGGATGCTATACATCCTATTGCTTCGAAAAGGTAAAGCTGACTGTTGAAAAGAGCGTCTGCAGATTGGTCTTCTTCATCGGACGACATATCCTCGCTGGACTCTTCTGGTAACTCGGCACGAATAGTGAGAAGATCGCCAATAGCCTGGACAATCATTTGCGCGTATGGTGCCACGTGGAGGCGAAGTGGCCGTACAAATCGAACGAAGAGATACCAAGATCGACCTTTCACACGGACGTGATTGCTATGTAGGAGGCGGACAAAGTTTTCGAGTGCCTTGGGGATGTACTGCGTATTGTGTTCGAAAAATTGAAAATATCGGACACAGATCTCCATATACTGTAACTGAATAGCCGGATGAGGGTAAGAGGCGATTTCTAAAATCCGCTGTGAGTAACATGCAAACGAAGATGACTGAGAACTTACCCGACTGTACCATGTTCAGCATCATGTCGATCAGTCTACTTGCGGCTGCTGAAGATGGTTCCTTTTTCGCATATATACCAACATTCTTGACCGCCAGCTCACCGAACAAATACATCTCATGCAGGGCCAAGTCGAGATCTCGCCATGACAAGCTACCATCATTCGATTGGAGTCTTGCAAATGTGTTCCCGACAACCTGAGACAGTGTGCTGACATAAAGATCCTCGTCTACAGCAGCAACGGTCTGTTGAAGAACAAACAGTCGCTTTCTTAATTCCTGAAATTCAGCCTCGTCAGTCTGTTCATCTTCCTCGCCCCACGATGCAGTTTCGTCGTACTTCATCTTCATCACGATCGCATCCAAAGCAGGCTGTACCATTGGTGAATAGTGCGCCGGTAACCTGCCTTGCATCTTGGTCAGTTTACGGAAGTAGGTCAAGATTTCAGTGAGCGAAGGAATAACGTTGGAACAGATTTCATCATATTCATCGGAAAAGAACCGTAGTAAGTACGACACGAATGATCCTGTAAGTTGATCGGTACGCTGCCGTGTCTCTGCATCAATGGAGTCGGTATCCAGGATTTTGACGAGGTCTGTCATAGTTGTGTTTACAAGTTTCGCAACCGTCTCGGCAAGGTCGGTGTCGTATTGTGGGGTATTTTTCAATTCTGAAAGTGCTGGGCTAGCTATCAGTTGGCCAACGACTTCACTGAGATTCAAGAAGGCGATAAGTTCCAACTTGTCCGCGGGTTTCATCTTCTTCCCGACGACTTCCGCAAAGGTGTCGATGGCGGCATTTCGTAATCTGTTTTGCGCTTCGTCATGAGTCTGCTGACCGGCGATTGAGAATAAGCTTGCTAGCATGGATTGATTGACGACCATATTGATGTCAATCCAGCTGACCCAACGGCTGACAACTTTCAGACATATTTCTACAGCGGATAGATCTGCTTCGGTCCATCTCCCAAGAATGCTCTGCCATGACTGTGCAATTTTCTGCATGTCGCGCTGTCGAATGAGGTCTTTGAGCTCAGTGTTTCGTTTTAGCTCGTCAGCCGTCCTTGCGACAAGCGGATCCGCGATTTCGTCATGGACTGACCCTAGCACTCTCAAGTAAAGTATGACTCCGGGCTGGTTGACTGTTGCAGCTGTGGACTGGTCCCCGGCCAAATCTCGAAAATCATCAAAGAACGATTCCCAGTCGGAGGCGTATAGAGACAAGAACAGGTATGTGAAAGTCTGTGTGATCTTGTTCTGCATTGGAGGCGGATCTGGGGTCGCTGGTCCGGTCTGGGGTACGAGTTTTCGCCTCAGATATTCCATCAGCGTGCTCTTGATCATATTTAGGTTGTCTTTGTTGAGTATCTGCTTTTCGATGGCATTATTGACAACTTCCAAGGAGACATGGCGAACGACGTCTTCGGGTGGAGGTGTACGTGCGAATAGAGTTAGGCATGCTTGCCATGCAGGAGAAGGGTTGGTGCGGATTTCGTTGATGTATGCTATGGCCTGGAGTTGCAGTTCATGATTTGAGCGAGGGTCGAATGCAATCGTGATTGCATCATCGATCTGTTCCAGGGTCAATATGTGTCTCTTCCTGCTTAGCCAACAAAGACTGTCTTGATTACCTGGCTCTCCATGATTGTTAGGCGGCGAGGCTCCTCCTGTCACTATATGTCCAGGAAGATCTCTTGTGTGCTACCGAGTAGATGACATTGGTCTATATGTGTCGTGTCGTATGCCTCAGCAAGTCATGTACGTAGCGGCGAAGTGTTTTACGTTAGGCAGGGCTTGTTGCTCGGGAGTCATCGAATGTTTTGCAGCGGAAACCTGGCGGGGTACTGCAATGCACACTTTTCTTCACCCAGCTCGCCGCAAGTTTGCGAAACGCTTGTGCAAGGCCGCAGAGATCTAGGCAATAAGGGAAGTTGAAGCTAGGCAAGTTCGCTGATGTGAAAAATAAGTGGTCGGGAGCATGTAGGGTGCAGATAAAGAATCGTTCGGCTGGTTGTGAGGGTTGAGCGTTTCAAGTTCCAAGGTTTGTTTGTCGTGTGCTACCTAAGTCCAAGTTGGGCTACCGCTAGTCCTCGTCGCCGACAGCCTTGCGCTGTATCTGGATTCGCTTCCAACACTTCAGCCACCATAAACGGCCGTGCATACCGTCATAATTATCTTCTGTCTTCTCATCAACACAAGACGCACGGTAGGATCAAGCTAACTTATACTTGCGCGGTAATTGTATGTGCGACAGCATCGAGATCGACCCATGCCTGGTACTTTTCGTTTACGCACATCTACGTTAGTCGTTGCTCTTCATAAGGAGTATATGTTTAGTAAATGCTAACTATGCAAGGTGGTTCTGAAATGCAGCGTTCCATGTTACTTATTTAGTGTCCAAAGATTCTCAAGCAAAGTAGCTTAGGCGTTCAAGGCTTTTACTAAGAGTCTGACGCTACTCAGCCGTTCATTAACTTCTAGATTTTTGGCTCCCGTTGCTATATCATGTCAGCAAACTCATCAATGGATGCCTAGCCATACCTTAATCTTCGCAAGGGTCTAGGGAGCCTGATTAATCATTCCTGGATCGCGATGTCTATATTCTGAAAGAGCTAGGTAATGATCATTGATGCCAGTGTGGAACGAGGAGCATTGGGATATAGAGCATCTCCTTCCCTACAGATGTGAGGTGAAAGACGCTAGACTGTAAGAACCTTGCTCTGATTGACTGGTTTCTGGCAATGGGTAATGACTTCAGTGATTATCCTGTCACGATGATTTGTCGACCATGGACACCACTATCAAGAGAGAATGATAGTTACATAGCATCGCCCGTGTCTGAGATGTAACCGATTCTCCAGGACAGATGCGACAAGCAATACAACCTACCGAAGACTATGGATCGAAACCACCAGGCCAGCATGGCAAAATTCAGCGCTCGTGCCCCGGTCTCTGCGCCATCTTTCTAGCCAACGATATGTATATATATACACATGTATATAAATATTTCAAACTACTCAGATAGAAATCATAGTATATAATTACATAGAGAATCTTTACAAGCTTCAACTGATTATATGAATCTTTTCAGAAAGGAAAGAACAAATCTTTCAAGAAAAAAGGAACTTCCACACGAATAGCATTCATACAAATATGCTAACACTCATACAATATCCCTTCTCTCCGTTTTAAGCTATTCTTTCAGAACTAGTTTCTCATGATATATACTAAGATAAAGAGTTTAGAACTTGAAATTCATGTAGAACTAATCATCTTTTCTTACTTCATAAGTCTATATAGCTAAACAGGACGAGGACTTGGCAAATCGCACCCGATCCGATTGGGCTTAGTGGCAAACTGGAAGCTCCCCTCGTCCCAATCCCGACGTCCATCCATCCTAATCTGAGCTTCCGTCTTCATATTGTCCATATTAGGCTTATCTATGAATAACATAACATCATCTATCTCCAAGTCTGACACTCTTGTCTCGTAACATTCATCTATTTCAACCTGTTTGCCAATCTTGAACCTCTGTCGTCACCCGTAAGTCACTGAACGTGCGTATCGCAGACTCGTAACAATGCAGCGGGGTGGGGATGAAAGTGCGAAGAAGAAATGGATAATGCTCGGTAGGCTATAGACCCGCCCTTCTTCTGTGCCAACCTTTTGTTTTGGCCGAATCTCCGATGTAATTCGATGACAGAGAACAACCCTGATGTTATGAATCAACTCGCAGCGAAGCTGGGTGTTTCACCTGAGTTGCAATTCTACGACGTATATTCACTAGATGAGTACGAGCTACTGGCACATATTCCTCGACCCGCCTTCGCGCTTCTTGTAATCATTCCTCTCAGCCCAGCGTGGGACAAAGATCGAATGGATGAAGATGCCGAGACTGAAGACTATGCCGGGTTTGGCTCAGGAGAACCAGTCATCTGGTTCAAGCAGACCATAGGCAATGCATGCGGATCAATTGGTCTTCTTCACAGCGTCGTGAACGGCCCAGCTGTAGATTTCATCAATCCAAACTCAGATCTCGCAGACATACGTGAACGCGCCATACCGCTTGACATGACATCACGTGCGAAGATGCTTTATGATAATGGATCTTTTGAGACAGCCCATAAGTCTGTTGAGCTGGTTGGAGACACAAGTGCTGCCCACATGGATGGGCACGCCGGTCAGCATTTTGTCAGTTACGTCAAATCCAAAGGCAAACTTTGGGAACTGGAAGGCTCGAGAAAAGGCCCTATCGATAGAGGGGAACTTGCAGAAGACGAAGACGTTCTTAGTCCAAGAGCACTTGAACTGGGACTGAAAAGGATCATGAAGGTGGAGAGCGATGCTGGGGGAGGAGATCTTCGCTTCAGCTGCATTGCGCTGAGCCGGAAGCAATAGACTTCAAAGGAAGTCGCACCACAATTCGGCGGCGAACGCAGCACCACTATATCAGAGTGTTCATTATAATTATTTTTCCGGCACAGCGCCATCGCCATATGGCTTCCCGTGATTCATTATTCGTAGCTACTTCCGTGTTCATGTAACACTCTTCTTGCAGCAGTATACTGGTGTATCTGACAACCGCATTGATCGACTTCCTTGATAAGCGTGTTCCCAGCACTGAACATGTCACCATGATTTCACGGAATTATTCCCCCCACATCGGAATTAGGTTCGGCCAAAGCGTAGTGCTTGTGTCATGGTGTTTCCGAAGAGTCCATGAAGCACAGCAGTACAAATGAGCATGGGTCCATGTTGTATCTACCAAATTGTGTACGATGATTGGGAACTTTAAAGATCTTATGAAAGTAGCGACGTATACTATCAGGTTGTGTTATGAGGCTACAAGTAGCACGGCATGCGTAGCCTGGACACCTAATGAATGCAATCTCTAGTCCTTAGTACCAGCACACTTCTATCGCGGTGGTGAACACACCATCATCTTACCAGGGCCGCCGTGATGTAGTCACAGCCCAACTTCTTGCGAAGTTGAAGAACACAGTGTTGACAACGTGTCGCAGATATCAGACAGCGCAGAAAATGATAGAGTGGAACGAAAATTGAGTAGCGCGGTGGATCAAACTGTCGATGCCCGACGTTTTCGAGGTCTTCATAACTATTTGTATGCTCGATTGGTGCTGGGCCTGTGTACGCAGATCGCCTTATTTCTCACCAGTAATCCAGCACGTTTCTAGCCATGCTCAATGTGATCTTGCCATGCGATTGAGCGCTTGTGACCTGTTGATATTGACGCCTTGGCCTGCACGTAACGGCAGAGCCAAAGCGGATCAACCTTTCAGGCGAAAGCACGAATCCCCGATTCCATCAAGCTGTTAGCCATGGTCTTTGGGTCCACAGACAGGACAGAAGATCCGTTTCAGGGTTGCACAGACACCTTCAGCTATGAATTAACAAGCGCGTCTTGAAAATCGAGCTCGGCGAGGTTTACTGAGCAGAACGTTGACGTACGGCGAGGTACAGAGAGACGGCGAGCTGTTTCGCTGTTTCGAGAGCCGATATCTTCAGACCAGCATCAGAGATGGCTTACATGTTTGTAACAGCCCTGTGACCTGGGAATTTGTCCATTTCAGCTTGGGTGGTCAGAGGGTGGGAGTAGTGAGGCAGCCAGGGGTAATGCCGCCCCTGAGGCGGTTAGCGGTCGACAATATGGGTGTTATTGATGAAAAAACTCATACCCTTCCACCAAGCGCTATGCTCGCCTTCTTCCGCTGTCCCTGGGGTATATATCCAGAGGCGCGGGTGCTTCAATGACACACTGCTATTCCAACGACTACCCAATAACGTTGGGAGAGCAGATCGTGCGCAGTGCCGATGATACATCAAATCTTGGTTAGGCATTCATTCTATCGATAGTTCAAACAAATCATTGATCAGCTAGTGTATTTGGCGTCTCAGTCATTTGCTTCGTGGTGTTGCTGGTGTATGCGCTTGCGACGTAAGGTGGAGATAAAGAGAGGGAGCGAGATCAACAATGGGCCAGTGGATTGATGCGGTTCCGCCGGCAGTATTGTTGACAGTGATATTTTCAGCTGGCTGAGGCATTGATATTAGAGTAGCTGCATCGACATGAGAGGGATCTGAGAGCGTCATGGACACAGCTGAACAAGGCTGGTACGCTACTAGATTGAGTACAGATATAGTGTGTTGTGACGGGGGTGCGTCGCGCAGAGGGTGAGCAGGGGCGCTCGTCTCACGGTGCTCTTACAATCGAGTATATTCAGAGGAGTAACAAGGGGTTGGCAGGAGTTGTTGTAGCGATCACGAAGCCATAGCATGGTCAATAGAGCACAGCAGGAAGCTCCAAAACGACGAGAGAAGAGAAGTGTGCAGAAGGTGGAACGAGGCTTGTGGCCAATGATGCTGCGAGACAGGGCGAGAGTCAGGACTGGTTAGGGGCATGATGCCGGGCGAAACTTTGGCGCCACTGGTGGCGTCGATGATGCGAACGAGGCGTCAACACGAGCGGCGAAAGGGAAATTTCTCGCGACGAACACGAGCGTGAGGCGGACGCAACGGGAGTTTTGACCTGAGCCTGCCCTGCGCCTGACGGTTACAAGTCCCCCTCATGCTCCATAAGCCACGGCGCCGCCATCATCGAGACAGGCGGGGCGGCAGTAGTATTGCAAGCTGAAGCTGATGAGGGACGAATCGTGGATGGTGAGTGGACGGATGATGGATGACTAACATGTGGCGAATTAAGACGGACATGATAATGGACATGAGCATGGAGGCGGAGGCGAAGTGGAGGTGAAGGTGGAAGTGAAGATAACGAGCAGAAGAGTAAGAATAAGAATAAGATATAGGTGAAGGTGAAGGTGAAGGTGTAGACGAAGCTGAAGGAGGATGGAAGTGGTATATCGATCGGGCCTGAGGCTAGAGCTTAGTCATCAATATGCATCTGACAAACTAGGTGTAATTAACGGTAATTCTGAGTCACCTGACATCTCGGGTAGACAGCCCACATCGAACACCGGACACCTCTAGCTTGGCAGCAGACAAGGGTTTTAATTGGAGGGCTGGACTCATCCTGACTGACGAGAGGATGCCAATACACGTGACTAAGCTACGGACACACCCGTGTGTTATGTTCCCGACTTGTCTTCATTCCGATCCTCACCACATTCTGCTCCATTTTCTCAGTCATGATATTCTCATGCCCTTGTTGCGGCGCCACCTGCTCATTACCGTTGTCGACGCACTCCTCTGCGCGTCATGTCAGCCAGACCAAGGCACAGATAGGCAGACCGAAGCTATGCTGTGGTGTCGGAGTGGTAAGCTGAGTAAACACGTCCCGAATCGCGTATTTGGCCAAAAGCCACCCGGTTTACTAGCCGCAACATCCAAGCGATTATGGCAATGGTCAAGCATCGCGTCTCCACAGCTCCACGACTGGCCGACATAGCACATAATACACGACTTGATAGCGAGGCTGAGCAGGGCTGATGTAGGTGGTGCATGTGCATCATGTCGTCCCAGTCTGATGCCCTTCCCGCGTCCTGACTCTCGACTGTCCTTGTCTTGTCTAATTAGTCGCTATAATGGTACACTTCTCAGGCTCTTCTTGTACTCGTACGCTTCTCCTTCTCTGCCATCCACCGCCTACTTTGCGCACAGTGCTCCAATGATCTAATGACGACTCAGCTCCCCCTACACCTCCAACCCCCCTACCCCCCCCCCTTCTCCTTACTATACTAAACACTATACCAACATCTCTTATTTGTACTAGCACCTCCCTCTTCTATCCAAACTCCACTACTACCACTCGTGGCCTTCTCCGTCATAAAGCTTTGAGAACTGCCGTTTGGTGCCCTCGTCCATGACTGCCGCAGCTGCCATCGATCACTTTGTCGGGTATTAGATGTTAGTAGGCAGACCATCTGCACACTCCATCCGACCGTTTTACCTATGGACAGCATTTGCTCACTTTCCAGACAAAACTGCCCTGCTTCTTCTCCTATCGTTGTTCCCGGCTGAGCTCCAACGAACAGCCATCTCAAGCAAGAACCGAGCACCAGTATTCAAGAAGTCGTGGAGGGGATTTTTACCCATCTCGACTCTTCTTTCTAAACATCCCGCTCTACATTTCCCGAGAACTCTATTCTGCGGCAGATCATCCGCGTTAGTTAGGACGGGGATTACTTTAGCTGCATCCTGGCCGTTCTTTCGGACCCCAAACAAACCTATCAATCACTGCTCACCTCGATCTGCGAGCCTTGTCTTTCATTTACCCTGTCTTCTAATCTTGGGGCCAGCTTCACCGCGACATCCTGCCAACGATACGAGCTGCAGCAGTATTCCACCGACCTACTATATGCAGTCAGCACTCACTGCGTCATCATCCCTCACGCCCGCAACCGCGAACGAGCAGAACTATTTCTCCCATTCACTCCAGTCCGACCAACCATCCCTTCCTACCAGTAGCTGGGACAAAGGTAGATCTCCCGCCGGTAGATCGTCGTTCTCATCACATCCACATCTGTTGTGTGCACTGCCACCACAGATTGCTGTACAACGGCGTCCTCCAGTGGCCATTGAGCCGTCACGCACACGGCATACATCACCACATACTGCCGCACCATATATGGCGTCTCCGGTCCGTTGCATGCACCCGGAGTGCCTTGCTGCTGCCTCAAGCGACGATACATCTCCGCGTTGCCTGAAATCGAAGCCCCAGATCCAGACTACACAGCTACGGATACCCTCTCCCAGTAGTGCGAATCCACCAAACTCTTCGCTCAACTTGCAGCGCACACCCACAGCGTCGAGTGCAGTCTCGAGTGCGAGTACGTCTGCTGTAGCAAGCTCACCAAGGCATCACAAGCTTTACTGTCCCAAATGCAACGACCACCCGGATGGGTTTAGGTCAGAACATGAACTTCGTCGGCACGCAAACCGCGTGCACGTCACATCGCGTAAAGTGTGGATGACAGTAGATGCGTCGCCTGACCATAGTTTCTTGTCGAATTGCAAATCATGTACCACCGGCAAGCGATACAATGAATGCTATAATGCAGCAAGCCATCTGCGGCGAATGCATTTCCATCCTCGCAAGAGAGGGGAAGGCAAAGGTGAGAAGAGAGGCGGGGCCGGGAGTCTGCGAAGCGAAGATCCACCGATGGAGGTTTTGAAGAGAGATTGGCTGCGCGAAGTAGACGAGAGCGTGGCCGAGGGTGAGGAGAGAGACGAGCAATACAAGATGGATATTGGAGAGGACGAAGCGAGTGAGACAAGTCCGGCGCAATGAGACCTCATGGACATTACGACCTTGATACGGTGACGAATAGTACGACACGCACGTCAAAATGACCTTGATGCTATGACGAAGAACACGACATACACATGAGAACGACCGCAACCTAGCAGATTGAATTTACGGATTGAAGATTTGCGAGCATTCCATAGCATTTCCAGGAGTCACAGAGCACATACGACACGGATGGGCCTGTAACTTAACACAGTTCTAAGATTTAACTCCATCGGCATTGCCCTCGACGGATCTACTTGGTGTAAACAAGAGCCGACAAGTCGTCAAGTCATGTCATATTGTCCTTCTAAATGACGTGTTGTATTGGATATACGAACCTCATTTTCTTCGCAAGTATCATATTCCTATTCAGCGGAGCGCGAGGTCGGGCAAAAGAATGAATCTACTACACATAGATGGAATATATATATACAGAGGGTCATCTTTCCATCTTGATGGACAGAATCGATTCAAGTCAGATGAAGAAAAGTTTGGAGGCGGAACCAATCGGGAACTGGACAAGGCTGTAGACGGTGCATTGTAGCGGGTGTCCGGCTGCGAGCAGCAAGCGATGGCGGAGACAGGATAATTGGGGAGTCTAGCCTAGCGTACTGCTAGGTGTAGACAAGCAGCTGGGTATCTATATGGAACTGGTCCTAGGGTTTACTAAGGCTCACTACACACATGGCATGACCTGTCCAACAGGGATCTGACAGTCTGGGGCCGAACATGTTGGCGTGAGCAGCCTCGCAGACCGAGACGAGACGAGACGAGTCCGTAAGTGCCCCGAGAGGGACGATGAGAGGATAGCAAAGAGGAGGCGTTAACGGACGGGTCTGAAGGGGCGTCGAGTGTGAAGCCACTAGCGTCATTGTTTCCGAAGAAGCACAAAATCAAGCAGCATCATTGATACTACAAATATCCGCGTACGGCTAGATTTTACTGAGGCGGCGAGGAGATGGTCATGATATAATTATAGTATGACATAGACTACAGATGGTAATTAATCATTATTATCAAATCCACGGACAGGTCACGTCGAGTCGTGTTGTCGACTAGCCCAAAGTAGGAGGTTTGTAGGTCATAACGTGTGGCTTGTTAGCAGCTGAACGTGTGGCTTGTTGGCAGCTAAACGTGTGGCGCACGTGGAGGTCTACCTAGCTAAGGTAGACTATTATAGTGCACTAGCGGTGTCTACTCCTCACAGTGAGCACATGTTCTCTTAGAAGCTTGTACTATCATGTATAATTACTAAAGTCAGTTTATACCTATATAATATGTATCATCTAGGTAGCAGTATATATATATATGTGTATGTGCTTGTGGTGCTGACTGGCTTCCAGGTCTATGCTACATATTACGCATCTCAGACTCAGACATGCCTAAGCGATGAGCAAGGTCCGGCGCCAGATCCAGAACCAAAAGCAACCGCCACAGCCGGCTGGTGCCGTCGCGTTCATGTCATCTTAAGTGGCGCACTTCTCAGCACGGCCGCCCCACCGGACTGGACCTACCTATACGCCAACATCAATTGTAATCTACGTAATATTAATCCACTTCCAAACCTATTCTCCACTACAACGATTAGATCTAACTACCTGTAGTACCGCTACACCTATTGCCATGACTGGGAGGTAGCCAGACACACCTCAGACCATGTCAGCGTCAACGGCAACGTCAGCGGACATCTGCCCAGATTCCGCGTAATCCGGCCACTACAGGCAACATTCGCGACATCGTAAGACAAGGCAGTGCAAATCTAGGACTGGACCTCATGTTAAGTCAGGAACCAGGGTCTTACCGTCTCCACCCTCTCCCCACTCGAGTAGTGCGATGGATCCATGATGCATGGCTCCAAGGCCAAGTGCACCGCCGTCTTGCTATCTTGCATATATCAGTCTTGCCGGACGCTCCGGGTCAACGGTCTGATCACGGTCACCTTGCCGATGGGATAATACGGCTATCCGACTCTCAATCCCCCTGCCTGAGTTTCGGAACTTGCATCGCCAGCCGGCATCATCCCCAGCTTGCTCTGACAGATCAGATTTCACTTTATAGTCTGTTTCAGACCCTTTTTGGATACTAAGGTAGCTTGGAATCTTAGAACTTCACATAAGAATGCACACACGTCGCCTGGCCTTTCATTAGATTAGCGTTCCTGCGCAACATCCCGCCTCGCACTTGTACAGCACCATTTGCAATCATTATCAATAGGAGGACTTCTATCTACGGTCTCCCTGACTGTAGACTTCAGCGATGGGTTGATTGATATACTGCATCTTTAGCCCGTCTTGTCCATCGATCGTCCACTATTATCGTGATGTTAGTTCGACTTCAGATCTTCCGCAACGGTGCCCGCACCAGGTCTACTAGCTGACTGTCAATCTTTGTCCCTACCACGACCATTGATTTGTCGAACACAATTCTCGCAAGTTACTAGCGAGTGGGGATCATGGAATAGTTCATGCAGAGCCCTGGACAGCCTGAGGTGTACAGGGCGGGCCGTCCGTACCTACCTAACATGGCTCTACCTACGCGTATGTCCAAGAGTTGCCAAGACGTCAGTCAAGCGCGTCATCATGTGACCACGTGATGGCAGTGATCACACTTCTTTTCTCTTCTCGTATCTCATGCATCCAACGCCTTCTGACGCACGACATGAATCTGGCCCTTTGAGCATCTATCGCAGCGCCCTCGCAACGACCATGGCATCACATTGATATCGCCGTCGTCGCCCTATACACTGATCAGAGCTGTCAGCTCCTGTCCAGGAGCTGCCAAGAGCGTACAAGCACTGAGAAGGGCCGCACCGCGAATGAGAAAGCTGCGTCTCCGCACGCTTCTGCCAAGAACCCTCTACCTTCACCCTCACCTCCCGTCTGCCGTGGGCCCATCCGCGTCTGCCCTTACTGCAAGAAGCATCTCGTAAGGTGCTTGACGTGCCACCGAACGCCTCTGATGCTCGTCCACCTTGGCGAGAGGCGGCGTCCTCGCCCGTGAAGCCATTGACAACCCAGCAATCCGCACGTTTTGCGCAAACTCCGCGTCGCTGTCCTGGTTGCTGGAACGAAAAGGCGAGTTCCAGAAGCATGGGTGTGGGCATGGGCGTGGGTACGCGAAATTGCGGACAGCTGAGAAGTATAAAGATTCAAGCTAGCCCTGCTCGTTGGGGACTTTACGGCTCACGTCCTGCGCATCTCAATTGACAGTCATGGTTGCTTACAAGACTGCTGCTTTTGCTGTCGCTGGAGCCCTACTTGGCTTGTCTCGTGCGCAGACTTTCCAGAGACTGGGTGGCTGCCCTACGTTAGGTGTGCTAGCAATGGTTTCTCAGCCTACTCACAGACACTTACAGTGATCTAGGTTGCGTCTTTCCTCCTGACGAAGCCGACTTTCTTGCGGGACAGTACTTCGACATTCGCCTGGAGGTCCACGCACCAGTCAATGGCTCCGAGGCCATCTCCAGGTCCCCGGACGAGCACTTCACCTTCACTATCAAAAAGAAGGACTCCGACGACGAACCAGTGCCCGCTGCCAAATACTTTCAATTGGACGAGCCGCAACTAGAGAGATGGAACTTCACCTGGACCGAGGACCTGTTTGCTCGTGACATGGGCAGACCATCCCTTGTGAATGTCACCGCAAAGGCCTACCGCAAGGTCGCCCTCTACGAAGCCGGCGAATACGAGGCCACTCTCACCTACTACGATGGCCAGCAGACCGTGGCGAACTGGATTGTCCGCGATCTCGACGAAGAGCGCAAGACGAAGAATATTCTGCTTTTCATTGGGGATGGTATGACAACGAACATGATCACTGCCGCACGCCTTATTGCTCACAAGTCTGTAAATGGAAAGTACAAGAGTTTGATGCAAATGGACAAGTTCCCTGTACTCGGTCACCAGATGACGCACTCTATGGATTCCTTCATAACCGACAGTGCCAATTCAGCCACCACCCTTTACAGCGGCCACAAGACTACTGTGAACTGTCTAGGCGTCTACGCCGACTCCAGCAAGAACCCCTTCGATGACCCAAAGATTGAGACTATTGCCGAGATCTTCCATCGTGTCTATGGTGGCCACATCGGGATTGTATCAACAGCCTTCATCGCCGATGCTACTCCTGCTGGATTGACTGCTCACACGCGCGATCGTGATCAGTATGGAGCCGTCGTGGACTCTTTTCTGAACGGCATCACCAACTACACCTGGACAAACTGGACTGGCCCTGACGTTCTTTTCGGAGGTGGCGCCGAGCAATTCTACAACTCGAGCAAGGGCGGTAGAACTTATATGGACAAAGACTACTATCTCGAATTCCAGAATAAGGGCTACCAGCTTGCACAAGACGCCGACTCCTTATCAAGCTTAAGCAACGACGAACGCGCACTCGGGATCTTCTCCGTTAGCAATATGGCCAAATGGCTCGATCGCAACGTCTACACCAACAACCTCCGTAACCAGTCCAACAGCCCCGACGGGAACAAAGCTGACGCCGTGAACCAACCTGGCCTGAAACAGATGACGCTCAAGGCCATCGACATACTCAATACTCGCGCCGGTGATAACGGCTGGTTCATCATGTCCGAGGCGGCCTCTATAGACAAGCAAATGCATCTCCTCGACTACGACCGTGCGCTGGGCGAGTTGCTCGAGCTTGACGACACTATCCGCGCTAGTATTGAGCATCTGAAAGAGCTTGGCACGCTCAAGGAGACCCTCATCCTCGTCACAGCTGATCATGGTCACGGCTTTGATGTGGCTGGTAGCGTTGACACAAAGTATCTCTCTGCGCAGAACAACACGCGCTCGAAGCGCCAGGCCGTCGGTACATACCAGAACTCTGGTCTGTCGCAGTACGCCAACACCGGGAACTTGACCTACACTGACGGTGTTCACTTCCCCTCCAACTGGGATCCACGATACACGCTATTTGACGGCTTCATGGCGAACCCCGACCGTCGCGAGAACTACAAAGTACACCAAACCGGCCCTCGTACACCATCGCGTAATCTCACGGGTCCAAACAATTACTTCGTTAACCCGTCGGACAATCCTGATGGCCTCGTCGTCAATGGGACCCTTCCTGTGGAAAACAGCCAAGGTGTCCACTCACTTACCGATGTCCCAGTCTTTGCCATGGGCCCATGCCAGGAGCTTTTTGGTGGTGTATATAGTAGTACGGATGTTTTCTTTGGTATGGCCGACTGCCTCGGTCTGAGTAGGTATAGCTCGGACGATAGTGGCTATCGTCGTGATAAATAGGAAAGGTCGTAGGTCAGGAGTTGAGTTGAGTCGAGTTGAGTTTAGCGAGCATGGCGAGGCGTGTGGAGTCTGAGTTGTCGTAGTCTGTATCGGGTAGAGGTGCGGTGCATGAATAACGGCGCGATGAAAAGTTGTATTTCGACAAAGGCGACGCGGCGGATCTGTCCAATGCGTAGATCAGTGCTATGATCAGCAATGGCTTTCCCAACCAACGTCTCCGGCCACCGCTGCTAACTATCAATCTTTACCCACCTGCAATAGTAGTAGTAGTAACACCAACAGTGAGAACGTGTAGGATCAGCCCTGGCTGGTTTTGCCACATCTCTGAGTCCACGACGTGTCTGTGCTTGCAGGGAGGATTTACCATGGGAAGACAGAGCGAGAGGAGTACAAGGGTAGCACGAGAAACAGTCTAGTAGTGTGAAATGGTATATCAGCATAAAGGCAGCGGGTGACTTTTTCACATCCATTCGGATAGTTCGATTGCGTTGAGAGATCCATTCCTACGCTGTATGCAAGCCGGTAACAGTGCAGTGGTTGTCTCAGCACCGCGTCTCCGGTGCTTCCGGCTTTTTGAGGGAGAGTGAGAGCCGACTGGAATAGGGAGCGTCCTGACTCCTTGGGTGGACCGGGTCAAGAGGGGAATCATGCTTCATGAGCTGAGTGGAAGGAAGCAAGTTCAGAACAGTCACTGACGTGAGAAACGCAGCACTGCAGATTTGACGCTCTGCAAGTAAGCGAGGAGGCTGGATGACCATTCGTTGATAGGCCGGGTACGATGTGTAGGGTGCATCCGATGAGTGTGCTGTGCGGTTTGTGTGGGATGCCTGATGGAGTCTGCTTTGCCGCCTTGCTGCATTCATGTCTCAGACACACCTTGCTGACCTGCGTATGTCCTTCTTGTACAGTAGTATGCTACAGGATGAAGGGGACATATGAGGAGCCCGTATCCCACCAACTTGCGTCGATCCTGAGTACAGCAACCTGATGTGTTGGTCGGCAGTAGCTGTCCCAGGGTACCATTGTAGTTGTACCATGCAGGACTAGCCTTAATTACACACATGGGTAATACAGTCCCAGCGAGCTTGGCTTCGGCGATTTCGGCGTGATAGCGCAAGGATTGACTAATTACTCGTGGATGTAAAGGACTGTGTTCGGATAGACTGCAGCGTCCAGGAAGACATTACTCGTATATCACCGCTTAGTAAGTCATGGATGAAGCTTCAGCTTTACAACATCACTACACTACTTTGCGGACCGTCGCGCCTGGGAGAGCGTTGAGCTGGTGGGGTCAACGCTCGCTGATAGGCTTCCACGGATTCGACTTTACGCAGTTTGGACCACCTGCGGGCCGGGGACGATGTCGGTGTAGCTGACTGAGTGCTTGGTCGGGAATATGTTGTTGGGTGATGGTTAAGGGCTAGGGGTTGATGTGCATGTGTATGTGCATGATGCATCCATCATCCATCGGCGAAAGGATGGTGGTATCTTGTGGTGTCGACAAGGATACATGCTCGGCAAAGAACAGCCACAGCCTTGTCTCGATGAATTGATTGGCCCGTAAATTCGCCTTCTTCATTGTATCAGTGTGTCGATAATTCAGCATTCGATTTGGAAAGTTTATCCAACAAGAAATCGCACTTGACAACAGAAGAACATCATGGATAGCTCAAGAAAGTCGGTCCTAAGGAGATTGCCATTTATTAAGTCATGGATTTATCCTATAGAACCCCCTAATTGGTAGATACAACGTCTAAACCAGTAGACTTGGTTGCCGGCCTGTTTACGGAACCTGCACGAAAAGATCCCGTGGATTCACTAACGCCAATCACTCGCTTACCCTCAAACTTTCTGTCTTCAATGTCACTGTCAACACTCCTAGCCCGGCTCGTGCCCATAATCAATCTGTAGGGTCTCACAATCGCATCGGACCAATCTCGAAGAACCTTGCGACGTTACGATGCCTCGCCGCAGCGCCATTTAGTACCAGTTCCACCACCATTTCCTGCCCTGTTCTTTACTTGTATTGCTGCTACTCGTCGAAGATGTACGAGACATGACGCTGCCGGGCACTTTCACAGCATCGATACCATAAGGTCGCACTTGCTGAGGCGTGTTCAGTGACGGTGCTTGAGTCGTCGGTGTTGTCGATGTCGGCCGTGATTGGAAGGAGCGACTTCTCGAGTATGTGACCATGAGAGACATCGTTGTAAGAATTTGAAAGGGTCGAAGGGTATATATATGTGTATGGATGGTTTGGTTGAGGAGTGGCTTGACTCGAAGGCTTCAGCCTGTTCGACAGTACGAAGTGCAGATGTGAATCTCAGGTAATCCGAGTCGAAAAGAGTGATATTGACTCAGTCTGTACGACTTCTGGAAGAGAAAGGAGGATTTGATGACTTGTCGCTCGTCGCCGTGGCGGGCAACCTGTTTATACCATTAGCATCGTGGTGGGTACCATCCATCAGGTGAGGGGCTGCATACAGATGCGGGGCCAGTCAATCAATACACCAACCACACGATGAGCGTCCTCCGTATCTCATACGAGCACAGCCAGGGTTGCACCACACATCCCAGACACCCCATGGAGGCCCCAATAGGGCAAATATCACATTTGGAGCCGGGGAATGGGATATTTCGCATAGGACGAAGTATAGTCACTACTAGCCTTGATCTGATAGACGGTAAAAGATAGGTCTATGGATTGTGTTTAATTGGCCGTGGCGATCCTTCCCACTACAAGCTAACTATTTAGTTATTCTCATTGCTCTCTTCCTGGTCCTGTCCCTAGCGTCACCTACTAACTGCATTAAGCTCAATAGTAAGTACTTATCGAGGTTTTGAGTGTAAGGGATGAAGTCGTATTGTTTCACGATGTAAACAAAAGTCTAATTACATGTATATATATTTCTACATCTACCCCCTTTCGTATGCCATTACGTCTGAAGAAAACATTTCGCATATGTCTGATACGGAGTACGACTCTGAGTACAACATAGATAAGGCAGTGTGATGGCAAAAGCTCATCATGATCGTCACAGTCATACTTGTTTCACTCATACTGATGCGCACGAGGTCTAGCCATAGGACTCGCGAGATCCCGGGTATCGAAGTCTTGTCGAACGTCCAAGGCATGTCAGTAAATATCGCAGCATCTTCAGTACTCTTCGCGTTCCGAGAGATATGCATTCCAACAGCGCCGAGTCCGGTACGACCAGCTCGTTTATAAGGCATGGTCAACCTTTTTGATCGTTGACCCAGCATTACTCTCGACATCGCTACCCTTTGTCTTACTGAACAAGCTGATGCCATTAGAGACTGGCCCTCGTTGGTATTTGACACCATCAACTTCGACCTCAGGTTGGAATGCAAGGTACATCCACCAGTAATACCCACCACAGAACAACGCACCACCAACCAAGTTACCCAAGAAAGCAGGGATGATACCTTTCCAGATATACAGGCTGACAGTGACACCAGGTGTCTTCAACCAGATTCCCATGGGCACAAAGAACATATTAGCAACAACGTGATCGAAACCAAGCGCGACGAAGGCAAAGATCGGAAACCAAATGCCGATGATCTTGGATGCGAGGTCACGGGCCTGGAAGCCGAAGAAACAGCCTAGGCACACGAGCCAATTGCAACCGATCCCGCGAAGAAAGATGTTGTGCCACATAGGAACAACTTGCTTGGTTCGAACAAAGTTGTGGATTTCGGTGAGATAGGGGTCCTTTGCAAAGACGTTGCCGTCTGCGACGCGTTAGATACTGTTTAGAGTCTGGAAACTTTGACTCGGAGCTTGACTTACAGCCGAAGATAATCGAGACGACGAATAGTGCACCAGCGAGATTACCCCAAAAAGTTATGAACCAGTGCAGCAACATCTTGACTGGACTCAGGCGCTTCTGAAGGACGGCAACAGTAGTGAAGAGGAACGAGCCGGTGCACAAGTCAGCACCAGTGAGGCTGAAGAATCAATTAGCAGATGCCTAACCAAGAAGTGATGCCATCGGAAATGTCGCTGAATATGACCTCATCGTCTTCTCCTCGACCCCATGTGTGTGAGAGGATTGCGTAGGAAGGAGTGCGGTCGCTGGGGAACGAGGTCAGCTCGAATCTGTCGTTTACTGCCTTCAACAGTCGCATTTCGCGTTTCGTCTGGTGCGCATGAGTGTTGAACAGCAGACCGTGTTTGCACGATGAGTGTTAGGCAGCTGCATACTGCGTAAAGCGCCTCCATGTTGCAGCGAGGCTGAGACGCTCGCAGTGTTCAGAGCAGAGTTCCTATCAATCAGTCCAACTTCAATTCTGCCTCTCCAGAATTGACTCAGTCCAGTTCAACTGAGGCCTCTTGCCAAGGGTTGGATCTTCAGTCCAATTCAATTCTAGGGTAGGATTGAGTTGCTAATAGTTGAGTTGAACTAAAGTTACATATAGATAGGTATATTAGTGGATATCCTCTTAAGGTTAGGTGATTCGACTAGATTTAATAGAGGAAAGTCACGTGATACGTCACGTGATACGTCACATGATACGTCACATGATATATCATGTGACTGTACGGGCACATTATGTAAGTCGTCATGTGACGAGTCACGTGATTTACACGTGACTTACTATCACTCTCTCATGTAAAAAACCACATAAAGTCTCTATACTAATAGCTATATATTAATAATATTAATATAGTTTCTTTTAAGCTTATTATTCACTTATATTAAGAACTACTATATAGGTAATATCTTAGAATACTAAATTTTATCTATCTTTAAGACTTTTAGCTAATCTTACTAATATACTTCAGTCTAGTCCAGTTCAACTTTAATTCTACTACTAGGATTAACAGTCCAGTTCAATTCTACGATGGTAAGAGTTGAAGTACTTCAGTTCAATTCAACTAGAGGCCCAAAGTTGAACTGAACTGATTGATAGGAAGTCTGGTTCAGAGTGGCCGGCTGTTTCTGCATCTGATGTTCAAGTAGTACGCCGTAGCAGCGCGAGCTAGACAGGCTAGACAGTCGTATGTGGCGCATCGAAGAAGCCATCAGCCACAGTGCTGGCTTGGCTGGCTGATACTGACCGTTTTAGCGGTGTGTCAGCAGAGCGTCAGCAGAGCGTCAGCAGCGCGGGGTGGTCTGCACTAGCCAAGATCGTGCTAGGGAATCAGATTGAGCGGGTGCAGCGACTTCATTAGTATCCTAGTGGTTTTGGGCTGACCATCGAGCATCGCCTAGAATAGCATGTACTAAGATACATAGCTATGGGAACGGAATTTGCTGCGATGGTGCCTAAGGCGAAATTTCCCGCAGCAGAGATGACGGGCTTCTTCAAGCAGCATATGCACGAACCTCGCAGCGCCCTCGGAAGCTTTGGAGACTGGATGGTAAGACTAAGTACAGACGAGGAGAAGTCTAGGATCGAGAGAGTAGACTCATTGATGGACGAATAATCTGCGCGAGGCAAATCAAGCCTCTTCGATTTGAATTGAATTGAGATGATTTGAATTCTTTACGCTGCGGAATGCCAGCTGGTCCCCTAGCTAATGTCATCGCATTTTCGCCGCTGAGCAATCGCCATTCCAAGATGCATATTATTGTTGCCATCGCTTATATTATGGGCATCTTTGCGCAGATGCAGCCAATAGAGTTGATGGTGATGAGAGCCTGGAATGAATGGTGGTGAGCTGAATTCGAGATGCAGTAGAGCACCGTTTGGTTCACCTTGCGCGGTTCGAATTTCTTCCAGACGCATCAAGATATCCATAAATATTCTAGAAGAGAATGGGCATGTACGAAGTGTACACACCTAAGGAGTAGCAATTCATAAGCGAACCATTACTTAAGTCGTCATCCAGTGTGTAACCAAGGGTGCTTGAGAAGCTCACTTGCTGATATCCGATCGTCGGGATCCCATCTCCACATGCAGCGCATAAAATCGAAAAGCAATGGCATTGTTGCCTCTGCTTCCACCCGATCTTCAATATGTATGGCGCTGATGTCTCCATGCTTCCAGTCTCCTTAATCCTCATCAGCTGTCGGGTTTATAGATCGAGTAGCATACGGACTCACCCTTTTCATCGAAGAAAGCTTGAGATGCGGCGCAACGACCAAGGAAGCTCTTCGGAGGAAGACCTAAATACTGAACCATCAGACTTACCGAGCTCAGTTCATCTGTTTGTCCGAAGATACGTTCCCCAAAAAGGAGTTCCCAGATCTGAATAGGAATGTAAGCATTAGAGCGAAGAAGACCAATCTGACTCACTAAAACGCCCAAATTCCAAACATCGATTTTGGAGTTCCAATCTGCACCAAATATTACTTCAGGAGCCCGATATGGAAGAGCTTGAGCTAGCCCTTTGTGATATGAGGTGCCTAGTACAGCTGAACCCAGATCGCAGAGTATGGGGTATCCTAGTTCGTCTTGGACCATTTGGCGAGATCGATATATAGGTAAGTCACTATTGATTTGCTTCACATAACTTGTGTGGTGTGTTTCAGCTGCGATAAAAGAGTTTAGAAACTCCTCCTCGTCATTCGGCAGGGTCATTTGAATATTGTCCAATTTAATGTCTGTTATGAGTTCAGCAGTCTTGAATAATGAATCCTGGATTTCAACACACCTGTATGGACAACTCCATTAGAGTGGAGGAAATCCATTGCGTGAAGAAGATAAGTAGTAATCCAACGAACATTATGAGATCCAAAAGAATTCCTCGGAATCGCCTTAGTAAACTCTAGTAGACTTGCTCCTAGCGGCTCAAATAAAAAGCATTGATGTACTCGGCCGTTCGATGTAATACTGAAAATTTGATTAGATCGTCGAACACAGTATTTGCCTGGATGTTCCTGGGATGATGAACATTGCTCTATATGCTTCAATGCTTGGGCTTCATGCGAAGTAGCATCTGCGGTTAAGATCTTCAGGACTTTGAAGTGTTTGCTATTTCGTAATTAGCATGTGCTATTGCTCTCCAAATCCGGCTTACTTCAAATCTTGGCAAAGCCAAGTAGTTGAACTTCGCCCATATCCTAACTTGGATCTTATTATGCAAGAACTCCCAATCGAGTCGCCAATTCTTGCTGGATAATATCGGGAAGGATCAAAGTGTGACAACGATTCTTCGTCAACAAGATCCATATGCGTGGTAAGGTCCCAGCGTGAAGCTGGCGAACACGAATAGAGCTGTGTCTGTTCTCCTAACAGAAATCGACGGTACAGGTGAGGCCTGACATGATATAACAGGCTCAACGGAGCTGGTGTTCTCATTAAGAATGTTGTTAGATGATATGCATGGCGGCGAACTGGATGCACGGTGAGGAGAGACTTAATTACTATAAACTAGATAGATAGTCCCTAAGAAGGTATATAAGGCTTATTTATATAAATTCCCTCTATTTTAAGTATATAGTTACTAATATAGGCGTTTAGAGTCGTACTCAAATCACGTGGTTTATTAGTGGGTTGGCTCATTAGTGGGTTGGCTCATTAGTGGGTTGGCTCATTAGTGGGTTGGCTCATTAGTGGGTTGGCTCATTAGTGGGTTGGCTTATTAGTGGGTACGTTAACTTAGCTTTCCAACTACGGGGGGCCTTTTAAGATTATCATGCGCTGCTACTGCGCTTGCTATCGTGTTTTCCGTGATGACCCAACCATAGGACCTGGTCATTAGTAACAACTTGCTCACACTCGTCCGAAGAATTTCCTCGATGCTCTCCTGTCTCTGGCATGAAAATACCTTATAACACGAAGTATCGAGAACCAAATGGGCATCACAATAACAGACTTGTTCAAACCACATACCGATAGGGGTATACATTCTGGTTTCTCGAAGTAATGCTCCCTCCCCTAGACGTGGTGAAGTAGCGTTCAGTCAAAAGGCTGTAATTCCTTCCTGTTTATGGGGGAGTTCGCACTTTGTGTCCGAATCACTTAGCTCAGACGCTGACTCTTCTACTTAAAAGACCCTTGGAAGAAAGGTGAGGTGCCCATCGTGTCTGCAGCCCATACGACAGCCAGATCCATTCCGCATTTACGTATTTGGTTCTTTAGTACTATCAATACCACTGCTATTTCTGCCTAGACCCCTCCCAATCCTGTGCCAGTGGACACACATGTCGCGTCCGGCGCTGGCGAAGTTACGCTTGTGATTAACGACGGGGGCCTTGTCAATCGAGCGAAGAAGTCGTCAGGGTCCAGCAATATTAGTACTCTAGTACCGTCTGTGTCTGGCTTTGGGCCTGATCCTTTCCGCATGCTCCGCTTCGCTGAGGGAGCCACCGAACACTCTGTTCTCTGTTCTGGTACTAAAACTGCCATGAATGGTATCTCTGTCTTTGCCGAAGATGGGTCAGGCATTGGCTCTTCGCATGGCTTTGCGGACAACTTAGGGGCTCGGTGCGATGACCGCATCGGGAGGAACGTATTGGGATGGTCTAAGATAGTCACGATGGAAACACGATGATTCGTAAAAACAAGCTCCTTAGGCTCCGTCAGACACCCAATAGACAGCGTCAAATTCAATGGCCCAGCTGCTGGGGGAAGTAAGACATCCATATCGATATCTTCAGAATTGTCTGATCGCGTGAGACGTCTTGATGGCGATGTTACTGGCGCAAGATGTGCGGAGCATGCAGGATGCTTCGCGGCCTCGTCCATCCTGTGTTTGTACCGCTCACGTAGGTCTAGATACAGGAGTTAGTTGAATGAAACAATTGAATATTGAACACTGCTTTGAAAGTGGTATCGATATAGATTCTGCCGCATGAAGGCCCTAGAGTGCCATGAACCTCGAACCATTAATAAGCACCTTGAGGAATTTGAAAATTGCTACCACCCATTTGTGCTTGTTGCGCCTGTTGCTGCGCCATTTGTGACTGGTGCTGTTGTCTTTGATGCAGATCGTTGAACCACGGATGCGACAGTGAGTCCTGTGCGGATACGCGTAGCTCAGGCCGCAACTGAAGCATCCTGCTGAGGAGATCAAGTCCAACTTGGTCGTATTCGAGGTGAGGAATGATGTTCTGAAGCTTCTGAGTCGCATAGACGTGAAAATTGGGTTTGTATTCTGGAAAATTAGAGATACCGGGCCAAGATCGCTCTGACGGTGTGCCCATCAATCTGAAAATTTTCTGAAGTTGGTCCTCATTAGTCGTGCCAGGGAAAAGTGGCCTCCCAGTATACATCTCTGCCATAATGCAGCCAGCGGACCAGATATCAATACTAGTGTTATACGTTCGGCTACCCAGGAGGACGTCGGGTGCGCGATACCATAAAGTTACGACTTCATTTGAGAAGGTATTGACGGGAATGCCGAATGCCCGCGCGAGACCGAAGTCGGCCAGCTTCAATTGGCCCTTGGTATTGATGAGAAGGTTCTGTGGCTTCAAGTCTCGGTGTAGCACTCTGTTCTCGTGACAAAATGCAATGCCACGCAGCAGTTGATACATGAACGATTTGATGGTTGGTGGATCCAGTTGACCTCTATCGCCACGTGAGTCCATGTACTTCTTCAAGTCCTTATCCATGAACTCGAAAACGAGCATAAGCTTATTTTCAGTATGTATGACATCATGGAGAGAGACGATGTTCTCGTGCTTCAGCTCTTTCATGAGAGAGATCTCGCGGATCGCAGTGGAAGGCGTTCCCTCTTCGCTGTCGAGGTGGATCTCTTTTAAGGCGACAAACTCGCCAGTCTGGCGGTTACGACCTTTGAAGACCTATCTTGTCAACTTCGTGAATGGTGAGCCAAATGAATACCTACCGTCGCGTAGGTTCCCTCCCCGAGCTTCTCGAGCTGCTGAAAGGAACTCGGATGTCTCTTGTCCATAATTGGAACCTGGTGGTCACCACCAAGACTTCTCACACTGATTGACGAATCTGTACGACTTCCGATGGCCAAAGTGCCGGCGTGAGTAGGCCTGAGGTTGCCAGGCGGCGGCCGACTAGTATAAGTGGGATCCCAGAGGATAGTAGAGGCGGTGGTGAGTTGCGCGGCGATGGCGAGAGCGTTGGGTGATGCCGGGGCTGTACTTGTATGAGAGGAGGATTTTGGGAGAGATGGTTGAGCCGTTGTGAAGGCTGGTTGGGGAGGGTGGGGGAGCGGGCGAGCGGTTTTCGAGACGGGAGGAGGTGAAAAACAGGCTTGCGCTGGAGAGAACAACAAGTGCTGGATAGGAAGGAGCAGGATGCAGATGAATGGATGGCTGGAGGGATGGATGCAGGGCCGGATGAGGATGCAGGTGAGGTTCAGCTTAACGTGAAATTGAAAGTAGAGGTTAAGGTGTATGCGGATGTTATCACATATTCATACACATGATCTCTATAGCAGAAGGAGTCATAGCGGTTACGAGGCACTGATATTATTAATAACCAATACTGTAATACCCAATCAATCAGAGTTAATTACAGTATGGATTACTTATTAGGCTAGGTAGGTATCTTGGACACGGGCTATTTTCGTCAACAGCGCTTAATGACTCAGCCAACCAACCATCAACCAGGGCGCCGTTACACTCCACAGCATGCAAACAGGGTGAAACACCATTACAGACAAATCGTTTCACTATTCCTTTAGCATTTCTGCAACTCCCACGCACTGCCAGGTCAAAGATGGAACTCGTTCTTAGTTCCTCTTAGCACTCCTAGTCCATTCCGGCGCGTCCCAATCGTCAGAGACTGAACGAGAGAAACGCGCGGTTATTGCTATTATAGGTTCAGATGTAAAACTTTGGTCCGTATGTGCTAAGGTAGGATAATCATACGCGATTGACGAGAAATACCATTTCCAGTGATGATAGAGATTTTCAGGTGCCATGTGCCTCTCAGAACAGAAGTTGATTTCATGTTGCATGGAAGTGTTAAAGCGTATATTATTGCATCTTTGGAACAGTGGATTGCCACTCACCACCGCGAGGCTTCACGTATCCGATATACATTTACATAGCTGACTGAGTGGCCCGTATGTATTCCCAGGTAGAACTCCCGTCCCTAGTTCAGGAATCGATATTGAACGAACTCCAAAGATGATCTTCACCGAATTCGCCACATAACAAACTAATTAGGCAGGTATTTACGCAACTGTTTCTTTGATCAGTGATTCATCCATAGAGATGTGCGCTACATGACTTACATCCAAGGTCACTGCTCGACTCGAGTTCTCACCCTGATCTCTCATGATACCCACAAGACTTTCGCTCTCCATGAAGAAAGCGGTCTTGAGACTGATGACAATGAACTGCATACCTGGCATAGCATTCTTCTTGACATAGTTGGCAACACGAGCAACGTTAAGGTTGTCCAGGGCAGCGTCAACTTCATCCAGAACGAAGAAAGGTGACGGCGCATAGCTGTGCACGGCAAATAGAAGCGCAAGCGCAGCGATGGTTTTTTCGCCACCGGAAAGGTACTCCATGTCCCGAAAACGCTTCAGCGGTGGCATAGCCGTGTATTTGAGGCCATCCAGATATGGTTCATCGTCGTGCTCGACGGTCAATTGAGCATTACCGACCACACTGCTTCCCACAGTCCTCGTAAGATCGGCGTATACATTCTTGATATGCTCCGAGATATGCTTGAACGCACGGTTGAACTTCGTCAGTCGTTGTTTTTGGACATCCTCAAACTTCTTGTTGAGGGCCTTTTCTTCTTCGCGAGCTCTGATATGTTCTTGTTCCGCGTCTTCGTGACGTGTAATTGCACTGTCCAGCTTCCGTGTGGCTGTCATGTTCGGCTGCATCTTATCAAGCTCGGTAGTTAGTGAGCGGATCGTTTGGTCGAGTTTTTTCTCGGTATCATCAGACCCATCCTAAATTTGCGTGAGTATCAAGATAACGTCAGCGATGTGAAGCGCGTACCTCACAGAGATCTTTGTCAAGCTCTTCAAAGTTGATATGGATTCCAAAATCTTTTTCCTCTGCCTGTGGTAGCATAGTGCTGTCTGGGTCCTCATCAACATCCATGGCGTCTTCGTCATCGACGTCGTCGTTCAGATCTCCCATTGGCAACGACTCAATGGGTTTCGAGTCTTCGGTTAGAGCTATCTTGATCTCGTTCAATTTGCATTCTTGTAGAAGCGCATATCGCTCGCTCAAGATCTTCCTCTTCGTGTTTTCATGCTCATTAATCTTCTTTGCCTCTACGTCGGATTTCTTCTTCTCGGCGTCCAATTCCGACGTGCGCTGTCTCACCAGACTTGCTGTGTCCTGCTGAGACTCTCGCAATTTGACGAGACTTTCCCGAATCTGATCGAGTTCAGTCTCCATCCGGTCCAGCTCATGCTCCTGGGTTTCTTTATTGGCGCGGATCTGCGAGATTTCCTTGTCCAGTTTCATCATTGCTTTTTTTAGACTCTCGTGCCTGCTCCGTTCCATGTCTCTGTCCTCAGTCGCTTTGGAGATTTGCGTCTCAAGTCTCTTTATCTGCGTAAGGAAGTCACGCCTCTTTTCATTCAACTCTTGTTGGAGAGATCCTTGCTCCGCTACGTATTCTCGAATATTAGAGTAATGGAGTCGATTACAGAAAGCCGCGAAGACCTCATCTTCGACCTGTGCTATCGCGTCTGCATAGCTCTCTCGAGTCTCTTGCAGGTTGCTGATTTTCGCTGCTTGCTTTGAAAGCTGAGCCTTAGCCGTCGCTAATTCGCTTTCGGCGTTCTTCAAAGCTTTCTTCCCATCTTGGATATTCCGGTCTAAAGTCTTGACTTCGTCTTTCGCCGCTTCTAGCCTCGTTTGGAGCTTCATCTGCTCGATTATCAAACCCTGCTCTTCCAAGTCCAGAGCATTGGTATCTGGGAGAGCTTCAAGCGCGGACCTAATCTTTGCAACATCGCTGCGGTGCTTCTCTGCTTCTGCCGCAGCTGTAAATTGTTGAGTAGTCTGTTTTTTTCCACCACTACCACCAGTCATAGTTCCGCCCTTGTTTATGACAGCGCCGTCATACGTCACAGCTTTAACGTTAAAGCGCTGTTTCCCAAAACAGATCTGTCGAGCTCGTTCGAGGCTCTCGCAAATCACGGCATCACCACAGACTGCGGACATAGCTCGCTCATGCGCGGAATCGTATTGAATTGCATCGATGACGAGTCGGGTCTTTTGAAGCGACCTAAGTCGTTGATCAACGGGTCGAATTGCGATCTTGTCGAGGGGGAGAAACTTCATACGCGGAAGCTTGTTCTCGACGAGGTAGTCGATGCACTCTCGGGCGGATTTCTCAGATTCGATGACGACCGAGTCCATCTCCGGCGCGAGGGCAATGGTCACGGCGGTATCGTACTTATGCTCGCGGGGTTTGAATAGATCAGAGATCCTACCCATGACGACATCCTCTCCATAAACCCGTTGAAGATCTTTGAAAGCTGCTCTTTTTGCCTTTTCTCGAGCGCTCTCTCTTATAGTGCCCTCAATATCCTTGAGGCGGTGAAGGAGTACTTGAAGCTTCTCATTTTGCTCCGTATGTTGGTCCAAAGCTCGTTTGCGCCTTGATTTGACTTGATTTTGTTCTTGTGTTTTGGCTGCAAGCTGTGACTGGCATTCCTTTGCTTCTTGGCTACGGGAGTCTCTTTGCTCCAGCAGCCTTGCAAGAGATTCTCTCAGTTGACTAGTCTGCGCATCCAGAGATTCAACACTGACTCTAAGTGTATTGGCCACTTCGTCGTTGGTCTTCAAATTTCGATCGATGTCGCGTACTTCGTTAGCATCGTTAGTGGTACGTTTGCTAGCCTCAACCGATAGCTGGCTGTATTCTTGTAGGTCCGCTCCACTCAACACGCGACCGGCTTTTTGAGTAAGGATATGCGCATCGTCTTCGGCCCTCTTCAGTGTCTTTTGAGCTACCGACTTCTCTTTTTCAAGTTTCTCGATCCTAGCTGTGGCCCTTTCTTCACTTTCTTTAACCTTAGCAGCTCTGGCAGCTTGGGCATCGCGAGAGCTAGTTTGGTGAGCAATTGACGTCTCGAGGGGGGCGATGTCGCTACGCTTCGCTTCAATGTCACTCTCTTTTGCTCTTATTGCTTCCTCCGATCGTGAGTAGGCTCGACTAGCCTTTGCCTGCTCACGTTTGGCCTCGGTAAGTCTGTCTTGAAACTTCTGCACACCACGTCTGTGCTCCTTGAGTTCTTCCTGACATCGCAAGATCTCGGCGTTGGATTCATCAATGACGCGCTGAAAATGGTAGAGTTTCCAGAGAGACCTCTGCGCTATAGCCTCATCACGCTCTTTGACTTTTGCCTCATAATCGTCGACCTCCTTCTTTTGATCCCGGTAAGTCTTCATCTCGTGGGCGAATTTGCGCTTTTCCTGAAATCGGTATCCCGTAGCTTTCTGAGCTTCTTCCCTCTGCGCGCTTAACTCATCGTACTCCGTCTTGTGTTCCAGACTTCCAGAGATCTGCTCGACCAGGCGAGTAATGTCTTTGGGAGACTGCGATGCGATGGCCTCCACGTCACCCTGAAATACAAGAAAATTACGCGCTTTGATCAGGATATCTTCGGCTTCTAATGCGGCATTGTAGTCTTTGGAGGTGACCGTTTTGCCATTGATGCTGTATTCGCTACTGCCTGCGCTTGTGATGCTGCGTTTCCATCGGTGCTCTTCATCTGCTGCATCGACATAAACAGCCATAACCCAGGCGGTTGTCGGATCGTGTCCCTGACTTCTTGTACGTGCGATCCTCCCGTCCTCCGACCCATCCTCTTCGTTCACGCCATTAGTACGATGAGTACCATTGATGACTCCATTTGTGTGTCCATTCAGTTCGGCTTCTTCGGTTGCGGTACCATCTGCATTGATTTTGGAAGTCTGGAGAACGCGCCCGCGATAAATCAGGTCCTTTAAATTAGAAGAGCGAAGATGTGATGACTTAATGCCGAGAACGAAGGAGATGGCGTCCATGGAATTTGATTTACCTGATCCATTAGGACCAATGATCGATGTGAAATACGCATCACCAAAGAGCAGTTCATGGTGGCCGCGGTAGGATTTGAAGTTGTACACTTCCAGCCGAATAAGCTTGCCCATGTTGTAGGAAGCTTCGGCGCGCTGCCTTTGCGCAGAAGGGGAGTTGTTTGGGGGTCGATACGGTGATGACGATGATGATGATGATGACGATAATGATGAAAGCAGACGACGATCTCGGTCGCCAGCAGTGGCGCCTGGGAGCAGAAAGGTGTATTCAATGACGCTGCTGAGTCTTAATAATGGCTACCGCTAACGCGCGCGTGGTGATTTCGCGTGCGCGACGATGAGGGACACATTGTTGCCTTAATCCTAAGGCAGACATTGCTCATGCAGGGACATCTGTCGTCACAGACCGCTCCAATGAGGACAGCTGTATTGGTGCACGTTGGCCTTCACATCAACAAACGCCTTTGATCTTCTACCACATGCGCCTTTACCCGCTGCCTATCTTGACTCGAAACGTACTGCCTATCGTCATGAGAACTGCAGGGTCTCACTCGATCAACTGAATAGCCAGCAAGTGTCCCCCGTTCCGTATACATTCGACAGCATATAGACCTCTGTGGTGCTTTCATGTCTTCATGCGATCAGGCCCGCGTTTCTTCTTGTCTGAGCAAACTCTCCCCTTGTACTAACACCACTATGTCTGTAGGCTCGAACTCCCCTCGATCTCCTCTGTCTACCTCTCATCGCAGGAGTATCTCCTGGCTTGCGAAAGTCGAGGAAGAGCCCCTACCGCCTGCTGCGATGGCAGATCCTATAACGGCTATGGAGAAGTCCGGGTCACAGTCAGACCTGGTACATGCGACCTCAGATGTTCCCAAAGGGTCGATTTTAGATGATGGCTTGAGCGGCAACACGGCACCGCTACTCCCGTCACCAGAGATTGAGCCCAAATCGCCAGCACTTCTATCCCGAACGACATCTTTCTCAGGGATCAGCTCCTACCAAGATGATGTTGAGAATACAGTGTTTCCCCCGTTGGAACGCTTAACAGTCTTTGATTTCTTGGAGAATTTGGCGCTGCCTTCGCGTCTTGAGAACCTACAAACGTCAGTATCAAATAGAGCCGAGAAAGTTCGAAGAGTGCCGCTGCAAAGACTTAAGTCCACGGGTCTGATAGCAAAAGATCGAATCGTAGATGAATGGAGGCGTCGTGTTCCGCCACCAGAAGAACAGCTGAGCAAATACAGGAAACGCGTTGGGCAGTCAGTAGAGCGTCTAAGCAAAAGATGGAGTGACTCCAAGGCCGTGACCTGGCGCGAAAAGATATCATTCATCAGTGGTGTACTAAACGTTTTCATCAGTGGCTATCTTGTCGGTGCGCTTCCTGAATGGTTCCACCTCTGGTACTCTGCGCAGATTCTCTACTTCATGCCTATCCGGTACTACACGTACCACAAACGCGGTTACCACTACTTCCTCGTCGATCTCTGCTATTTCGTCAACCTACTGCTGATGCTGAGTATCTGGGTATTCCCGAATTCAAAACGACTCTTCATTAGCACGTATTGTCTGGCATACGGAAACAATGCGGTCGCAATCGCAATGTGGCGCAACTCTTTAGTCTTCCACTCCTTAGACAAGGTAACAAGGTATGATTCACGCAACTAGTTGACGCTAAATGTTCGAGGCTGACATGTTTTTCTGCATAGCCTGTTCATCCATATCATGCCTCCCGTCGCGCTTCACTGCATAGTGCACCTGATACCTAAAGAGCTGCAGCGTACTCGTTTTCCAGCCGTTCACACTATCCTGTACTCGTCGCCCAAGTCCCCAGAGCATTATACTCTATATCAGATGATGCTTTGGGCGACGCTTCCGTACGCAGTGTGGCAGCTATCCTACCATTTCTTCATCACCGTCAGACGCCGGGAGAAGATCCAAGCTGGCCGACCAACGTCGTTCACTTGGCTTCGGAAGTCTTATGCACCAACGATGATCGGCAAGTTTGTCTTGAGTCTCCCAGAGTTCCTACAAGAGCCGGCGTTCATGTGTATTCAATATTCGTACGCACTGCTTACTATGGTTCCCGCTCCCCTCTGGTTCTGGAATCGCTGGGCCAGCGCAACCTTCCTGTTTGTCGTCTTCGTCTGGAGTATATATAATGGGGCGAACTACTACATTGACGTTTTCGGTACCAGATTTCAACGCGAGCTAGAGCAATTAAAGAAGGATGTCGCCAAATGGCAAGCCAGTCCCGAGATCAAAACACCATTGATGACGCCGAAGGCCGATGACGACGAGAATAAGAGTCAATTGGGAATAGCAGAGAGCCAACGATTTGTGAGCGCAGAAGACGGTCTTGGCGACACTGGAGCCTCTGTCACTGGTGGCAAGCCCGCTATCCACAAGAGGGTCTCATCAGTCGACCAAATTCCATTATTAGATGAAAAGAGCAGCAACGGAAGGCTTGCCGAGAGCCATGAATGATACCCAATTGTGGGTGCTACGATCCCCTGCCTTGTCCACATTGCATCTTCGTTGTGGGCCTGAATTCTACCTCATGGCTCACGCCCGCGCTCTCAAATCGATCTATAGACTGACAATTCGGCTGTCCAGGCCCGGAGAAATTGTTCGGCATTTTCGTTGGGCCACGAAGCATATCATGCATTCATATTGAACAGATATGATAAGACGTTTCGTCTCTGTCTTTACTGTGCATAGGGTATTTAGCCCTTCTAGCGGCTCATATCTACCTTCTGGTCAATCACTGGGCTGAAGTGGTGGTGTCAATGATTTTTCTGTTCATCACGTAGATAATATACCCATTGTCGTTCAATACGTCGCAATTCTATAGTATGAGTTAACGGAGGCATACAGACAGCAAATTCAATGCCCCTCCTATGCATGTTCGATCTCCTGTTCGTTTTGACCTTCGATGACACCTTTGAAAAAAGCCAGAATGTCGTCGATCTCATCCGGCTCCTTGTACCAGTGTCCAAATTCCTGGTACGATTTCCATGTCACATCGCATCCGAAATCGATAAGCAAGTCCCTCGCCTTTTCGCCATGCTTCATCTTAACAACAAAATCCGCCGTGCCGTGCCCCAGAAATACAGGAGTATCCATGAACGCCCCGACGTCACAAGCTTCACCCTGTTTGTCGTGCACGCAAGCAATCTCCTTCACTTTCTTCACAGCGATATGCCCCTTCTCCCTTCCTTGGGCGTCAATTCCCTCGAAGTCCACCGCAAGCGGCAGAAATCCACTCATGCCCACAAAACCACCGATCCGACCCTCTAACGTCATACATCCCACGAGCGCGGCTGCACACCCCTGGCTCAAGCCCCCAACAAAGACATTCTCTAAGCCCACCTTTTCAGCCTCTGCTGTAACCAGTTCATGTAGCATCGCCGTAGTGCGCCTTAGGCCATAGGCTTGAAGATCTGGTCGTGAATATGGGGCATGTGGGCCTAGGTAATCGAACCATTGATTCATAGGTCGGCGGACCGGGGTGGAGTGCAGGGAGAGCGCGGTAGGGAAGATGAATTTGAAATTCGGTAGAGAATGTCGCAGGGTCAGTCTCGACGATGTTGCTGCATGCGCAATGAGCGAGAATGAGGGACCGGTGTCGCCGCGGCCGTGGAGGAGGATTAGGCTGTGCGTGTGGGTTGATATGGGCCGGATTATGGTTGGTGGGGAAAATGTCGGATCTGTATCTGGAGAAGCCATTTAGTGCCGGATACGAGGCGGCGAGGGCAATGAAGCGAACTGCCGGATGTAAGATGATGGTTATGCTAGACGATAAATGCAGATGGGAGTGCGCGAAGTGTGTGGTATATTTATGGTCAAGCGCTGTACCCCCCAGCTGCTAGCTAGACCACCATCAGAGGAGTCAGTTTTGCATATAGCACAGCTGCAAACGCGCTGCATTGTAGCTGCATCTGCGTATCAATGCTCCTACAAGTCCGTTGTCCACCATGCATCTTCGAGAGATCTGTACCAATCAACCGTCATCTTCAATCCTGTCTGGAAGTCTATCTTTTCACTCCAACCCAGTGCCTTCAGCTTATCACACTTGGTGAAGTAATGCATGTCATGGAACGGGCGATCTGGCACAGCTATCATCCATTGCCTGAAAAGATCTTCTCTCTCGCCGCATATTCCAGATGCCCTGAGAATCTCGAAAGCGATGCCTAGCGTGGTGAAGTTGTTAGAGGAAGAGACATTGAAGATCACAAAGTCATCACTCTGGCACTTGTGCAAGATCGTATCAAGTGCGTTGATAAGATCCTTGACATGTAGGTAGCAACGCGATTGCAAGCCTTTGTCCATGACCGTAAGCTTCCCACCACGATGGACTAGTTGGCTGAACTTCGGAATGATCTCTGTATGTTCGTCAACCCATAGACCGTTCTCATAAGGGTCCGGCCATAATGTCGAAACACTCACTCTCGGGGTACTGGTGAGGCCCGTATGCATTATTCGAGCGCACAACGATTGTTGGCAGCCTATAGCTTTTGCAATAGCTATGCACAAGCATCTCTCCTGATGCTTTGCTTGCAGAATAAGGATTCGTCGGACGAAGGACTGTGCTCTCATCTGCGATATCCTCTGGACCGCAGGGGCCGTAGACCTCGTCGGTGGACATGTAAATAAACCTGCGCACCATGACCTTTCTAGAACATTCTAGAAGTGTATGTGTCCCAGTAATATTGTTGACCACTGAATCTATCGGATTTCCATAGCTGTCATCGACCGATGTTTGAGCTGCCAAATGCATCACAGTGTCAATCTTATGAGCATGCATGGTTCTGAGTAGCAATGTTGCGTTGCAGATGTCTCCCGGGACAAAGGTGAAGTTTTTAAAAATCTCCAGATGGCGCACATTCTTCAACGAGGCTGCACGGCACAAATTGTCGTATGCAATGATATTATAGTGTCCAGCGTACTGTTGGACAAGATGACTAGCTAGCCAACTCCCACTTTCAAGCATCAAATTAGTACGTGTTAACTCGACCAAGGGCTGTGACATTACATGAATCCGGCGGCCCCTGTGATCAAAATATTCTGAATATTTGGGTTTGGGTCGAATCGAGTCGCGATCGAAGCTAGCTCTTGATCCATTGTGGCCTGGACGAGACTGCTCGGTAGAACTTTCGCGTTTTCGAACTGAGGCAACGATAGAATTGGCAGAGAGCAGTCGGCTCTTGCACGAACAATATCAATACTTCAATTCTATACCCAAACTTAGAGATGTTTATGAACATGAGAACTACGCCCATGAACACGAGTGACGTAGCACAATCTGCTTGTATGAATAGCAGTCGGAGCGCCGGGCAACAAATTGTACGAGGACTCAGCGTCTATACAGTATTACTGTAGACGTAAATTGCAGTGTTATGAGTATTGACATCTGCTAAGCATGGTATGCATTATTTAAGGAGAAGGATGGCGGATCCGGATGGATAAGGAGTAGTGAGGGGCCCATGGATAACTATTTCTTTGCTACTACCTGCCTGGGTCATCATTCTCAACACGTAAAATGGCTTCTACTGCGGCCGTCGACCATGTCTTACATCCAACCACTCCAACAAACATCCTTCTGCCACGCGTAGTGATCAAATTCTGCACGCAATGTCGCTGGATGTTGCGCGCAGCATACGTACGCAAGTCATTTCCTCGACAGTACCAATCGACATTGTATAGATCTGACCAAATTACAGTTCGGACAAGAGCTTCTTTCGACCTTCGGAACGACGATTGGTGAAGTCGTGTTGCAACCTACAATGGGGGGTCTATTCCGTATCGAACTCACATATGATCTCAATCATCCGGCCGCCATCACATCATCCAATGATACAAGATCGATCGATACGAAATATATCGATATCAAGCATGTCTTGCTTTGGGATCGTAAGACAGAAGGTGGATTCCCCGAAACCAAAGTATTGAAGCAGAGGGTGAGAGATCATATCGAGCCAAGTCGGCACTTAGGACACTCCGAAAAGGGTGAAAAGACAAGCCATGCAGATATGGTGAAACACGAGGCTTCTTCGGACCCATCGCATGAAGCCGAGAAGCAGAAAGCCTGCGAAGACTGCAAATAAGAACTTTTGTCACAAGCGATACATCCAATTCGACATGCACCTCTGACACAGTAGATGATTTTCAACAGCAGAAGAAGTCTATAGTCGAGGCACCGATATTGGATCATTGGCGATTACTGCCCCTCCCGAAGCTTGACAAGACGGTGGCAGGCTTAGTTGCACCCGGAGCTTTCACAAGGTCATGCTTCTCACGCCTTACCTTTATATTTTACCGCCGCACTCAAACAGCGACCATGGTTCGCAATCGTGAGATTTGCGACGTTGTAACATGGTCCGACGAGATCTTAGTGTTAACTGTTCGGCGAACAAACATGGTCAGGAGATTCCAGCAATATTCACCATCTCCGATTGCTATTCCAGCGGTGAATCATGTGCTTCCTACTCGCCACTATGTATACCAAAAGTTTATGAGGGTGCCGTTCAGTCTTCTAGTGCGCATTAAATTCACGTCATGGACAAGACAAAAGTGCATCGACTCCCTGCCGAAGGCCCCTTTGGATTTTGCAAACGGAGTTGAATGTGGATGCAAGTGGGTAACTCAATCTCTCTCATAACGCGTATTAGCATTGTAACCTTAGTAACCAAACGCAAAGGCTGTTCATATGTCGCAGCATGCTATAGATAGTATGGTTCATATCTTCGTCAAATGCACATCAGACCGGACAATGGTCCCAACCAGCAGCTCACTCAGTTCATATAGCACTGTCAAACGAGTGTCGATCGGACGAAGGCCTCATGTGTTTGCAGGCAAGCTGGAGCTCAGGTTTCGAAGGCAGGGCGGGTCATATCAGAGGTCAGTAAGATTGTATGTAAAGGTGAGCCGACAGTCAGATATAGAAGGGTCTATGAAAATCTTGCTCTAGCAGGGCTGTGCATAATCGTATTTGTAACATCCAAAGTCATAGCCGCAGGTCACTCGTCCGCGTGTCCACTTTCCACCCTTGCCGGCATTGTTATACTCGAAGGAACCGCCCGGGACGTCTTCCATGCAATAGCACTTCTCAACTCTGTACCCCGACGCCTATTTTGCTCCGAGGTCATACTTCGTACCAGTGATAGTGTCAGGGTCTTCTTCCAAGACTCCTTTGAAGCCATTGTCACGCGAGCGAGTCCCAGAAGGATGCATTACCGTTCGAGTAAACTCGACTGTGGTCGATGAGGCCAAAGCAGCAATGATCAAATCGACATCGTTCAAGGTTACCTACGATCGTCTCGTGAGGACAGTACCACAAATTACGACGACGATAATGCTGTCCAAAGAAGTTAGGATTAGCCTGAAGTTATGGGACGCGGATTCTACATTGACATTGCTAGCGACGATGAAAAGCGCATAGATTTCCAGACCATGGGGATTAGGTCGTCGTCGTAGTCTTTTCGCTCAAGGTCATGAAGGTCAGATCTCGGCAGATACAGTCCAAATCTATATAAGCTCAATCTAGCCTCTAAAGAACTGCCAAGATGGCACCTACGATCTCGATCTGATTTTAACTAATTACTTATGCTAAACACAATAAAGCCGGGTACACTTCTAACATAGTTAATAGCGCAAGGCGAAACATCCTGCCTAAGACTAATGTTCTAATTATTCTTTAGCTTTATTTATGCCTTAATCTGCCTGATATAATTATGCCATAAGCAAGCTTATTTACTTGGTACAGATTACAACCTCAAACCGTACTTTTAGAGTGTCTAACCATATACTACTAATGTAGGCCCTTGGGTTATAGCGGATCGTATATGGGAAGACTGGCGAAGGTAGATGGCAGAGGAGTTGCAGTTAGACGGGACGTTACAGAAGACAGCGCGAATGAACTCGTAGATTCGTTCTTACGTGTAAGAGCAAATTAGTCGATAACACTGGGATACATGATGCGTTCTCCTCCGATGATAAGCTCTGGGTCTTCTCGAGCACCTAGTCTTGGGTGACCTGTGGCTACGTTGATGTAGAGATCGGGGAACAATTAGTTTTATGGCCCGTGTATTGCAGAGCAGATCCTAAGAGGAGCACGGTTATACCCAACTTTTATCTCGCTGTAGTAGTCTTGAGTGAAGTAGGGTTTGCCGTTCATATATTCGTTGCCTGGATAGAGCTCATGGCCATGTCGAATGATATACTTCTTCCATTTCGAGCCTGTGAGCCCCCCGGGAGACGACCGGTCATTTCGAACTTCTTCACAATCTGTGTCCAGGGACATAAAGTATGCACCTAAACCAGCTATCATAGGTGCAGAGTAACTTGTGCCGTCCATAAACGTGTACCCACCCATAGGGGTGCCATCAAACTCGCGACCTGACCAACCAAGCATCAGCTCGGAGGCTTGAGCGTAGATCCGGATCTGCGGATCTCTCGACCGGTAGTCTGCAACGCTGGCCCAGTTTAGCACGCGACCTTCGTTGTCCACGCCTCCTACGACTAGGTATGCACTGTCCTCGGTCTCCAGATTCGATGGTATCATCGTATTTATCTTCTGTAGTGATACCTCATCGCTATCGGCATCATTTCCAGCTGCTATGGTCACCAATATCCCAAGGTCATCAAGAGGCTTCTTCATGGCGTCAAAAAGCGCATTGAAAGCATCAATCTCGACTTGGCGAGTGTTCTGGACGCCGGCGACTGCTGGGAAGAACCAGCTGAAATTAAAGACTGCTTTACCTTGCCGATTATTCAAAATTACGTCTTCAATCGCCTTGTCGAGCGCATACTCGAGCGCGTGCCATTCAAGATTCTGACCGCAGTAATGCTCGCCAGGCGGAAAATTTGGATCACCTGGAGGGACGGTCATTTGCTGCGCATTGACGATTTTGATACCGATCAAGTTGGCCTTCGGGGCGACACCATTCTCAATTCCAACTGCTGCTGCTGCTACTGAGACACCATGCCCGATATATCCAGCTCTCACACCTTCCATGCCGTTAGGACCACCCGGATTCGTCCCGTAGTAGTCGGTTAGATCTTCTGGTGCCCATTTTGACGGGTTCTTACCCGGAGCGTTTGATAGAGCCAGATGGTTCGGCACCACCCAGAACTGGGGCTTTTCCAGGCGTTCACCCTGAGCTAGCTCGGGGTGGTCTGGGTCAAACCCAGAGTCGAATATATAGACGGTGGCGCCCTGACCGAGTTTTTCGTGGTATAGGTATCCGGGTTTCTTCGGCTCTCCTTTTTTTGCTTGGGATAAGAGCTGCAGATGATCTGGAGCGTACTTGCGAGTGATGAAACGGACGTTACGATCGACTGGGCTAGCACCATCACGCCGAAGACGTCTTGAATCGAACGTTGGTATTTTCAGCTCTGGGGCCGCATATCTGTTGAAATTCTCACTCAGCATCATCCTTCGACTTGGCTGTCTTTCGAAACAGCTTCTAACGATTGGGACATTCCGGACAACCTTCGCCTGTTCATCCGTCAGTTTGATACCGAGTAGCTGTCTATTGACATGTGGCCAAGTAGTCTGATCGTAGCTGTAGACAATAGTATCAGGCAGAGTAGCCAAGAAAGCGCGGTAAGTGGCTAAAGAGGTACCATCTTGGGTTGAAATCGAGTATTGCTTTTTTGGTTTTGAATCCTCAATTTGACTTGTACTGGATGGTGAGGCTTCAAGTGAAGGAAGAGACCCTGATATTGGACCATTTTCGTCGTATTCTATGATCGCCAATGGCAAAAGAGCGCCAGAAGTGACTGTCAAGCTGACGACACCTGTTGCACCTCCTTTGGTGAAGACATTACCAAACAACAGTTTAGCTACATCAGTACCAGGACCATTGAAGCCAGGTGAGCCTCTTAGAGACCTTGTAATTTTCTCCAGTGGGCGCAGCAGGTCAATAATGCCAGAGGCGCTCTCATAGGCATCAAAGACTTTCGCTCCTGCAGCTGGCATGTTGCCAACGCCAGAAGTGCTAAGCTGGGACAGCTCGATGCCAAAATCACTTGCCATGCCACTTGTGTCCTCCAAAATGCCAGTCACTTCTTGGATTGTAGCTGTCATTGAGCTGAAGACCTCGTCTGCGTCCTTGAAACCGGAATCAATGAACTTTGTGGCAGAATCTGTAACACTGTTGACAGCCTTGACGGCATCACTGGCGCTCCTGGTAAGGTCCTTGAAAGCATCGAGAAGACTTTTATGTTTTTTCAGTGATCTCGAACCACGGAGGGCTCTGATTGCGGAACCAGTCCCGCTGGAAGGCTGGATAAGTATGCCAGTGCCGCTTAAATCGCTTGGGATTTTCCATACAACAGGGGACTTGTCTCCTTCAGTGAAGATTTTGATCTCACCGAAGGACAACTCCATCACTTGAAGCTTGTTATCGTTGTTAATATGCTTCACTTTCTTCGTGCCGTGTATCGGAAGCATGTATGTGATTGAATCAATCTCTGCTGCTATAGGTGTCTCTATCTTCTTCCAATCATCCGCCATAGGAGCCGTTCCAGGCGAAGGTGTGATGAGCGGCGGCGTTCCTGTTACCATTACCATAGATGTGGCTCCATTTGCCATGATTTTGGTGGAAATGACGAGAGGCAAATGCACCTGAAATGTTGCGGTGTCCTGAGATAATGGTGTGGAAATTTGATCGGTCTGGGATACGTCTACTGCAGAGGAGGATGCAACAATCGGGCCAGTAGAAGGTAGCTGACCAGATGAAGTCGACTCTGTGACCATGCTAACTGACTTCGAAGGGCTAAGAGCTGGTTGAGACGAAGGATGGAAAGAAAAGGATGCAGGGTGGGACAATGTTGGTGAGCTTGATCGTGTCGAAGAAGAGATGCTGGTAGATATGGGAATGTTCCCATATGTTTTGGGTGACACACCCAATGCGCTAGTGTGGATTGTCGAGATAGTCGTACTTTGGAGATCAGAGGAAGTCAAAGTGAGGGTGGAGCTTAGAGGAAGCGATTCGGCCGCGGAAGAGTCGAGTGTCTCTGAAGTTGAGCTGCTGAGGACGGGTGCCGTTCCAGGGTCTTGTGCTCCTTGGGAAGGCCGGACACCTTGAGCAGAGTAGGAAAGGACGTAGGTTGGAAATGTACGCGAGATCCCGTCACGAGGGCTTTCGAGTTGACTTGCAATCGAGCTAGTAAAACCTAAGACATCAGTACTGAAGCCGAGAGCGTAGTGGCTCATTAGCCAAAGTAAACAAAAGGCCTGCATATCGGAACTAATGAACATATGGGATACCATATTAAGTCTGAAGGAATGACGTTGGAGAGGAAGGTAACTGAAAGAAAGAAGAAGCAGGAAAGGAGCCACTCTGATATGGTACGTCTGCACAGTGGAGTCACCGACTACAATGGAGGCACAATCTGCAGAGCCATGAAAAGGACAGCATACCGATGAGATCGAAAGGAATGTGGCGTATGGAATTGGCTGAGATTCGGACAAATTACCGATATGTCCATAGGACCTCGTATTGAAGCAAAAGACCTCGTACCATTTATAGACATACTGTTTACGAGGATAGGTGTACTGGGCTCGCTCGCCAACGGCTAGCGGAATTCTCCTCATAGTGGATAAAGATATATCACTATCATGTATTAGTTTGCTCAAGTAATCCTGTTATAATATATATAGATTGTTCTAGTGGTATCTGATTAGTGTACTTCTTTCTACACATCTATTCGATTATTTAGACACGTTGGGACAGCGATGCCAATCTGCATTCATTCTAGGACTTCCCGTAGAGCTAGAGAATACCAAGAATTTGCCACCTACTTCGTATCGAGTGGTCATTTATGACTAAGTATTCGTTCAAGCTACAACGCTACAGCTAAGTAAAAAGCACATTAGGTTGGGAATGTGTGCGCGGCCCTGGTATGCTTACACGAGCAGCACTATCAAGAACCGTCAGAAATCACAAAGTGTCTGGTGATGTGTCACTGTCGCTGAGCCCTGCACTGTTTTGTTATATAAGATGGCTAAAGATATTCTTGTCGAGGAAACCGTCCTAGTCAGGCCGAGGCTTATAATCGAGCCAATAGCATGAACTGAAACGTCAAGGATTATGTGCCACTTACCTAGGAACTCAAAATATAGACACATCCTAAATTGATTGAAATTTAAGTGCCTAAGCTATACATAGCTAGGGAGAAGAAGCACTCTACCTCACGGCTATTGTGGCTATAGGGGCAATCGAACGATAGCTACAAGCAAACGCGAATCCTCAGCTGAGATTATAATTGTTCGAGCAAGCGACCGTATCTCTCCGATTGGTACTGCTTGACGGAGATTTCCGACAAGCTCGAGTACGCCTGCATTGAAGTGAATTTGCAGAACCCCATCTCCCGACTAATCGAAGGTGAAACCCAGAGATAGGGACGGCGGAAACAACAACGCCGACAGGATTGTATTCGGCCCCAATGTTGTTGGTGCTGGACTGTGAAAGCCGATGTTGAGCATTTAGAAGGAAATATATGAATATCTGGCAGAGACGAATCCTTGGGAATCGCTGACGTCGCACTCGATTGCTGCCTAATGATAATGAGGCATCAATAGAACCAGCCACCCTCACCACCTCCCAGCGTCCGTCTACCGGCGGTCATCTTCACCACCGTGGAAGGATCTCAGCAGTACCATTTTATTACAAAATTCCTAGACACGTCCTAGCTCTTCAAAACTTCCTGGGCCACCCTTAAGCCTAGAAAAAAACACTTTCGAGCGGTAGTGTTAGGGCTTTGCCAACACAAGCGCGACTCCCACCTCAACCCTATCGTTTCATTAATAGCCAACACTGGTCTGGACGCAGAAGTTGATGCCAATAGACCTTACCCATCACCGATTGAGTCGTCTCACGAGACTGCCAATATGGAGCCGAGGGATGGAAAGGGCCGATATGATCGAGGTGGGTGGTCGTGGCGCCATCTTGTGATGATCGCTCCCCTCTTGTTCTGCGAGCGAATGGCCACCCCTATAACATACTATGATCGCTGACCGATGAGTCCCAAGGGCGGTATGCTGTTGTTTCTCCAACACCGTCTTTACATTGCTGTCGCAGTCGCAGCCTGTCTAATCCTGTACGTATCCAATGTCTTATTCTTCAGGGGCTTAGCTCTAGCTCCGCGCCACCTTCAGAAAGCCGACCGCGTCAAACATCCGGCCAACGAAACTCTCGGAGTACGTACAAATCCAAGTCCTCGAGCTTCCTGAAGCACTACCTTCTTCAGCCTTTTTCGCGAGAAACATTATTGATGACACGTTAATAGTTCGGTGCTATCATAGCTGTCGGCAGAAACAATTCGACGCGACGCGACGATCTCGTCTATGCCGCAAACATAACAAGCCTCTCAATTGACTTTCCCTCTCAACCAAAATGGACAGAAGAAAGTATCTCCAATTTCCGAGACCCACAAGATCCCGATGGCAAGAATATAACAAGAGGCGCCATATATGCATGGATGGGCCATCTTAATGCATTGAGATGGTTCCTCGCGCACCCTGAGCTCGAAACCGCGTTTATCATCGAAGATGACGTCGACTGGGATGTCGCATTGCGTACCACTCAGATTCCTCTTACGTCTCGCGCATTTGCTCATTTTATGGGTACTGCGGATCCGACGTCTCCCTCTCTATTCCACTCGAGACTCGCCGATCATTACTGGTCGGACCTGAACAAATGGGACGTGCTGTGGCTTGGACACTGCGGCGATTTCTTTGGTATTCAAGAGCAGGAAGGAATGCGCCGCACGGTGTTCGAAGATCCGACCATGCCAGAGCATGAGTCTCTCGACTTCTACCTACAAATGCACTTCAACACTGTCAACTTCCCAAAGCCCAAGAAACGCATGATCCACGAGACGCGTCTCAGTCTTTGTACATTTGGCTATGGTGTAACGCGTGCGTCGGCGCAAATGATGCTGAAGCGGTATTCCCAGCAACACCCTAGCCTTGTCACGTGGGCGTGGGACGTAATGGTACGTCTTGCGTGTACTAAAGAAGGCTTTCGATGCTTTACAGTCAACCCTGAACTTATGAGACATATCGAAGGGCCAAGTGCGGTTTCACTTGAAGATCATAAAGAAGAGAAGGCGAAAAGCAATATAACTCCAAATCTTCGGTGTGCCGCGAGGCGGTCCGAATGGCGGACATGGCATTGGGGTCTCTGGGAATGGGCCAAACACCGCATAGAGCTCAGAGGTGATAAAGAATGCCTGGCGGACCTTTTAGGGGCGGGAGATGTCAAGTGGCCCAGCCCAAAAGAAATAGGAGATGAAAACTGGCAGGGCACGAAGGAGGTTTCGTGATTATAATCCTCTTGTCAACTTCGCTTGCGCATTAGGGCAATGTCTCTCGTGATACTAGATATGATCTTCGCGTAAGTAAGTACACTAGCCTTTGACTCGAGACCTTGCTGTACGTATCACGCTGTGATTGTGTCTCAGTCTGACTACATCGTCCAAGTGTTCGTCGCCATCACACTACCCCGAGATTTGACGGACCATTACGCGACGAGGGATCCCGCCTCAATATCTCGTAGCTTACGCAAAGCTGAGATTCTGTCTCTTGCAATGGGTCATATGGAGAAAGCTTTCGCTGGTAGCACATCACGCGTGGTACCTCTCCAATCTCATCGTTGATGTTGACAAAGATCGTCGACTTCATGGATTCGTGAATGGAATCTGTCTGCTGGCGTGATGGGTCGGTCTTTTAAAAACTACGTATGAAACTCTTAGCCGAGGAGTGCTTAAGGGAGTTCCCTTGGGCTCCATAACCCCCCGCCAGGCAGCTCGTGCACATCCATACGTGTAGGTCGAGAGCACTCATAAGAGGGCGGCCTCTCCTGGTATAGGTATCGCACGATGGCTGGCTCTTGTGTACTATCAGTGAATTGAACACGAGATGAGGCCCCTCTTCGCTGGAAGGCGACCATCCCAACCCAAAATCCTGCGACTAGGACAAGCGGGACGCCGAGCTCTAGACCTACACCAAGCCCAACCTTCATTGGATCGGAAATTCCGGTGTCGGAGATCGTAGGGCTGCCTGGGAGAGCGCTGGAAACAGTGGAAGGAAACGAGGGGATGGTTGAGGAAGATGAGGCCCCATATGAGCTTGTGGATAGCATTGTGCCGGTCGATGCTGTTGAGGCGGTGGGCGTGCGGGTAGTGCTTGTGCTAGGAGTTGAGAGCTTAGCTTCGGTGATGTTGAAATAGTGAGATGATACACTGCCTATGTCCCCCGGCTTGATCCAGAGGAAGTAGACCGGAGAGTCTGCAAGGAAGAATTATATGTCTGCATTTTCCATGTGGTGTTTCGAGTGCCGACCCGGTCCTGTGTACCTTCGATATGAAAGTTAGTTGGTGTTTGCATCTTAGGATCTATGGTAAATATAATGTAGATTTTTTAAATCGTAGCCTGACTTCGCTGCTGTTAGAGCGCTACATGGTCGATGTCAAGGGTCGTTGCCCATTGTATATTTTGCTGACCCGAGCGGCCACTCCAGACTGCCTACGAAGTTATTGTTGAGACCAGCCGCCCCTGGATTAATGAATACTGGAAGAAAAATAAAAGTGATGAGAGAGAGCATTTAGCAGTTCTATTTCAGAGCACAGATTTATTTCGACATCTCACACTGATACACTCGCACTTTGTCATTCCAGTAGCCGCCACCAATGTTTGACATGTTGCGGCACAGGTGCTGCCATCTCAAATATCCATGGGTTTCCGTTGATTGTTTGCTTGAATTCCTATAGCTCCAGCTGTGCCTCAATAGCTGATGTCACGTAGCATACTGTAAGCGCTGGCGCGTAGGGCAGTGTTGCAGTATGTTGGGATGGCTAATTATTACGTCTAGAATGGTACCGCATGAACTTAAAATAATTAATTACTAGGCAGAAACGCATGTCAAGGGGTGGCATTTCGGCCAATCAACGTGGATTAGCCGCCGAGTTCGAACAAGGGCTTGCTCGCGGCGCACGCTAAGGCGCTGAGCGAGGCTGAACGAGCGCGGTGCATTTGTTTCCTCTAACTTCGTATACTCCTCTAATTCAGTTCCTCATTAACATTTCTCCGATGCAACCTTCGAGTGTTCGAGGTAGAAGGACTCTCATTACTGTTGGGATTTTACTACTTTTGACTTTATTTGGGTACACAATTCACTATGCCGCTCCACAGTCGCCGCTGCTAGCTCCCAGCCTACATCATACAGACCACGACGTAGGGATACTGGAAGATGTATTGAATAGAACCCTAGGAGTATGTCAGTCTTACCTGGGTTGATGCAGGCTAAACATATCAAAGTTTCAAAAAATTTATGCAATCAATCTGCCATACCGAACAGATCATCGTGATGCAATGTCGCTGGCGGCAGTGCTCACTGATCTAGATATAGAATACATAGATGGTGTCACGGATGTGCATGAAAAAGCCCGTCCGCCTATGGGTGCTGGTGTTGATCTAGATGAACCTACCCTAAGGGCTTTGAGGGCACACGTGAACACATTAAGACTGTAACTATATCGAAGGTCCCCGCGAGTAAAGCTGACCATAATTAGGATTGTCGAGAATAATATCACAACAGCGTTAATCCTCGAAGATGATGCTGATTGGGACATACGAATCAAGGAACAGATGCAGAGCTTCGCGAAGGCGTCTAGCCTACTTCTTCAACCTCTTCAAGGAACGACGGATCAATTCGTTGATCCCTCATACCCGCAGCCAGCAAGTAATGAAAGGCCTCAAAATTTCGAGATTGGTTCGCATGCTATAGAACGGCCGTCGACGTCACCATATGGGGATATCGATCGCTGGGACGTCCTCTGGATCGGTCATTGTGGGTGTCGCTTCCCTGAGGCGAACGACGGAAATACCCCATTGGGTCGTGTTGTGATTCTGAACGACACGACAGTTCCAGAGAAGCAGCACATCCAGATGCAGTTTGGAAACAACGACCTGACAAATGAGTACCCAAACCACACACGGGTCGTCTCTAGGGCACGCGTGAACACATGTTCCTTAGCATATGCAGTATCGCAGTCTTCCGCGAGACGTTTGTTATACGAGATGGGATTGAACGTCATAAATGGCCCTACAGACTTGACACTTCGCTCGATCTGCGAAGGCTCCGAAGGCCGTAGGAGTCGCGTTTGCTTAACCGTCCAACCACAGCTGTTCCAGCATCATCGAACAAAAGGAGCGAAGTCGAGTTACAGCGATGTATCGTCTGATCACACTGGATATAACGAGCAAGCTTTCACGAGAAATGTACGATGGAGTACAAGGCTCAATTTCGCTAAACTGTTAGACGGAGAAACTGACTATATTGACTTGTTTCGAGACGGGGAAAAGCCATTGAATTTGGGGTTTTAGGGAGGCTACGACAATAGATTACACAATTGTTTTTACATGGGCCATTCCAGCCCCATACTCTTTGATTGCGGCACTTACTATCTTCGAGTAGCATTCGTTTCTGCCGAATAACTCGTTAAAAAATATACGAACAGTCTATTCGTTATGGGTTTCACGCAGTACAAAAAGTAACATGGCAAATTTAAATAGGATTGGCTTCAACGGGCCATTTAGACGAGGTCAATACACCTGACACGAGGGTTTTTATAGAATCAAAAGCTGCCTTTAGAATTTTTCATTCTCTTACATGCTTTCTCGCTCGTTGAATCTGCGTTGGTACTTCTACCAAACTACACTCCCTTTGTATGTCTTATTTACTAGCGTGGCCTACTATTCCTAGAGATGTACTATAACGTGGTAAACAAAGGTCTTACACTAGTAATCACACCCGAGTAGCATTCGAAAGCTCTTAGGTAAAGAAAATGTATCTTATACTATATAGAACTAATAATCGATATTAAAGGCGAAAGAGAATGTTCGAAAGTATATCTACGCTTCTTTAGTAAATTTATACTCGGTCTATTAGAACTTAGTCTTAGGTATAACCCGATCCGCACGTACCTTAGCTAACATAGTTAGGAGGTAGCGTGAAGGGTAGTAAATAGTTATATACTAGATAGATTAGTATCCCTTTATATATATACTCTTAGATTTCTACTAAAAGGGTTTAGTAGTAATTTATTCTATAATAGAATATACCCTATTATTCTATCTAACTATACTACTATCTAATAACTCTATTCTTATATTTAAATTACTCTCTATATAATACTATAGTTAAGATAGTCTAACTAGAACTAAGAAGGTTAATATAATCTACTATAGAGATAAGTAATACTATATTAAATAATAGAGATCCTCTATAATTAGTATTAATTCTAGCTATTTCTAACTAAGAAGTAGAGATATTAGACTAAATTATAGAGCTTTTAGATAAAGAAATAGTAGATATACTAAGTAACTTCTAATAATATAAAGCTAGATAATAAGTTATAGCGGAGCTATATAAGGTATTATAATAAACTATTACTAAACTTTAGAAATATATTATAAATTAGACTTAAGAGATTTAAACTCTTAAAGAGTAGATAGAATATATAAAACTTCTTATAAAGAGATAAGAACTTAAGAAGTCTCTTAAAGAACTATACTAAATAATAGTAGATAGATAACTTCCTATACTAATTTAGGTAGAATTAGTTTATCTACTATTAGAGTTATAATAATCTACTATACTTCTAGCTACTTTATTACTAATTTACTCTACTTCTTCTCTAGATATACTAAAATCTAAAGATCTAACTATATTTATAGAGAAGAACTAAAAGAAGTAGAAAGACTAGAAGAGAGACTATAAAAAGTACTTCCTTAATAACCCTTAACTCTTTTCTACTAAAGTATAATATATTTTATTTAGAGAATAATACCTAGACTTATAATTCTATAATTAATAGAATAGATAGAAGGAAGCGTAGCTACTATCTATAATAACCTAGAAATATTTAGCTATATTTATACTAAATACTCTTAGAATAGATAGAGAATATAAAAGAAAGGTACTATCTAAGTTAAGAAACGTAGTATAACGACTAAACTAGACATCTACTTAACTACTATAATACCTATAAAACCTATAGAATAATATCCCTATACTATAGAAAAATATTTATATATTCTAGTTTTACGAAGTACTTATAAGAATAGAGTTATTAGATAGTAGTATAGTTAGATAGAATAATAGAGTATATTCTATTATAGAATAAATTACTACTAAACCCTTTTAGTAGAAATCTAAGAGTATATATATAAAGGGACGCCGATCTATCTAGTATATAACTATTTACTACCCTTTACGCTACCTTCTAACTCTATTAGCTAAGATATATATAGATTAGATTATATCTAAAGCTAAGTTCTAATAATTATCCCCTTCCTTTAGAAAGCTACCCTTAGCGATCTAGATTATTATCTATCTCTATATCCCTATTCTAAGTCTTATAAGATCTTAGTCTTTCTCTATACTTTATCTTAGATATTTACTAATATTTACTAATCTAAGATTTATATAAGCGTTTTTCTAATAAACTAGATTTTATCTATCTTAAATTCTTATATAGGTAAGATTATCTAATTAGGTCTAGCGTATTACGTAATATAATTAGATAAGCCTAGGTACTACCTATATTAAAATCTTTTCTTAGAAATATTCCTTTCTTTAAAAAACTTCTTAACTCTTTATAGAGTTTTTTAGATTATTAGATATATTATCTAATCCTTATAGATATAGATTTATATAGATTTACTATAATTTAGTATAATTTATATAATTTACTAATTTTTATACTATATTTAGCTAGTAATAATAATAATCTATAATAATCTATATAAATTAGTAATAATTATAATATAGTTTTCTAAAATCTTAATACTCTAAAGTAATTAGTATAGAAATAGATATCTTTAAATAATCCCTATCTCGTATACGTTACTAATATATTAAAAGCTATTAATCTACTCTAACCTAGGCCGGGCTCTAATAATCTAGCTATATATTATTATAGTTATTACTTTCTATTATATATTACTTACGGTAGTACTAAATCTATAATATATAGTACTTATATAACTAAGAAGCGTTATTACTTATAGGTATTTAAATAAGTTTAAAGAACTTTATATAGATTTACTTATATTAGTATAGATTACTACTAGGCCTCTAGTAACCCCTACTAATAAGAAGTATAGTACTACTAATTATAACGCCTTAGAGAAGGCTTTCTATAAGCTATATATCTAAGGTAAGGATTATATCTAGAAGTACGATTCTAATATAATCTATAAGAATTTATTAGAATCTACTATAGCTATTATTACCGCGATTACTAGGTAATATTATTTTTCTTAAATTATTATAGATTCTTACTAATATATATTAATCTCTATAATAGTACTAAAATCTCTACTACTTTAGACTTCTTTCTATATACTAGTAATATTAAAATTTCTAGAAAAGGTTCTAGTAAAAAGACTAAGGTTCCTTTCTTATATATACTAAAGAGCTATAAATTTAGAGAAGATAGCTCTAATCTAGAAGTTTCTATACTAAAGGTATATAGTTCTATACTAATTATTAAATCTTTTTACTAATTTATATAATTCTTAGTATACCTACGCCGGTCTATCTCTCTCTATCCTAGGTCCCGCTACTCTATAGGTTTCTATAGAGAAGTTTATAGCTATAAGGCACGCTATATAGAATTTATAGTATTAGAATAAAAGGCTAGAGACTTATATTATAAAGCTCTATATTATACTAAATAAGAACTAGTAGAAGGAATTAGATATAATTATTATAGTAATTAGTACTTCTACTTCTACTCTAACTTAATTAGTTTAGATCTATACTAATTAGTACTAATATAT